TGAGACAAAACCATAGGGCAATTAAGAGGTAGAAGCCAAAAAGCCTATAACCTCTAGGTGAACTCTTGAGGGCGCTCTAGGGTGAGAACACAATTTCCTTCCATGCATTTCATTGCGTTATGGATTACTTTTCAATCTACTGAGTTCTCAGTAAAGGGCACTTTTGCATATATTGTGACCTGCGAGACAAAACCATAGGGCAATTAAGAGATAGAAGCCAAAAAGCCTATAACCTCTAGGTTAACTCTTGAGGGCGCTCTAGGGGGTAAGAACACTGTACTTCACTGTTTGTGCAATGACCACAAAACACTCTGTTTTGGTAAAAAAAACAAAGGTGTTTTCTTTTAAAGAATGTGTAGACAGACAAAACAAAGGAGCTAATTGAGAGGTAAAAATGGACATACTGAAGACAAACTCTTGAGGGCGCTCTATGGGGCATTATTACCATTTTTACATTTTGATCTGTTTTGCCCCGCTTTGTCCTGCTTTGGTGGGAAAACCTGACGAATGGACCCCCTTTTAAGCCAACCAAGAGAGATTATAAAACTGTACAAGATAACGAAATATGCATTAACAAACCGATGCCACTTGAGAGGGTGTGGTCCATCCTTGGAGCTACATTTGGCGTTGCCGAAGTATCCTGCCCCGTTGCTCGGTGCCAGTCAAAGTTGTCCATGGTAGTCTCCGTCCAGCCACAAGAATCACTCTCAAAATCGCACAGAGTTGCTGTTGTTAGATGAAAATGATTTGATAAGGTACTGACAACACAAATATACGCATGGTTTGATTAATTTCAGTCTAGACAGACCCAGACCTAGCCTTTGTACATCTGTGGAAATTGTTTTTGTTATCCTAAACATTTTCCCCCAAGATGCAAGCTATTTCTTCCCTTTTTACAAAAATAAATGGAGGTTTTCACACAAAGCTAGGTGAAGGAAAATAACGTGTGCCATGGTGTATGGTGATGGTTTAAACTTGATACCAACTATGCTACATAAATAATACAGGTTTTTCCACCTAAGGACAGTTTATTATGAAGTATGTGATTGTATGGTATCAACTTTGCATGTCAGCAGTTGTATCACATAGTGATTATGTTAAATGAAATGATGCGGGACAACCAAATATATGGTATGCCCTTTCACAAAGAAAAACCTTGATTAATAAAGACTTCATCACGTGCACTACTTTTTAAAAGCTTTGTTCACAGGTAATGTCCCCCGCCCCTTAGCACTTACGGCAAGCTTCCTCGTCTGATTGGTCGGGACACTGCATCTTGAAGTCGCATATCTGCTCAGCAGGAATGCAGGTGAAGTCGCGGCACTGGAACTGTCCATCCAAACACACCCTGGGTACCGTGGTAACTAAACAGAATGGCCAAACTCATCCATTACTACATTAGTCTTCATCAGAAGCACAATGAAATGTTACTGGGTCCCAGAAAATGAATCTTTGGGCCACTTTCTAAAATAAGTCTGCTTTATAGTTTGGAGTTAAAAAAAGAAAATCAAGCTCTTTGCTCTGATATCTCACTCAGTTTGGCATTCAGGTGGAATGCTATGGGTTCCCACTGATACAAACTGGGACCAATTCTGTTGAATCAAGGCTCCTTTTGACTTATTTTGGGCAACAAATCGTTTTCATAACCACAGACAAGGGGGCAGGAAAGGAAAAAATAAAGGAACATCAATCCCTCCCGTTCAGAGCTTTTGCAGACATGCCACTGCAAAGCATTCAAAGAAAGTATTAGACTTCCATTTTTGACTACAGGTTGACTTATTTCAATAGCTTCTCTTACCAATGACGGGTTCGGGGGTAGTCAGAACTGGAAGGGATGAAGATGACAGGGCACACTCAGGAGTAAACGAGATGTCGTCGAGGGAAATATCACCTTGGGAACCGGCTCCTCGGACTGCCTCTATGACGATCTGGGGAATCATTGGCACATTCAAAGTTAAGGTCAGGAATGGCGGAGGGGAGATTGAAAACCTCAATTCTGACAAAAGACCTAGAATGAACTTCTCACAATGTTAAATATCATGACGTAATTCTGCATTGAAAACAACAGCCGTCACAAAGTTGTGGATCTCTTGAGGGTATATTCAATGTAATATCACAATGCACTGTGCCCCAGGTAGGAGGAAATAACAGAATGATGGAACCCCAAAGTTTGTCCCCCAAAAGAAACATGTGCGACTTATAAAGGTAACTGAACAACACCTTAAGAACAAGCTACAGCTTATTGAATATGTGGATATCCAGTAGTGCTAGAATGGGTCAGTTGAAAGATTCGGTCATTAGCATGAACAGGTCAAAGCTTTTTGGCCATTTGTGACATGTTCGTAGCACTGCACATTATTCCACAAGGCAGTGCAACGTTTTGGATGTCAGCCTGCTAACTTGGTCCAGCAGTGCCCGCTCCAATTCTGTTTAAAAGGTTCATATCTCTTTTCAAAGTGTGAATGCATTTGATTATTTCCCGAGTGCCAAAATTTAATTGCCAGTCAGTGAATTATAAGGACCGTGTGACCACTAAGGCTATGAACAGAATAGACCTTGATACTTTGACAGAATCCCTTCTGATTCCATAAATCTTATAGAAAGGGTCCCATACCTGGTAGGGGTCATTGTAGTTGATATCCACAGAAGCTCGTTTCCACCATCTGTTGTTTTCACCTTCGACCGTCCACCTCAAAGTCAACTGACCGTTGATTTCAGTGCGTGTGTAGACATGGAGTGATCCAATATCTTGTCCCAGCATGTGGTAGAAAAAGCGCATCTGAAAAATGAGAGCACAACTGAGAATAATTCTACGGTAACTCATAATGGCAATGATGATGTAACATAGCCAGCTTTTACTGGTGATCAAGTACATTGTCATTACTTCTGCCCGAAGCGAAACGTTCCTTAAAAACCATCCTCTTGAGGTGAAAATGGCTTGATGCAGCTATTCAGGAACGGCTTTTGCTAAGCAACCAGAGAAATGAATTGCTTATCAAAACTCATTTCCCCCAAAACTGCAGTGTGCAGTAAAATGTTTTAATGCCAGTTCCTTACTTATATGAGCTTTACAGGACAGTTAGATTAAAATAACATTTTCTAAATGTCCGGTTGAAAGGTAAGACCCAAGACTCACTGTGCATGTTGATGATCCACTCTCTATGACAGGGCTGGCGAGGCGAGTTCTTTGGTTCTCCCTCTGCGAGAGGCCAATGGTGACAAGGTATCCTGAAGTTGAGAGAAAAATAACAGACAAACAAAATGCAATGAAGTGATCAAAATCGGAGATTAAATTTAATGGAATGGAGGCCAGGAAATGCCCATCAAACAGTAGTCTGGTTTTTTAGTCTTAGACTACCTACAAATCGATGCAGAGTCAAACTTTTAAGGGGGGGGGCTGGTTGCCAACTAAGGTAAATACAAAATGATAAATGTTTACAAGGACAGTTCAAAACCCTGTCTGAAGTGAATGGAGTAGTGGAATTGACCTGTTATAACAACTTTGTTTGAAATTGCACCTGGTCTGAAATGAGGCAGTTTAAGAACAGAGACACAGTTCTAATGTAGTGGACTCAATTGTTTTATATCACAGTTTTACAAGGGTAATGTGCACCAGAAAATATAAATTGTCCTTCAGTCCGCTAGGATGGTGTGAATGATCCTTCTTCTAAAGTCTTGCACAATACACACCATTGTAAATATTTATAATAACAGCCCTAATGCCATCTGAGTACTGCCAGAGTTATGGCCCTAAAATATGTACCATTTGGAGAGTCAGCGGTGTGGTCTTCCATACCAACCCCCGCCGCTGGAACTCTCTGCCAGTCAGCTTCTTCCGTTGTCAGCTGTTCCCAATTGCACAGTCCGCTCTCAAAGTCACAACGGTTGTAACTGCCTGAAGGTGAAAAATCCAAGTAAAAATGGCCATCGACTTCCTGAACTCTCCAAACTGGCATTTATTCCCCACTTATTTCAATCTTGTCTCTCCCTCATGAGATTGCCCTTTGTCTGATTTTCAAAACTTACAATGAATGTCAAACATAACTTTCAAGAACCTATGAAAGGTTATTTTCCTTATAAATTCCATGCAAAGCCTTCAGATCTCGACTCGCACTGAAAAAAAGTGAAATTTAGCTATGCTTCAAATAATTATTTTAGTGCGGGGCGGCACAGATTGTTTTTAGGTGTATGAACAACACGTGAATTTAGAAACTGCAAGTCTCATGAAGTCAGTGTTTAAATCTCAGTTTTGAAAGCATAAGTCTCATTTTGTGAAAGTAACAACTTTGGAGTCGGACAAAGTTAATGCTTTTAACTATACCTTACAATAAAGAAAAAGTGACAGCCTAAGTCACATTTCAGAAGTTACAGAAAAGGTGAGCAGGGATACACATATTGAGTTGTCAAGTTAAGTTGGCATCTCTTTTTACTTCAGCATAAACTTAACATCATTTCATTTGTCTGGTCATATTTTGTCAGTTTATGAGTCGATATTTCAAAACTGCCACGTCATTCGGGAACAACGCACCTGACATCATGCTAGTTCAGAGATTTGAGCTGCATGTGAGTTGATTTCTGTCCACTGTGATAGGGCAGACCTCTTGTGCGTATTAATGTTCTCGAATAAACTACGATGCACTTCCTTTTCTACACACGCTCATTAAGGAAACTCACTGCAGGATTGTTCGTCGGAGCCGTCGCAACAGTCCAAATGGAAGTCACATTTGCCGGATACCGGGTAGCAGTGACTGGAACTGCACCTATCCTGGCCAGCCGGGCAGGTCAACGAGGTGGGCAGGCTGTATGCGCAGTTATCAAAACGCAGGTCATCCACGGCAAAGCCAGACTCCGATGCTGTAACCTGTAGATCTTGTACATCAACTACAATCTGGATTTTTAAAAAAGGCAGTTGTGACGAATTACACCCTTACAATATTAGGTGAAACTTAAACCAATTTATGAAAAAAAAATGAAAGTGGGGATTTTTTCTTTGCTAACCTCAAATCTGTTGGTACAAACACCTACCTGGAAGTCAGTCAGGCAGTTTGGTATGTCCGTGGTCTGCAGGTTCCACCTGCTGTAAGGCCCAATGTTGTCAGACACTTTGCCCAACGTTCTTTCCTTGTCGCTGTATCTGACAGAGACTGTGATGTCACCGTAGGATGGGCCGAACATGTAGTAGTAGAGGTTTAATTTGCAGCCGACACCTGCCAGATGATAGGTGCTTGATACCAGCTTTCCACGCTGGTTGATCGAGGTTTGCATGCCGTCAACATAGATGTAAAAACCTGCAAAAGGGAACGAACCAGAGACTAGAGGTGTGAAGGTGCCACTGAAAACCCAGGCCAAACCTGGGTATTGAAACGTGTAATCTTGCTTTGTCAACCCAAAACGACCTTAAAATACAGCTGTCTGTACTTAGTAAAGTCAGATGGCCTGGTTAGATTAAGTCCTGCCATAATAGTCCATTTTAAAGTGCCTAGGTAAGTTGAACATTAAAGAAGCCCTTTGTTTGCTTTGCCGGCAGGAAAGGAAGAACTTGGAGATGTTTAAAGTTGACTGCAGCTTTCAATCAAGTCAATGGGAACAGTGTTCCAGGACAGGTTAGATGCTGGTAAGCGAAGGATTTGAAAAGTCCCCAGGCCCCTGGTCTGCTTCGGTGTAGTGTGGCTATTAAATTGCAGAGCCTAGCAGCGAGAGTCTAATGGCGGCAAACATCAAAAGATTTAAGGCTTGAAAGAGAACCCATAATTTCACAACCGTGACTCAATCTGACAAAATGAGTTTTGTTTGACTTTGCATAAAACAAACTGGGCTCTTTGTCTTGATATATCACTCAGTTTGGCATCTTGATGGAAACAGACATTATGCGGATGAAAAATATAAGGGTTTGTAGTTTTTAAGGATTTTTGACTGTGTAAGATGCTTTTCAAAGATCTCTTCGAGTGCGGCTCAGGTCCCTTGTGACTAGGTTTGTTAGATTGAGTCACAGATGAGGTAAATATGATGATATATGCTGGAGATTGACAGCAAAGTAGAAACGTAACCTCTTCAAGGCAAATACTTTGGTTGCCCAAGTTATGAACCGCTGGATTCCTGAATGTAGTAATTGTATTATGGGTCATTCTATAAATTTGGGGTCCAATTTTTTCCCCGTCCCTGTTATGTCTGGCATTTGATTTTTAATGTTTAGAATTTATTGTTTAATTAGCAAGACTGAATAAGTACTGCAATTTACCTGCCAAACCAATAAAAATCGTTTGAAATTGATTTCAGTGATACATCCATTGTCAAACTTGTCAGATGGTAAACAAGGCAGAGGTAACAAGGACAGAAAAATGTGACACGTTGAACCCCAAGTTTATAGATGACCCAACATAAAGGTATGCGGGCACTGCATTTTCTCGTTTTTTTTCTTTTAAAACCTGGTGGGTTGGTTGCCGTGTGGTCAAACTCAGGTCCGCCAAACGTATCAACCTCGTTGCCGTCTCGCAGTTTCCAGTCAAAGTCATCACTCTGCACCTGTGTCCAGCCGCAAAGTGTTTGATCCTCAAAGGTACACACAGAAGCTGTAGAAAGCACACAGAATTTTTCAACGACATTTCTTTCCGTCAAAGGTTTACTCCATAAGTTGCTCAAGTTTTAATTGAAGACAATTTCATATCTGTCCACAACAATTTCCGAATCATAGATACTAACAAGTTTAAAAACATGTTCAGCATCTGATAGGAAAATGGTTCAAGAGTATATGACTGTAAGAAGGCTTGTTGGTGTCCATTACAGTTGAAATTTGTCTTTGTCTGGTAGGAAATTCTTTCAAAGTCTTGATTAGAGCCATATAAACTGAACAACGTTGTAGTTGTAGAATAAATGTATGCCTCGGAATAAAGAGCCTTGTAAATTTGAAGGTATATCTGGACAAAATATGTAACATTTTAACCTGGCACAGAATGCAACAGAGATAGAGAAACAAATGAGAATGGACAATTACATGGAAACAGATCAAGTAACCAAGATATTTTCTAGACAAAGAACAGTGCACTGTGTGGTTAAAAAATCAAGTCCAGAAATTTCACAGATCTATTCGTGCTGATAAGGACTAATTGATAATTAACGCAATAAAATGCTAAGGCATTCCTTGAAGGAGTATCTGAAGAGTGTTGAAAGTAGAATTATCCAATTTAAAAAAATCCCCGAGCAGAAGAAACTTACGACATGTGTCTTCATCCGATCCATCATTACAGTCAAACCGGAAATCGCACATCAGTTCATGTGAAATACATGTCCCGTCTGTGCATCGGAATTCGCCAACCTGGCAATTGGGGTGGGCTAGGGACAAGAAAGTAAAGATATCAGTTAGGGCAGAAATGATGAAAAAAAGTTATGGGAATTATACAGACACAATCCAATTCTTTAGTAATTTTATTTCCTCTTTGTATTAAGTCCCAAAATACATAAAAGAATATATAACTCAAGTTAAGAACAGTAGGAAAAAACAGAAAGGTCTCAATATTGAGTAAAGCATACAATTACACATGACAAATTCACAAAGAAGCAAACATCTAGAAACATGTGCTAGGCAGTGTATGCACAAATTACAACTACAGAAATTGAAATGTCTTCTGAAAGGGCTAGTTATGGGCTCGACTCTAACACTACTGACTCATTCGATGCACCTGTAGATCCCTCTTTGCATGAGTTTTTATTCTGATAATTTGATTTCAATTATGAATAGTAATACAAGCTGATTCCATCAATAAAACTGGTGAAAACAGGTGCACATAGATTAAAGTGTTGGAAATGTAAACCTACATGTTGGTACTGCGTGATCTGGAAGAGAGTTGGTCGGGTCAAGCACGCAGCCAGGGGTGAACGAAACATCGTCAATCATAATGTCAAAGTCATCACTGGCTGCAGAGGCAGATGTGCCTTCAATGATAATCTGCAATAAAGGAAAGCAATATTGAAAGTTTCTAGTGCTAACAACTGCACTGAACGACTCCTCTTTATGTAAAAAAATTGAAATTCACGGGGCACCATAAGTTTTGAGTTAGAAAAGCTACTGATGTTCATTTTGAAACTGAAATGTTATCTCCTCTTTTGGGAAAGTAAATTGTAGTCAGGTTACATTTTCAGGTGAAAGTACACCCATAATTCATGTTCAATTCCAACCACGCTGAATCAAGCAAGATTCTGCAAAATATCAATGTGCTCTAGGGGATTAAGTTCAGAAGTATGATGTTGTCATTTCCTTGTGACTGACGAAAATCAAAACTTGACGATCTCTGGGTCTCAGATTTTGATCATTCTTGAATCTTTCTCAAAGAAAAAATGACACAAATTTTGCAACTGCGCGAACTGGTCTTTGAAGATGGATTATGGGGACTGGTGGCTAGGCATTGACTTCTAATCATCAGGTTGGGGACTTGAATGGAGTGGCTGGTGACATGTTGTGTCCTTGGACAATGCAAGCCACTTGACCCCAACTCACCTCTTTCCAGCCAGGGGTGGGTACCAACATGGGTAAAGATGGCTGCTCTGTTTGATCAGCTGTTTGGGCCTTAAAAACAGTATCCAGCAGTACATCCTTCATGGAGCTGGGATTGTTTATATATGAGGCATGTTTATGGGCCCAGAGAGCAAGGGTAATATTAAACATGTCAACTGAAAAATTTCTGAGACAGATTACACCATACAAGACATTTACTGTAATCTAGGGTTGAAAAAAAATCTTCGACAGTGCTTCTGTAATGTGAAAATATTTGTTTATTGTTTTTTTTTTTGGTGATGAAGTCTTCACCTTGAATTTAGCCTCAATGTCAATCTCTTCCTCCGCCCGTTTCCAGGCATCGTCTTGACTACCGGAGATGGTCAAGATGGGTGACGGGAAATCTAAGACAGAGTAGCGCTGGTAGACGGTAAGCTTGCTGATTGCTGCACCGTACATGCGATACCAGAAGCGAACCTGGCAGATCAATAGTAATATTACTATTACACATTTCTGGTTATGAAAACAAGGATTTTTCAGAAGTGCTCAAGGCACTGTAGCTCGTAAGCCTGAAGAAACCTGCCAAGAGGAGACAAGAAGTAACAGTTTAGGTAGAAGGAAAACCCTCCCAAAAATACTTTGGGTAAAATCTGGGTACAAGGACTGAGAACCCAGTCCACGTGAGGATTGTGTTTGATTTTTAAGGCCAGAATCAATCTAGGGCCAAAGAAAGTTGGAATACAAACCCTTACTTTGCCAAATTTTGCCAATCATCGCATGGTGGCCATTAATTACACTAATCTTGTGACTTTGTTTATATCAACTTTCAATCACAGCAACCAAACATGCTTCACTTTTCAGCAATCCAAAGCACGAACACACTTTTCAGATTTCACAGAAAGACTGATTTCTATCAAAACTGGAGTTTCATGGAAGTCAGACTTCACTGCAAACTTAAGAAAGTGAAAGGGTACCTTGCATGATCCATCAGCTGGTGGCTGCAAGAACACCACACTGCTCAATCTTGCCTTGACGTTGAACTCAGTGGTGCTAATATATTGGAAGGTTCCTGAGGGGTGGGGCAAAATAACATGGGGGAGGCAGGCAACAAGGAAATAGAGGATGTCATAGGAGAAAGCATAAAGATGTTCCCTCTATGGGGTCATTATAGACAACTCCATCAAAAGTTACCCACTCCTACGGTAAGTCACAAGCTACTCTTTTTTATCCTGCTGAGTCTTCTGAAGTTTTTTTAAAAATGAAAATATTGTTCTTACGAAAATGCAAACTTCAGTAAGACTTACAGGAGGCAAAAAATGCAAAATTTTGGTGCTGACGGCTTAAATACATGAAGAAGGAAAGAGTCTTAATAAAAAGTTCACAGTGCAGGTAGGATCTTCAGTTTGTGGAATCCACTTCTATCCATTATGATGCTAAAGACCTCAGCCCTTTGCTAACCAGTGCCTGGAAAAAAAACACCCCAACAATTCCTTTCCTTCACAATTCATGTCCATAATGGAAGAGTGAGAAATCACTAACCAGCGAGAGAGTTGGTGGTGTGATCTGGATAGCCGAGTATTGAGGCTGGAACAAACGTCCAATCAATGTCGTCATCAGAATCTTGCATCCAATTGCACAGTCCCAATTCAAAGTCGCAACGTTCACGGTAGTCATCTGTGAATGATGAAAAGTAAAGCATCTGTAACACGCTATATGTATGCAATCTCATGCTTGATGTATTCAACGCACAAGCAAGTACAAGAGAATGACCTTGACCGGGCAAAAAAGACCGCCGTGTTTATGCGTTCTTAGAGACAGACAGAGGATTTATAATTAGGCCATCAGTAATATTATACAAAGAGTAAGATTTGATAAGGATTTGCGGGTAAACCATGGGTTCTATCTCTTCAAGAGGAGGTGGGGTTCTGAAAGGAACCGGTGAAAGTTAACTCAATCTCCTAGGGATGGCCATGGCATCGAAGTTGAAACGTCAAGTGAACACTCACCGGTTCTTTTCAGCACCCCACCTCTTCTTGAAGAGATAGATCTCATGGTGTACTCACAAATCATCACTACATGTAATTACGAAATGGAGCACTGCATGACTCATCTTTATGTCAACAAAAAGTCCCATTACTTTTACCACAGAGATTCGCGCCTCATTCATGAGGACTGAAGAGTTATACAATGTCCACGCGTCATGGCTGACTCATAAAGGTTGGATGGCAGTTTAATACTTGCTGATAAGCGGTAGCCTCATTCAAGGAGCTGGGGAGCCCCCACCAAAAAAATTGTTGTATCCCAAGAAAATAACATTAAAGAGGGTCTGAGAGTTGTGTAGAAGTATTGCCCGGCGTAGTCGTGCACAGAGACACATTGTTTATGGGTACACCATATACAGACGTATTCCCTTTGAATGTAAGAGGCTTTGGCTCTGTGAAGAGTGGTGGTGAGCAAGGTTTCGACGTCTCAAACAGTCTGTTCTGTTTGTCCTAGGGAAAGCAAGTCCACACTCACCACACGATGCTTCATCCGAGTTGTCCCCACAGTCATCTGAGTAGTCGCATTTCAGGGCATCCGGAATGCACACGCCGTTCCCACAGACAAAATCGCATGGAAGGTGCGGGTCTAGAGCGCATCCATCAAAGGTGATGTCGTCAACAGCAACAGAGTCAATGCTAGCCGCATTTGCCTCAAACTGGATCTGCAAACAGCAAACAGCCAGTGTTGTAGTCAAGACCCTCACAAGACCAGACACAAGACCACAACTTATATATGTACGTGTACCAAGACAGACATTGAACGAATAAATTGACCTGATATTAGCTACAGACTTTATATACAGAGAGAATGTCATTTAAAATGTTTACCCTGAAGTTGTTTCTCCGTCGTTCAATGCCGACGTTAGCCTCCTGCCATTGCGTGATTAATCCTGTTCCTGTGGGGTGCCACAAGTCAAGGACTTCTGACGGAGCAGTTGAATCGATTGCCTTGAGAGAAAGACTACCTCCAGAAACCATCTACATGTACAATCAAACACAGACAAAATAAATGTTACCAGCACTGAAGTTTGTGTGAATTGAGATGAAATGGGCTATGTGTATTCCACAGTAAAATTGTGTGAACGAGCATGTGCGGGCTCAATAACCTCACAATGATTTGCAAAGGGGAAAACTCATGGTGGCTTCAGTTTTCTTTGGTTGGACCAACGCAAACAGAATAATTTTAACTAGATACCAGTCCCGTTGGACGTTCTGGGCGACCATTTGGAACCAGGTGCTGGGGTGCAGTTGCATAGCTGGTTACCAATAGCATTGTTTACGACTTGAACACAGAGGGAACTACCGACACGTTTGAGCCACATGCAGCGACAAAGAGTGACGATGCAATTTTGCAGAATTGTTTGGCCAGGGTTGATTGAGTGCATTCCATGTGCGCATAAAAGAAACTAAAGGTTTGTGCCTGGACTCGTTTATACAATAAGGTAATGCAGCGCCATCTACTGCTCGTGCACAAAAATGACATGGTTCATGTGAAAAAGGTTATAAGGAAAACAGTGTTGTGGGATATATGGGTCCGGACTCCATCCATTTTTGATGGACCCAGATTTTTTTTTGGGGGGGGGTCTTGAACAGAGGCCAAGAGACTCAAGAACCCAATGTGCATCCCCTCAAAAACGGCCGTTTTGTTATCCTCATGCACCTTTCGGGAAGGCAAATACAGGCAAACAAATTGAAACTAAAAGATAAGTAAATTGACGAAAACTGTTGAACACTCTCACAGCTAGAAATGAGACAAACACTTATGAAGCTCGTTTTCCTTGGAAATTCTTGTACTCTTCTAGTATTTTGCCAACAAAAAAATATATAAAAAAGTTGGAAAAACATTAGTTTCATAGAAAGTTTCAGACTAAGATTTTGAGGTCTTTAACTCAAACCAGTAGGACTTGGACTTGAATTGGTGGACTGAGCTACAAGCTTGAAAGTAGAGACTTACGTTACTGACAAACCAGAACTTGATCTTGCAGAGGGCACTGGTAGGGCTTAGCAGTGGACTCTCTAAGACCACAGGGCTGGCAAATAGTCCACTACCCGGGCTGATCTTCATGAAGAACCCTGTGTTACGTAGAGAAGACAAAAGATCAGTCATGCCTTGGTTGATGGTAGTTGAACTTGTGTGTTTGTTTGTTTGGTGTTATCATGAAAAACTCGGCTAGGGATAAATTTGTACCCCACGGTACATTTCTTTTGATATGACTTTAACAATTTCTTTGTGTGTGCCAACATTAAGTTTTTCCACTGATGTCTTGAGATCATTTTTTTCTGAAATTTGACTTGCTGTTCTTGCAAAGCGCTAATTTACCGAAGATAGGTCAGCCCAAAATGTCAGCTGTTGCGATTGGGCTTTCATGTAACAGTGCATGAAATATAATGACCATAACGACAAAAGCGTGGGTCAGATGGAACTGAAACTTCACAGTTGTTGGTTGAGAAGGTAAAAATGAATAGTTCTTTTTAGAGATGAGGCCAGCCATTCAAATTTCCAGTTTCAATTTCTATGGCTTACCAGATCCAGAGGTGTGGTCACCAGGGGGGATGAGCGATGGAGCCCCCTGTTGACGAGACCAGGCCAGGTTGCCAGTGCTAACGTCACTGTAGCCACACTGGTCCAAAGGTTCAAAGTCACAGGTTCCTATGCAGGAAAGGATGAAAGTGATGAAAATCTTTTCCACAGTGATTTGGGGTACAAACAGCAGATATCAAACATTTTGGGACAACTTTGTTCCATGAATAGACTCTGTGCAAACAAACAAAAAACTCCAGTGTAGTTTTGCACTAACAATCAATTTCAAATAGAGTTGCATGGCTTGGTAACGTTTTAAACAACGTAAGTATGTTGGATACAAACACAGCTCTGAACAACTGACCACCATGGGTATAAAATAACATGTGCTAAGTCCCACAATATGAAGGTCTGTGGTTGTAGTATCATGTCAATTGAGAGGATCAAACGAATTCTACTAAGTCACTCATGGCAGTGGTGGCGTTTTAATGAGTTGGGCAAAATAATATACCACTCCAGGGGGCAATTTAGGAGTGATTACTTGAACATGTTCCGATGAAACATGCCACAGGTTGCCATAGAAAATACATGCATGAAATGTCTCACCACAGTTGGTTTCATCCTCGGCACCTGGACAGTCGGGTGTCCAATCGCAACGCTGCGTTTGGTTGATGCATTCCCCAGTGACGCACTGCCAGTTGTTCTTGCCGCAAGGGCCAACGGTGGTCGTGGGCATCCTCGTTGGGCCTACGGGGAGGGGATCTAGCATAAAGACATACCGGACGGAATTAGATTTGCCTCTCAGAGAGTCTGGAGTCAAAATCCCTCTTACAACTTTACACATGAATGAAGCAGCCACAGGCCAACCACGTGTCATGAAACATTCTCCTTTCCACTTTTCAATCATTAGTTCACATACTTGCAGATCGCTTGCAATCTGGTGTGAATGATGTGTCGTCGATAGCAATGTCACCATTCGGACCACTGCCAACCATGGCTTCCAAAATCACCTAAAAAATCCACAAAATATGCATTTCACTCTGAGAGCAAAAATAATTCAAGGTCACAATGTCGCTCAGTGCATTTCAATAAATTTTAATGGGAACAAAGCTTTGTAGAACCAAAAATGCCTGACCTGGAAATCTTGGGATGATGTTAGAATGATGTCAATTCTCTCCCAGTAATCCCCGATGTGACCCGTCCGAGAGAACAGGATGGTTTCATCTCCGTGGATTTCAGTCCAAGACTTGACCCTGACAGTGTCAATGTCGTCACCAAACATATGGAACCAAAGCCGCAGCTAGATAGACAATTTAAAAAAAAATTCCAAGCTGAGAATCGAAACAGAAAAAGAAATCAACATTTTTGATAAAACTGCTTAATTGTTGAGGTGTATTTGTCATAAGCTTTCCAAAGAGCTACTGTGTATAAACAAGTTGGCCCTGGATATTAAAATTAAACAATGGAAAATGTTCAAGTTTGAATTGGGACAACACACAATGTAGAAGATCAAATAAATGGTCTGTCAATGGCAGTCTGGTACCTGACAGTCTTCTCCTGGCTGAACAGCCTGTATTGTTGGGCTTGCCATGCGGGCCACATCACCATCAGATTGGCCGCTGGCATCGATGAATATGTAACTACCTACAAATTAAACAAAAATTGAACACTTAACAACTTTAAAGTTGGGTTCTTACCCATACCTAAATTTTGCCGAGTATATAATATTTTGAAAATCACAGTCAGGCAGTGTTTTCCGAACTTAGAAACAGTGTGAGTAATGATAGTTGAATAGCAAACCAGGTACCTGAACTCTCCCCGTTCAGATTTTGAAAATAGTCTCCGGATCCCATAAAGGGGAGTCAGGTTAGTGGCTCCCTTCTTTCCTTCCATCTCTGCAGTCCGGGTCTGATTCCCAGCTCGGATGTAGATTGGGTTTTCAGGCCCTACCCCGGTTTAGACCCACAATATTCCTCTGTGGTTTTCCTCCCAACTCTAAAACTGTAAGTGCTTCTTATTGGTTCCTCTCCACAGGTCTCTTCAGATTTAAAGCTACAGTGCCTGGAGCGCTTATGGAATCCTTGGTGTCATTACCAGATATAATTAATAATAATAAACAATAGAAACAGTACTTAGGCCAATTCAGGTATTTCGTTTCAGTTTGCATTACAAAGAGCAAGCTGAGCTGCTAAATTTAGTACATCACTAAGATTGGAATCCTGATGAGAATGGATATGGGTGAAAATGTTGAAGGTTACTATTCCATGGTTCCAGATTCTTTCAAAGGTATGTGCATCAAAAGTAACCTTGGCGAATTATGAGTCACTCTTTTACAATTTTTCCAAGGTATGAAAACCAGCTGCTACAAACCTGTTGGTCCATTGGTTGTGTGGTCACGCAGTGGTCCGGTGGCCAGGTCACCACTAGCTGGTCCAGCCGTCCTCGACCAATCAAAATTGTCGTCCAGTAGCTGCTGCCAATCACAGAAGTTGGAATCGAAATCGCAGCGGTCGTACGAGGCTTGAGGTGCATCTGTGAAAACAAGAAATGATACGAATAAAAAACAAAACAAAATCATTCATGAGAACTAGAAATACGTAAGCAGGAACTTGAAATGGAATCACCAACTGCTCTCTCATCTTTAAGCACTTGCGCCAATGGTACCATTCCACGTCACAACTGTCCCCGGTACAGTATTATTTTCTGAGGTGACAAAGGTACTTAAATCACAATCCTTTCGCCTACGGTACCATTCCACATCGCAACCGTCCCTGGTACAGTGTGATATTCTTAGGTGACAAAGGTACTTAAATCACAATCCTTGCGCCTACGGTACCATTCCACATCGCAACTGTCCCTGGTAGAGTATGATTTTCTTAGGTGACAATGGTGCCACAATCACAGCCCTTCACAAAGTTGGACATTCCACATTGTCAAACCAAGTGGTCTGCTGGGAATGGCCATCCATTGTGCGTTATTAAACTCACAAGTGGCATGCCCATGATGGTAACACATTCACTTACCATAAGGAGGAAGTTCTCTTGTGAACCCTAAGAGGCCCCGCCTTTTTTAAGCATTTTCTTCCAACTTTATGGCAATAGGGAAATTAATACAAAAAATGACAAAGCAGTTACCTACAGGCTTATGGAGGGTAGCAAACCCTTTAACAAGAATATGTCAGGGTTCCCAGCATTTCATGGGAACAAATTCGCTGACGTTTTCCTGATTTTTCCCTAGTAGTAAAAGATTCCAGGATCATCATTTTGGCTTTATGGTCTGATAATGGGTGTTCGAGTTGCAGTTTATGAGGATACAGGTGCACCACTGTGACATTGATACAGAGGGAAAGAGGCATTTACTACAAGTACACTGAGCTATACTGCAAAGTCACCATAGCCATGCATCATCCAGAGAATTTGCTGTTTGGTATGGGCAAGAGGCGAGAAAGTCTGACCACTGGACAAACAAAATTCCCTGATTTTTCCCTGATTTGAGAGACTTTTCTCAAATTCCCTGACTTTTCCCTGATTGGAAAAAAAGGAGGTCCTTTTCCATGGTTTCCCTGATTTCCAGGTTGGCTGGGAAGCCTGATATGTGTATCATGTGTCATGTACCACACTAACAAAAAATGAAAATACCAGTGACAGGTTATTCACACGAGCATGACAGAAATATAAAAGTCACAGGAAGATTTCTGACGTATACAGCAACTTCAAACAACTATGACAAGAAGTCCCATGCGCTTTCATTTCTGTCTGAGATGACTTACTGCAGACTGAGACTGCCTCGTCTGAGTAATCGCCACAGTCATCGCTGAAGTCACAGACACGGTCGTTGTTGACGCAAGCCTGACTGGCACACCGGAACTGGTTTGTTCCACAACTCCCAGAAACGGGCTCTGCAAGCAGGTACAAGGAATAAAATTTGTAATGAACAAATGTTTACCAATATTTTGAAACCTGCATATTCAAGTTCGTGATTCTTGAACATCAGTTTTCGTGTGGACGAAAAAGACAATTTATGATTATTCCCAAAATAGTCCCGGCAATCTCGTCAGCACAAGCTCGTCACATTTTAAGGAATTTTAATTTGTGTGTAGGTAGGTCTGGGTATGATTCTGGCTATGATTATGCGGGTCTCTGAGTAACGGCCTCTATGCAGGTAAAAAATGTTGACAAACCTGGTACCCCGCAACCACTGAAGCTGATATCATCAATGGCAATATCGCCGAGAACGCTGAAACTCCGATAGGCTTGGAAGACAACCTGGGAAAGAGGAAAAACAACACCAAATTCACTGTGACCAGGCGACCAGGAGTCGTTATAAACTAACTCTGCACTTCACCACTGGTATGCCATGGCATGGTTAAAACAAAGCAGCTGATGAGAGCCCACAACTTCATGTACTCACAAAGAAATCACTTGGCACTCGTCCAATCGGTGCCACTCCCTCATTCCACCGGTTGCCATGGTCCCCTGTCAGCTGTAGAGGGTACAGTATGTAGTATGTCTCCACCAGAAAGATGGTCAGGACACCGATGTCTGATCCCTGCATGTGGTACCAGAACCGCAGCTCGCAGCTGGCGGCCGAGTTGCGGAGGGTGGGGCTGTGAAGCTCCGCCCATGCAGAGCCAGCGTTGGAATTGGAATCCACATACATGTACCAGCCTGTGTACAAAACAGGAAGAAATCAGTACACTTAACTCTGTGGTCAGAATTTTGTGCAACTGCAAACAAAATGGACATATCGAGAAAAGATACGTCTAAATTTTGAAAGAGATACTAAGATCCTAAGTGCTATGTGCTTTTATGCGGTAGCTTAGGAATTCTTGCTGAGTATTTGTTACCTTGAGCTGTGAGTGTAGTGTGGTCATAGGTAGGTCCCGTGTTCTGGCTAGGAGTGGCACCCCGATATCGCACCCAGGTGTAGGCCCCATTGTCATAGTTAACCCAATTGCACTGGTCTGTCTCAAAGGTACACTGGTGTCCTATGGAAACCAATTAGAACAAAATGTAGAAGAACATTACAAAAAAATCACAAAGACAGATTTTTAGAGAAGTTTTTCTTCCTGTTAATATCCAGCCTCTTCAGGAGCAAGTTGGCAAACGATCAATGGGTCCCTTCAAATTTTTCGCAGGGTGTCAGTGTAGACCACAAAACCTTACAAGGCAGCTCCAGACATTCAGTCTGAATTAAAGTCATAAGTTATTTAAATGAGCTTAAAAAGAATCTTTTTGTGATTGTGCAACCTGTTACTTATGACTGGTCTTTTATACGGTCTTGTCTGGCACTGGGTTTGGTCTTTGTCTGGTCACACAGCTGGTTTGACTGGTTTTTTGGTTGGTCTTGTGACTGATCTTAGGATTGGTCTTGTCAATGGTCTAGTTGAATAGTCTGGGGATGGTCTCGTCTACAACACTGCTGCTTAGAAGTACCCAGCACCCTTACCACCTTAAACCCAATTCCCAGAAACAAAACTGAAATAGTAAGGATTCAAAAAAGTTGTCTAGTTTTTTCTTACCACATGCTTCTTCATCTTTCCCGTTGCTGCAGTAGCTGATGAAATCACATGTCTGGGACTGCGAGGCACAATCGCTGGTGCCGTCATCACAGGTTGTATAACATGGGTCGACAGGATCTGTGATGAAGAGTTACACAACATCAAGGCCGTCACAAAACTGACCGCTTTTCGACAAAGTGATGCTCTTTGAAAAAGAAAATCTCACAGGTCAATTAATTAAAATCAATGTGGCAGTAACTTGTTTCAATGTCATTTTTTGCTTGATTTGTTAACCTACCTGGGCATGTGCCGGTGCTTACAACGATATCATCTATTGCTATATCCCCGGCAAACGATGACCCAATCACGGCCTGGAATGTCAACTCAAAGGGGGAGTTGTCATTGGGCGAAATGGTCACCCGTGCCACTCTCCAGACGTCATCTTTGTCACCAGAGACTGTCCAGACATTGTGGATTGTTGAGGAGTAGATTGGCCAGGTCCAGACGTTGAGCGAGCCCACCTGACTGCCGTACATATGGTACCAGAATTCAAGGCAATAGTCGCCGTCATCAAAGACACCTGAGATAAGGAAGGCGAAGTCGCCTTGCTGTCTAGGTGAAGAAGCCTCGGCATACAGATAGGTACCTGAGAATGTAAGAATTTAAATTAGACACATGTGTTAGAAGTTGAATGTTGTTTGAATGGACAACTGTAAGTGGAAAGGAAAATTTACATCTATTTTCAAACCCGGGTACTATGACAATGTATAAAAGAGAGCAGGTAAATTCTTGAAAGTAGTGAGAACTTATATATGTACATGTACCATGAACATTTAAGGAAACTTCAGCCGAAAACCTCTTGAGAGAAGTGAGAACTTAGATATTTACCAAGATAAGTAATAACTAAAGGAAGTTCTAAGGAGAGGTTTGTTGCACGTTGAAGTTGTGAGAATCGGAATATGTCCTCGACAGGTTTGAAGATAACTTGGTATCTAGAAACTGCATGGAGAATTCAAGTTCTTGGAAATTCTAAGAATAACTTGGACTAGTATTGCCTGTATTTAGAAATTTACTTGGATATTGCAAAAAAGAACTTAAATTCTGGAAGAAATAGGAAAATGGTGGATGTGGAAGTTGGAAGGACAATTTAGACACCTGCTTCAAAGTTATGCAGGTAATACAGATGGATCCCTGGAAGTGATAAGGACAATTAGATAAGTACTAGGACGTTTTCAGGATATTTTGGATGAAGAAATGGGAATTGTAAGGAGAATTTGAAGCTGTAAGGAACAACTTGGAAGTTTTGCAAAGACTCTGAATGTCATTTGAAAGCTGTGAACCCTAAACAAACTCACAAACGATATCCAAATGTTTACCTGTCTTGTCCCCAGCAGAGAAACTACCGGTAGGATGGTTTGTTGAAGAAATACACAGGAGGTATAAACACCGGGTTAAGTGCCTTGACAGCATTTCTCTCTCATTAATTTGTCTACACTGTTTTCCATGTCCACATAATTTTCTCTTGGTTTGAAAATCTTGTTTTCTCACCATAAGCACTTCCTAGAGTGTGGTCCACTAATGGCCCTGTGTTATCAGACAGTGTCGCCCCCTGTTGGCGCATCCAATCAAAGTCGTCCACTGAGCCCTCTGCATTTTTCCACGTGCACGTGTCGCCCGTCTCAAAGTTACAGTCGCCAAAGGGATTGCATGGGCCATCACTACGGAAACGGATGTCGTCGATGGCAATGTCTCCTTGCCAGGACAGGCCTGTCACTGCCTCAAAGACAATCTGACACAAGACAAGGTTTCCACAACCGAGTTTATATCTCTTTCAATCAAGCAGGCTTAATTGATTTGATCTACATGCTTTATACTATTGTTGCATATGTCTGGTGCCTCACATTCTGCAAAAGTAACGTCTATGACCGTACAGTCACCAGACGATCCCTAATTTTGCCTTCTAATGCAGAAACTAACCTCACAACAGGTATGACGCTAGGCAACGGCCTACTCTACGGTCATGGAAGTTGGACACACATATTTTTGCTCAAGTTCCTTAAATCTGAGTTTAGTGACCCTCTGACTATAACAATGAGAATAGAATCCACAAGAATTTCATTAAAAGCATCAGCTTTGAGTAACCCATACTTGTTTCCATTAACGCAATCTTTCAAACGTTTTTCCTCAGTTTTATTCGGCTAAACTGGATAAGTCGGTTATTAACTGCAGTCCAGCCCATCACAAGTTATCTCATCTTAAGTCAGGTCATAAGCTATTCCAATGAACTAAGTGCATTTCTGCACCACTTTACAGCCTGGTAATTGTGACTGCTCTGGTGCTTAAACCCAGCAAGAGCTGTCGATGTCCGTTTTTACCTGGAAGTCTGTTACTGATGAGACGGTCACTTCAGCCACATACCACTCATCATAGATGGAATAATCCTTGGACCACAGCTGAACGTAGTTGTTGGAAGCTGTCATGTAGACAGTAAGGGTGCCAATGTCCACTCCGATATTGTGGTACCTACACGTAAATGATATAGTCCCAAAACGTCCATATCACTATTAATATCCCTCTTATTTAGGTCCCCTTCAATGTTTCACGATAAATATGGCACTTTTGGCATACCACATAGATGTATATCATTGTTATTGGAAATGCCTAGACCCGCAAAGTACTGTTTGATAATGTTACTGAATAAGCTCCTGAATTGGGTTCCATGCTTTCAAAGCACCAATCAATATATGATTTCAAGGTTTGCACTGCGGATGTAGCAAGGAGATGCAGGTTACCAGTAACATCATAAGAATCTCTTTTGCGCAGAGAGGCTTATGTGGATACTTATGTGGTATGCTTTCTTCATTGCGTGGACACTGAACATGATCCAATTTTTCATTGACTGACTTCGACATCATTGTCACTACTGTCGTTTTTATGACAATTGTCATCGCCATTGTCCACCATCAATATTACTGTCATCACTGTCAACAATCAACTATTAATACACCAACTATTAAGATGATCAGAGACAGAGCTGTAAAGTACATCAGGCAAATGGGTAGTTAGTTAGTAAAGTTTTCTTGGTAACAACTCCTCCTTCCCCATGGCTGTAAATGGATACATGTGATCTATCACCATATATTCAATCAAGATAGAGATCAAGGTTGTAACTGTCTTTGTCAGATCTTTCTTTCCATATCACAGCTGCAATAATGCCTTTCAAACATGTCATCTTTGTCACTGCTGTCAGTGTCACCTTCACTATTTAGGGGACGGCCTCAATATAAAGGTTATTAGGACTGGCATCACTATTTGGGGACAGTTCTGAATCTTATTGCAATGCTTGCTTGAGGACAGGTGTCACTATTAGGGGACAGATGTGAACCGTGATCATTTCAGTAATGTAAAAGGTACATGTACGTCAAGTACTGATGTCACTTACCAGAACTGCAAACAGCGGCCGGTGGTTGGGGCATAGACTGGGCTGTCCAGCCGAGTCACATCACCTGGAACCCTCGGAGACGACATCTCGGCATACATGTAATGGCCTGCATGACAAATTGCACATTTGCCAGAAAACAAAACATTAGAAGGCCACAATCAAGCGTGGGGTTTTTCAAAATGAAGTCTTAAATTTGAAATGTTTTTCAGATGATACTTGCTTTGCTCAACATTCATCTTTAGATGTACCCCATATTACAGATTGAATAGTTTAGATGCAATGTTACATGGGTAATTCCTGAAATTAGGGGTCCAAAAGCGTGACATTTGTGTATCCCTGTTACATCTGACCTTTGTTATTTAACATTGAAATATCACCAGAACCTATTTCAAACTATTACTATTTGTTAGGCAGGTAATTTGCATAAATTCATCACTCTTGGAAATTAGAAATGCGTTAAGAACTTACAAAATCATAAGTCAGATGTGACAAGGGCAAAATATTGAACCCCCAATGTCTGGAATTACCCACATACTACCATGCACAGACTTTGTGGCCACAATTTATGGGTTCTTTAAACTGTACATGGAAATCTTTTCACAAATTTCAGTTTTTTAGACTGTTTTACGAGGTTTCAGTGTTTCTTTTACGGGAGTTTTTGATTACCTTTGAGGGATTAAATAAAAAATTTGTGACTGTGACAATATTTTGCTTCACAGTGCTGATGACTTGGTCCATGCAGGAAGAAGTGATGACCTGTTTTTATAAGGAAACAACCTCCCTCCAGCAGGAAAACATGGCATGCAGGCGTGGGTTTATATCAAATCACCGCCCAATGTGCTCAACATTCATGAACAGTTTCTGTTTTAAAATTTGGTCAAGCAATATCATGCAAATAGCATAGATTCATATATTCCGAATAAAAAAAAGCTTTTAAGGACAACTAACTGTGTTTGTATTATACACAAGCATAAGTGAGGCTTAATATTATCGTGTTCTAATCTACAGGTTGCCATGCTAAAAGGGATTTACCTAAGTCAGTCTGGTAAGTGTGGTCTGAACCTGGTCCAGTGCCCTGACTCGGAGTACCTCCCTGATTTAGCGTCCAGTCAAAATCGTCGGCTGAGTCTTGTGTGTATCCACACAGCCCATTCTCAAAATCGCACAGCTCTGAAAATGAGTTTTAACATACACAACACTCATGTCATTAAAGATAACCACATCAGCTGCAGTGGTTGCAAACTTTGAAAAGAAATGTAATAAACCTAACAACCTTTCCCTTTAAGAAATACTAAATCGATTCACCTCCAGCGGGACAGGGTCCTGTGTGGAATGTGATGTCATCTAATGCAATGTCGCCTTGGTAACTTGGACCAGCAACTCCTTCCAAAATAACCTACAGACAAAAGCCATTATCTTTACTCAGACAAAAAAAACATGATAGAGCTGACACATTGCAAACTTTCCCGTAGTGTGTCGTCAGTCATTGTGATTTTGTTTAAGATATTCATAAATATTCTTCAATTTGTACGAATTGATTAACACGTGACAACACAGCCACTCCCAATATTCGAACAGTCCAGATCAATATAAATGTACGTGTACATCTGCATATCCTGCATAACGTATTAATCATAAAGTTCGTCTTCCTGTGGAAAATGTATCATTCCTTGGTTCCGAGTGAGTAAAAGAATCTGAAAAACTATTAACATGCCAATAAATCTGCACAAATGTGTACACCTAACGCCGATTGGTCATCAGGAAGGCTATCGTTCCTTGTTTCTACAAGAATAATATAAACTTACAAATTTACATAAATCTACATAAATTTCAATATCTAGCACTACCTGGTCATCAGAAATGGTATCCTTACTTGCTTCTGCTGAGACAATATTATTTACAAATTTACATAAATCTACGTACACGTAAATCAGCATACCTGATACCGATCGGTTTCCAAAAAGTGTATCATTCCTTGGTTCCACTGTGGCCCGAAAGAACCCACTTTTGTCCAAACTAAAGTCTCAACTCCGGTTGGGTAAGTCAGCGTGTAGATATTCAGATCTGCGACATGAGGGCCATACATATGGTACCAGAACTCCATGCAATAACCAGCGCTCGTCACATTACGGAAGTATTGAGAGGAGAGACGGGCTGTGTCGTTCTCATTTTGACCTGTGACCTCTATGTATACATAATGACCTGGAAAATGTGGAATATAAGCAGAATAAAAAAAAGTTGGTTGAATCTGATGGATGTCTAGTGCCCTGAAGATTTCATTGTACTTGTCTATTTGATTATGTACATGTAATCTCCAGTCTAGTATTCTGTCAAGTTATGATTTTAAACATTAATGATGATTTGTATTTCACCTCATGGTCTGAAGTGTGCAGTTTGCCAACCTGTACTAAGCAGATTTCGGTGGGCTATGAATATAAAACCGAACAATAGTTTGCAAAGTGTTGAAAACTAAGGTGAAAATGTTCAATCCCTAAATGACGAATACTTTGACTAAATACTAAAGGAATTGTTTTCCCATTTTAACAGTCATTAAACAAAAAGTAGGTTTTCAGATGACACCTGTTGGCAATCAAAGAAAACGTTTGCATGCTTTGGCCGCCAAAACGAAATGGCGTTCAATTTTTGTAAACAAAAGAAAGATCAATGTGTATAAAACATTCTGCTCCACATAAGCCGCTCTAGTCTTGACTCGGACTCACCGTTGGCATCCCCCAACGTGTGATCTCCGGCGGGACCAGTCCCAATACTTCCTGTGGTTCCTGTAGCTAGTGTCCAATCAAACTGGTCCCCTGAACCGGTAACCTGTGTCCACTGACAGATACCCTGCTCAAAGTTGCAGTCGTGGGAGTTGGGTGCTATGAACCAAAAAAAATCTTAAAGATCAAACTGAAACGAGAGCATTTCACTGTTTCCCAAGAAACAAAAACTTAAACAATATTCTACATGTACCTTAATTCTTTATAAGTGAGGGCCACTTCATATTTCAAGCACAAACCACAGGAAATGCAATCTTTATGACGTCAAAAGTAAACATATGTTGAATTGGGGCAAATCTCATTTAAATACATTATATCTACCTTCCTATTAACCTTGACTACAATCCCTTCAGTGAACTGATCCCTTTACCAACAAGCAAATACTTAGATGTGGTTCGATGCCACGGTGCCAGAAACAACTCAAAAAAGAAATAGTATTACTCAAAGCATCTCTCTCTGGAATACTGCATTTTCATTGGTATACCACAATCATGTGACTGTTATGTCAAGATCTGATCTTGAAGACTCACATTTGCTTTCCAGAAGTGTTTCTAAGCCGTAAAGATCTTCAGGCGAGACATGCGCAAGCTACACTAAATGAGGAACTGTGTTCAGTAATAGTCTGCTTTGTATAATTTTCAGTGCAGCAGCAAACCAGAACACTCATTTTGTTCAAATGCATGACAATGCAGTGATGAAAACATTAGCGGTCCGCGACAAAGATATGACACAACAATTGTTGACTACTTAGGTGTGGGAAATGACATTTGTGTCCCCCTTGGAGGCCTGTTCAACGGTTGATAAATGAAACAGCAGGAAATTTGGCAAATAGTTCAGTCAGCAGGGCAAGAGGGTAACTTACGATATGTAGGTGGTGGGGAGGGAGTCGTTGGAGGGGGAATGGTCGCTGGGCATAGTCCATCAGCGATTTCCACGTCGTCAAGAGCAATGTCACCGGTGTAGTCAATCCCAACCACGCCCTCAAAGATCACCTGCCACGGAAAGACGCGAATTGAAAAGTTCTGTAAACAATGCAAATAGTGCTTTTCAAATAAAGTCAGATTTTAATTTTCCCTTAGGGATTTTGCCCTTACACCAATTAATATCCATAACAATGAACACTCAGCGTGGTTGGAAGTTGTTTGATGGCGTTACCCACTGCTGATTCAAACCAGCCAGTCCACCCAGGCCATCTTGGTGGTCGAGTGGTTGAGACGTCTCCACCAGTAAGCAGAAGGTAATGGGTTTGAGTCCCACAGAAGTACATGTACATGTAAGCCTGTGGATTTTGTACAGGCTATCACACAACACTGAGTGCACAGTGTTACAAATACGACAGTAAATGTAATGGCAAAACCCACAATAATAAAATCACAATTTAAAATGCACCTTTCAAAAGTCAGATTTGAATGTGCTGGATTAAAATCAGTTTTCACTTCCCCTTGGTCTATAAAATGAGTTTCATCTAAGAGAATGTTTTAACTCTCATCTGTACACTAAAAAGAATACTTCTTTACCATTGACTATGTTTCCATATATTTCCCTAAAATGAAGGAACTGTTGCTGTGACATCACTTCAGGACAATGAGAGTTTTGTGTTGCAAATGTGAACTGCATCATGGCTGCATAATACCAAATTCATGCTAAAGTAACCCCTGGCCTCTAACCCCTGGCCTACCCAGAACTGTTCATAAGAGGTAAGGGATAGTCTCCCTTGCAGCCACACGTCTCCTTGTTCCCCAGTCTTGGTCCAGAGAGTGTTGTTGCTGGGGTAGATGCTGGGCGACTGGGTGCAAACACTCAGCGTGTTTATGTTACTGCCGAACATGTGATACCAGAAGGATAGGCAAGCTCCTGAAGGTAGGCAAGACACATAGAAATTGCAACAGGACCTGTCTTTCACGGGAGAAACTGTTAGCAAAGTTGAGGTAGGGTGCAGGATGATAGAGATGTAGTCCTGTCTGATGCAAGTCCCACCACGAATCCAGTCACAAGACAAGTCGTAAGAGAACAGGGTAGATGATGACTAAGGTACATGTATGCTTTTGACACAGTTCGTAATGGATAGCCTGCAACTTTATTTGAAGCAAGATATGCGACGGTCGGACACCTCCCCCCGGGGGGGGGAGTGTTGGATAACAAAAGTCTAAAGTGTATATTTGTTTGGACATGTACATGTACACGTAGTGTGGGAACCCCTCCGTCGAATATCTTTCTCAAATCGATTCCAAGACATACCAGGTGTTGGATCAAGGCGCTCGCTCAGGAGCCATGCTCTGTCACCAAGGACACGAGGAGCAGAGGTCTCGATGAAGACATAGAAACCTGAAGAAAAATTACAAAGGGTTCGTGCATGAACAACTGAGGCTGCTGTGAATAGGTTACTTGGTCTGGCAGCCTATCCTATTAACTCTAACAGTCCCAAATCTTCCAATTTCAATATGATTTTACATACACCCTGGGGGGCTAGGGTTAAATCCCAAATGTCTCTTATGATGTAGTACTGCGAAGTCTATCCTAAGATGTAGCATGCACGCGTTCACTAGTTCTGATAAAGCCAACATAAAAGAGCAAGTGGAGAAAATCCTGAGGAGGCAACTTGAGAAAATGTAATTTTCAAAATATTAAGGTGTCGCATAGGGTAATTCAGAAAAGAAGTGCCATTTATACACTGTAAGCATTTCTGAGCATTCATGACAATACATTAAATCAACAACAGAAATATAAAATCACTAAAACTTCGTTCAAAGATTTTTACACTGAAAGGTTGAAACTCCCACCTCTTCCTGTGTTGGTTGTGTGATCGACGGAGGGTCCGGTGTAGGAGCTTGGTGTACCGCCGGCTCCTCTCAACCAATCAAAATCGTCTGAGGTCTTGTCATTAGTCCAACCGCACATGCCATGCTCGAAATCACATACTCCTTCCGAGTAACACACCTCGTCGCGGATGCCGATGTCGTCTAGAGCTATGTCTCCCATCGTCGGGGATCCAACACGGCTTTCAAAGACGATCTGGCAAGATTTCACAGCTTCAAACTAAGGTAGTGTTGTAGTCAAGACCTGTTTAAGATCCTCACAAAACCCAGCAAAACATTACAAGACCAACACAAGACCTCCAGTCTGAATTCAAGTAACAAGCTATCCAACTGAACTGCAACAAAAGCATTCCTTTGTCATTGTTCACTCTGCTACTTGTGTCTGGTCTTGTGTAAGGTTTTGTGTAAGGTCTTGTGTCTGGTCTTGTGTAAGGTCTTGTGTCTGGTCTTGTGTAAGCTTCTGTGATGGTCTCCACTACAACACTGCACTAAGGTCGTGGTAGACTTTCAATCAGACACTAAGACACGTTTACAGGATTACACGCATTCCAGCAATTTTATACCCACAGTAGAGGACAATGTATACTTGCCCCTCCTTTTTCAAGGGGGCAAACAAGAGCTAAAATGGAACCAAAAAATTTACCCTGAATTTCTGGGTTTGGGACGGCAAGATGGTCACCCTTCCCCGTCTCCACAGGTCTCCCTGATCGCCGTCCTTTTGCCAGCTCGGGCTGACAAAGAAATCACCTTCGTCTTGCTTGTACACCAGCAGGGACCCGATATTGTCGCCGTACATGTGATACCAGAAGTGGAGACAGTGGTCTGTGCCCGGGTCGAAAAAAGGGCTGAGGAGGCGTGCCTCATCTCCGGGTTGCCGTGGCGACAGAGGATTGATGTAGGCAAAATAGTCTAGTCAAAGAAAATAATGAATTATATCAAATAGTTGTGAGAACAAATTGATTCTGAAAAAAAGAAATCGAAATGACTTTAATACCTAACAGATTTAAATCATAAATGTTACTGGAGGCTGAAATCAAGTGCGTTTCTGAGTCAGTCTTTTACTCCCGCAACAGCCAGGAACATTTCAAACTTTGATGTGTACACAAATTTTAGGAAGCCAATTTCAGAAAAAAAATATTGACCGTGTACTTCAAAGTCCAAAAAGTTAGTTCGTAAGGAACAAATTGTTGAATGGGGGGATGCAACTGTGGTTCACTTGTGGGTATCAAGGCTTAAAAGTCCAGTTAAAAGAGTTCGCTGAGTGGTTGAAAAGATTATGAAGGATTTTCTTTTGGTAACATTAAATCTTCATGCAAGTTATGTTTTAGGGTAGTAATATGAATTAGTGTGTAATATTGAAATTTTGATTTGTAGTAACACTGAAAGGTCTTAAATGAGTTTTCCCTTGAAGTTGTTGCTTTCTTTCAAGACGATTTGAGTCAAACAGACATCTCCAAAAATTTCGAGTGCAAATACTAACACACTCATAATTAGCACACGCAATGAATAGTTCAAAGGGTTACAGAAACAGAAAACATTTAGTTCGCATGAAGTATTTCGAAATAAAAATAAATACGTAAGCATTTAAAAAAACATTATAAATTTAATGTTTACCCTATTAATTGTGACCTTAAAATTGAATAAAAAGATCCTGCGTTTCCCCGCCCACACAAAAATCCCCTTTTGGCCTTTCGCGCTCCTAGGCTGATTGGATGACGTCATTGACAGAACGATGCATGTACAGTGTACATACAGCACAGTACATGCAGTATTGCATGCAATAGACCATGTTATGTTTGATGTAGCTTACCCGCAGGAAAACACTGTCTCAGTTCAAGGTAGAAAATTAAAAGACACAGTGCTACCGTGCGTTTCTTTAACTGAAACAGTGTTTGCCCTGTTGGCCAAACTACATCAAAAACAACATGGTCTATTGCGTGTAAACGAAATGTTTTTTTATTTCTGTAACCCTTTAAGTATTAACACGGCATTGTGACGACAACAGCCAGACAGGCTTACTTGATACTGTGTCGTAGGTGTGGTCTGTGGTTGGTCCTGTACCCAGTGAAGGGTTCCCATTGGTTCCTCTCAGCCAATCAAATCCCGGCGTATCGGTGTCATCGTTGACCCACTCACAAAGATCATACTCAAAGGTACATTGAGCTGGTGAGTTTTCAAATAGAAAAAAAAAGAGTATTTTAGCTGCAGTTTTCAGTTGAAGTTAATTTAGTTGAATATAGTTTGAAGGTGCAAATGGTGAAAAATGAGCAACGTGCTTAAATCTGCAACAGTGCTAAGTAGAATTCTCTTCTTTTGTGAGTTTGTTAGATTTCAATAGAAGTGTGTTTGTCCAAACAATGAACAGACCATACTATCTTAAAAGTTGTTTGATGATTCTGCTAGAATTTTTTCTTGTTTTAAACGTGCAGGTGTGCTCACAAACTGTTGGGCACGTCCCAGGGTTGAAGACAACATCGTCGATTGCAATATCCCCGCCCCATGACTGGCCGGTTACTCCCTCAATGACGATCTCGTAGGTTGACGTGCTTGTGATTGGCTCTCTGGCTCGGAGCCATTGGTTGGATTGAGTGCCTTGCTTTCGGTAAATCTGGAGATGTTGGATATATGAATGAAGTGATATAAAACAAGATTACTTTTTATCATACAATGTTTGCATTTACTTGAATACACAATGGCTGCATTTGAGCATTTTAATTACTCATATTACCATAAGTTCAAGCTCGTAAGTGAATGAACGGCAGGCCAGTGAGGTTTATTTCAAAATGGCCATTGATCATTTGCACAATGTGATCCAAGTGCAATGCGCAAACAACATTTTCCAGCATGAACAATATTGGGAGGATCACACCTGAACATGGCCTGTGCGTAGGTATTCCAGCAGGCCTACAATGACATTAGAAGCTTTAACGGTAGTGCTTTCCTACAGTAGGGAAGTGTGACATGATTCATCAAGCCCCCCCCCCATAGGAAAGCTCACATGTAAAAAAAAAATGTGACACCACATCATTTCAGGTTTACAGTGCATCAGTACTCCCACACTGAATGTAGAGAGTCATAGGTCATTAGGTTCAACAATAAGCGAAATCAGCCCTATCAGTGAAGCTGGTCTACTTTGGTTGTTTGTATCTCAAATATCTTTGCATCAGTGACATTCTTAAGTGCCTTACTTCAGAGTCAAGAATGCACTGGCCTCTTACGTAATTGCTGCTGTTATGACCTTGCTTTATTTTTACTCCTCAGGAGTATAACACAACATATGGTCAGTGGCTAGATTCTTCCCCCTTAGCCTCTGCTTATGAGCTCTGAATACACCCCATTAAGCCATAACCCTCTGATACCCATCTTGATGAGATGTAAATGTACATACATGTAGCATGCATCATGGAATCATTGTAAGCTTTTAAAACCAACAAAGCATTTTGTAAATTACGTTTGAATAAAATCCAGTGCACTGATTATCTGATTGCACATAAACATAACAATTTGAATTTCCCAGGCTGAAAACATTGTTGCTATACCTCGTGATTCGAGGCAAGCTTTTGCTTAGCAACCACCATCTCTGGAAAGGACGGATTCCTTTGTGCCCTTCTCTCTAATCCATCAAAAACAGTGTATTGGTGCAAGGCGTCTGTTATTTCACTAAGCAAAAGCTTGCCCCGAATCACGAGGCACAGTAACATTGTCTTTACAATTAAAAGAATTCAAATTACTATATTCATGTAAAGTAAGGAATTTGTGTACCAGACGTCATTCAAATCTAACTTGCAAAAGGCTTATTCTGTTTGGCTCACCAGTGTAGATGTACTACCGGATGACAGAAAGATATTCAGGGCATCGATGTCAGGTCCAAACATGTGGTACCAGAACTCCAAACAGTATTGTGAATTGGCCGCAATCGGGCCGGACATGATGCGAGCCTTGTCGCCTTGGACACGTGGGGAAGATGTCTCGATGTAGGCGTAGTAACCAGCTCCTGAAATTCATATAAATAAGATTACTTTGCTCCGAAATCAGCTCGAAATGAGAGTCTTCCGTTCAGAAGTTGGGACTAATTTGGCCTTGTGACTGCATGACGAATGATGGGAGTAGATGGCCTAGTGATTGCCTTGGGATTGATTTGTGATTACCTTGTGATCGCTTGATTAATTTGTGATTGTCTCATGACTGACCTGGCATGACATTACCTTGTCATTGATTTTGATTGACTCGTGATTGGCTTCTAATAACCTTGTGATTGCCTTATGATTGATCTGTAACTGCCTTGTGAGTTTCCTTGTGGCTGACATTTGAGAGACGTGTGACTTGACTTATGATCTGACCTGCAATATCACTCAAAATCTGAAGCACAATCTTACGCACATTTGAATCATGATCTCACATGGCCTTTGAAATGCAAATTGTGAGGTGTTGCATAATTTCCTTTTTCCCCAGTGAATGCGGGTGGCGTCTTTTCAACGCTGCAGGATTAGCATGCAGCGCTGCTGTGTCGCACATCAATGGGGCCCTGGAGAACTTTTGTCTGCGGTGCTAATCTGCGGGCACGCTATGCCCAAAACAGTGGTATACTGTTTAAAAGCAGTGATGGATTACCCAGCAGCAGGTCTTCTGTTCCGAGTACTGTCTTTTGTTACACGGAACAGCTCTTTTGTCCCATTTCGGGCACCCGGGCTCTGCATATAAACCCATGGTGCTCGGAATGGGGTTCCCTGGCAGCAAGTGGTTAACTATTTTAGGGTATTCATCAGATTTAAACTTCCATTCACTGCTACAGATGTTGTTTGAAACCAATAAAAATGAAATCAAATAGCACTGTAAAATTAACCAAAATGAGCAAGGATGGCAAAAAGTAATCAGAGGGACAGGAAACATAACTTTCTTTTTAATTTGCCTCAGCATTTTCATATGGAGTCATGTTTGAGTTTTACCACTGACCGGTTCCTACGGTGTGGTCAAACTCAGGTCCAGTGCCTGCAGAGCCTGTCCCTCCTTGAATTACTATCCAGTCAAAGTCGTCCAGGTTGTCTTGAGTCCAGCCGCAGATGTTGTTCTCTTCAAAGTCGCAGCTAAGATCTGGATAGTAAACAGTCAACAGTTAAAAAGCAAGTACAACAAAATCATTAGAGATACAATGAAAAAGACGAACAATGAACTTGACTTGAGCGGGATGTAAACCTGCAACCTCAATCTCTTTCCTGTACATGCCACAAACGATTTGATCCTTAAAAAGAGACCGATACATTTCTTCTTTTTGTGGGAATTTATTTAAAATTTCTCAGAGTCTGCTCTTGTCAAACACCAGTTCATTGGACAGCATAGCACAAGACCTTTCCAAAGATACTCCAGACGCTAGCTTCCAACTCTCGTTTTTGTCTTTGTTATGAGCTTACCCGAGTCGGAACCACAGTTGTCGAAGGCGATATCATCCAGTGCGATGTCTGTAAGCAGAGAAGGGTCAGAGAAATCATTGCCGGGGAGAGCTTCAAACCGCACCTACAAGAAAAAGACAAGATCTGATGAACTTAACTCTGGCATGTCTGGATAGAGATTTCTGTGCTGAACACACCAAGAGATCCAGATATTTATCGAATAGGAGAATATAACTTGCATTCCACGGTAATAAATAAACAGATTATAGATCAAATATACATGTAGTCATATCAAGAAGGTAAAAAGGTTGTCTCTTCTTACTCAAATGACAGGTATTGTTTTTGGAGAGAAAAGTATTGACGAAATATATGTATAAGGTCAAACATTTGTCATCTTTAAAAAGATTTCAATTGTACTTTAACAGCCTAGCCACAAACTGAGCCTGCAATATTCACTGCAGGGCAGCATACTGTCAGGAGAGCGTTGTAGCGACGACTACATGAATAGAAAGTAAATTGCCAAATATTAACCGGCCACATGAGCTACTGGTAACATTTTTCATTTTAATGGGTTTTTTTGTAATGCAAACGGAAGACTAGCGACAAGACCACATACCGAGTACTGGCCCGCGAGTCTGGGTCCCACACTCAGTGTGCCCTGTTGCCACTGATTATTGGTGTCACCGCTGTACACCACGCTGGTGTCCTGAACAACACCTTGATAGACTATTGCAACCAGGGCACCAGCATTGCTGCCACGGAGATGGTACCAGAAATTCATTTCACACCTAAAACAGAACAGAAAGTTGGCGTATCAAATAGTTGAAACTTTCAAACATCACCACAAAGTAAAAGGTACATGTAAGTTGTTCGCATTTGTAACCCTCTGTGCTGGGGAATGTGTGAACATAAGCAGGTATGAATGATAATTGAAAACGTCATGAAAAAACAATTCAAAACAGTCCCATTAATCTTCTTACAAAGAGTCATATTGCATCACTGCAGTCTTACAAATGTGTCAAGGGTTCTACACCAAAGTCAGAAATATTTGCTACTTTGTTCTCCCTTTATTTTTGAGAACAGTGTTCTTGCGGGGCTTGGCATTGCAACATTGGTTACCTAAGAAAGTAAACAATTCCAACTGAATCAGGGAATAAGGTACTCATTACCACAACGCCGTACCTGCAATGCTTGTGAATGCGCACTCTAACGTTTTCTCATACCTTGCTCCAACAGATCCCAAGGTAGGGCTCTGCAAAATAGCTGACGTCTGAAACGTTCCGTTGGTGCTGTCCACGAACATGAAGTACCCTGTCCCCGAGGTGTGGTCAGTAGAAGGTGCTGCCGCAGACGAGGTGCTGCCAGCCTGCTGCCTTGTCCAGCGATACCGGCCGTTGTCGATAGCCAACCAGGCGCACTGGTCACTTTCAAAGTTACAGTTTCCTTAAGTTAAGGGGGAAAAAAGAACCATTTTTCTTCAATTTTTTTCAATGATCTCCAAGTTTTAATGCAGTTTAAGTCACCCGTTCTGAAATATTGTGTCTCAAGTTGGAGGAGCCACTTTTAAGTTTTACTTTGTATTAGATTGTTGAATTTGCGCTCTGTGGTTTTGATGTGTCACTCAGTTTGGTATGATAAAAATGGACGTTGTGTTGATTTAAAAACGTTGAGGATTCCTTTACTTAAACACTATGGATGAGTCTTCCAAAGGCTTTTACCTCAAAGTGGCTCTGACGACACGTGAGTCATTCTTGCAAAGCAAGTAAAATGTTTTTTGTGTGTCTCATGTTTACATTGCAATATGTAGGTTGTGGGTTTGTCTCTCCATTGGTTCAAGTACAAAAACACTTTGCTTCACTTTCGATAATGTCATTTACTTGTCCATTTATAATCTGAGTGATATCTTACATCACATCGATGCACTGTCTTTTAGTTATTTCATGTCACATTGCATAACTGTTTCAAGAATGTTACATAAAGGAAAGGGTAGGCAAAAGGAACAGTTACAAGGGGACATGAGTGCACATTTCTCTGCACTGGCAGTCAGCTACACATAAGGAAGAACAAAAATCATTGGACGTGCAAATGACACTTTCCAATAGATAAATCCATGATTTGGTTCACTGAATTGGAAGCGAGATGAACTTTATATTTTGATAGCTGAGAGTGAAAGTCAAAGCGATGAAATAAAAGTTCTTACTTTTAAGAATTTGATTATATCTGAAGGCTTATAATAAGTTGTATTTGAATGTTTTGAGCAACATTAAAAAAAACAAACAAAAACGGTCAGGCTAAAAAGTCATTAAACAGGTATACAATAGATTCAAGAAACATGATCGAAAAAACCTTCCAAGTGTATTAGGTCTTCACACAGAGTCCATTACAAGCCTTTTTTTAAACCTTCTTTTTTATAGAGGGTATCAGCACAGCTGGCTAATGGCAAACATTACACCAAGAAGGCAAGGAATAAAGGAGTTTGTCTATCAGAACAACAAATTAAAGGTGGATTTGAGGGTTTGCACAGCTTCCATCTTGCAGACAGGTGCTTTTGATCCACTGGGAATGCACAAAGGGGATTTCTCTGTGGAACAAAATTAATGCACTGCCAGGTGACTACCATGCAAAGCCTCTGTAACCAGAGACAAAATGTTGGAAAATCTGACAGAGTTGATCATTCTCATACCACAGTTTGCCTCGTCCGAGCCATCTGCGCAATCATTTGTACCATCACAAACCGAACTCAGGCTGACGCAGGTCCCTGAACCACAAGCAAACTCGTCTGGTTGGCAGAGCGGGGGCGTTGTTGGGACAGGCTGCCATGGGGATGTTCCCACCACAGGCAGTTCTCCACTGTAAGCCACACAGCCGGGAGTGAAGGAGGTGTCGTCAATGGCAATGTCGCCATAGATACCGTTTCCAACAGTAGCCTCGATTATGACCTGACAGAAATTGAGTCGAGAGTAGAGGTTTTCCCTATATGTACCCATAAGAAAGTAATGTGCGCTATGAATGCCATATGGAGTAAGGCAGTAATTACCCCATTCATGAAGCCACAAGACCAATTCAGCAGCCAAAATGAGACATTTTGGCTGCCAATAAATTAACAGACATAATGCAGTGACTGTCTGGAAGTATTTCGTGTAAGAGGGTATGCAAACATAAGTCTGTAAACTCCTTCACTATAAATGAAAAAACCCCTTGTTAGGCATGAAGCATGAACCATCGTTACGGAATACACGCTGACTTTCGTCACACCCCACTGGCATATAGAACATGCAAAGGTTAGAGGTACCTGGAATGGGTTGGTCCAGCCCAGAGTGATTTCAGCTCTCTCATAGAAGTCTCCAATTTCACCACTCTTGCTCCAAAGGTTGGTGAGAGGGCCGTTGATTGTATCGCGGATGTACACAGTCAGGGAACCGGTGGTTCGGCCAAACATATGGTAGTAGAAACGCAGCTGTAACGTGTAAAACGTAGAAGTGTAAAATGAAATCTAATTTTACTCACTTTTCCTTCGGAATATCAACTTTTCCCGTGGAGTTGCAGGGGTTCAAAATCAAACATTTGGAGTAACTTCCTTCTAACCTTCTTGGCACTCATGTTTAGTAGCATGTACTGCTCGGGGTACTTTTCAGTTTTAAAATATTGAATTTTCTCGCGGACCCTAGCCTTTTCCTGAGTTGGCACAACAGAAAGACATTCTTTCTATGGAAGGGGTATTTCGCTGAGATTGTGAATCGAAATTCAGTTGGGGGAAAATGTACGACAGCACCTTCGTTTCCTTGCTCACCATCTGATTGCTGATTGGCCAGGACACTTTGCTACTGCAACCCGTTTTCTCCTGACATTTCAAAATTGTGATGTACATTGATGCACCAAAACTGTCCGGTGCCAGTGTTACCAATCCCATAGGGAACCATTGCCTTTCATATATTTTTTCCAGTGTGGATGCCATTACCATAAATCTGTGTACATGTACACGGGCCCTATTGATTTGTATTCCAAAGTTTTGGACTAGGCTTGGACTTAAACTAAAATGGCATTGTGTTACATGGCAGTCTGGTACCTGGCAAGTGCCTGTGGTTGTGGCTGCGATGTAGTAGCTACCGAGGCGAGCACGGTCTCCCATCTGACGCGGGGCCGACGTCTCCAGGTAGAGATAGGTACCTACAGAATAACGTTTGAGTAGACAAGGTTAAATGATGAGAGGGGTCAAGGGGGGTCCCAAGGTAAGAGAAGCAACTCTCACCAAAAACGGAAAGAAATTAAACAAATTATGTTATTACTTTTGCCTTCACAGTCCCAAAGCCAACACATGCAGATAGTATTATTTTTGGCAGAAAACTCAAGTAAAAAAAAACAGAACACTGGTTTCTTCCAAAAGCAACATGCGCTTCATAATACCTGATGAGAGTCCACTGGTGTGGTCCCTTGTTGGGCCTGTCCACTCGGTGGGGGTTATTCCTGAGTACGTCCGCCAATCCAGCTCGTCATTGGTCAGTTGCCGCCAATCGCAGATGCCGCTCTCAAAATCGCACAGATGGTAGTTGCCTAGGAGACGAAGCAAGGGAAACATAGAATAAACTTCAAATTGATTTCGGCAGTGAGAAATGTAAATTTGTCCATCAAGAAAAAATTGCAGAAACTTACTGCAAGAATTTTCGTCAGTGAAGTCACCGCAGTCATCGGTGAGATCGCAAAACCGATTGTCCTCAACACAGTTGCCGCGGTTGCACTTAGTCCGACCCGAAGGGCAAGGGTCAGAGGTCGGTGCTGTGCAGAAATTTAAAAAAAGAACAAATCAACATTTGCATGCCTCAATTCAACTGTTGTGGGGCACTATTGTCAGCTATATGTATAAGAAAATTAAAACCAATTGAAATCCCTGATTGAAGATGAGTAAAGAGACACACGTCTAGAAATCTGTTGACTAGACTTACGAGGTAGCCCGCATCCGACAAAGCTGATGTCGTCAAGTGCAATGTCACCAAGAACACTGAACGATCTGGTGGCCTCAAACACAATCTGAATGTTGGAAGGTTAAGTCAAAATGATGTCATAGCATCTCGCATAGTAATTAACGGCAGCTGTTATTCAAAGACTTTCACGAGACCACATAAATATTATGCACAACAGTCGCAAGTAATGAGTGAGTACAATGATAAAAGAATGCTTTTGCTGTAGTTCATTTCAATAGCTTGTGATTCGAATTCAGATTGGAGAGTTTGTGTTGGCCTTGTGATAGTCTTGTGAGGTCTTTGAAGAGATCTCGACCCTGACATTGTCAAAAGCAATGATATATTCTCCAAAGGAAGAATTCAATGGTCTCTTTTACACAAATGTGTTTGGCCATTCAGAAAACCTTTTTTTTTCAGAATAGAAACATCTGAGCTAATTCTTTGTCCTTAAGATTTTCAAAATGTAAGCGCCCGCCAAGGTTAAGAACGCAAGTGCAAGCACAGTGCCACTGCACGTTTGGCTTTTCCTCAGATTGGTCTGCAGATTACCTTGAATGGAAGGCTCACTCTGCCCACGCCAAGCTGGATATTATTCCACACATCTCCCATATCCTCAAACAGGTAGATCAGCAGCGTCCGGGACGACCCTTCCACTAAGTACACTGCCAAACTACCAATGTCTGTTTGATACAGCAATGACATTTTAACTTGGGATGAAGCACAGTTCGTCATAGGCCGCTTATGCCCTTTTGCCCGGAAGCATGATCACAGCAGCAAAAATGTTCCGGCAAAAGGGCGTAAGAAACACACTTTCCTTATTTCGTTGAAACGGATAAAAATTACTACAAAATCAACACAGGCTGAACAAAAAGCTACCTTAAAACAACTTATCAAACGATTTGGAAAATTTTGTTTTAACTATTTGCAAAGAAATTTTTATATTTCATTAAAATAAGTGCTTACGACCTTCTTCCAGGCACCCGACAAGTTTTAGCCTTTTTTAACAAATGACAAGTTACCAGCGATTTTATTTGGTAACTTAATTACTCAAGAATAAGACCATGCATCACCTCTGCTCCCATGTTATCCCATCAACGCCATTCTGACGGCCTAACTATAACAATATTGGCAACTTAACACAAAAAAGTTAAATTCTCTTTACAAAAACTTTTTATTTCCATCATTTTAGCATATTATGAATGATTGAATATAACCTGCTATTTCCCTTTGTTTTCATAGTTACAAAAACGTTTTCCGAATGTTGTCTGGGAATTTGAGGAATCTGGTATTGACAATGTACGTACCAGGCATCCAAATATTTAAACAATTTTAAACTGACTGAGCCAAAGTATTTACTTTACAAAGCATTTAATTTATAGCAAATTTTGTTTCTTTGACATTTTACATTACCTGCTCTTTACCGTTTGTTAATGCACTTCAATTCCTCAATGTCATCCGGGAATTTGGAGAACTGGTTTTTACATATAGGAATATTCAAATATTTTGAATGAATCAAAGGTCAAAACTGAATTATTCATATTGATTCAGCCCAAGAGCTTACCCTGTCCGTACATGTGATACCAGAAGCTGAAGAGGCAAGTTGACGAAGCTTGGTGTCGTTCTTTTGTCTCCAGAGTGGCCTGGCTGAAACCCGAACCGGAGTTGGCGTTCACATACACATATCGACCTACAGTGACGAGAAGTGTAATCCAACCGCATAAAGTGAGTCATCCCCCAATTATAAGCTGCCTATGCTAAAATTAATAGAAATGCAAATGTTTCTGCCCTTCTAGCATCTAAAATTGTCAGGCTATCAAATGTTTTGTGTATCAGAATAAATGAGTTGAATGAAATGTTTGGTCTACGTGAAGCGCTATACACATATTCAGTATATACACTTATTTAAGTATATTCAGCTAGATAATTGGCACCTGCTGCGTTGTTGAAGGTGTGGTCTTTGGAGGGTCCGGTGTTCGACGTAGGCGTGGCGCCTGATCCTAGCTGCCATTTGTAGGAGCCCAGACTTGTATCAGTCCATCCGCACATGCCCGACTCAAAGTTGCAGTTGCCACCTGCAGCGATTTTGACCCGCAAATAAACAGACTTCTACAGTAAAGGAAATCTTCAAGTTTGCAGATTTCAAAAATAAATTGTTAACTACAAAACCTGGAAACTCGGCATTAGCTTTCCACAATTATCTTTTTTTCTAATTTGAGTTATTTGCTCCTTTTTAATCGGGGCAGCCTAATATTTGTCAAGAATAATTCCTTTGGTAGCGAAGCGAACAATTATAGAAAAAACAAATGCAACATTTAAAATAACAGACAAATATGTTTAAAATTCAAAATTTCAAAACTAAAATTGACATATTTGTTGAATTCAAATACATATTTAATAAATGAAATAAACACAGCACAATTTCTAACATACCACAATTTTCCTCATCAGAGCCATCTCCACAGTCATCCACAAAGTTGCAGACTTGGGTGGAATCCGTTAGGCAGTTGGTGTTATTGCAAGTGAACTGGCAGGGTGGGGCTGGGGTGGGCGGGGCACATCTGCCAAAGAAGGTCTGGATGTCGTCCAGGGCGATGTCGCCGGAGAAGCTGGGCCCTACCCGACCCTCAAAGATGACCTGGTGGGGGGAATACAGAAAATAGCGAATACACGAGTTTTAAATCCTAAGGCCCCAAAAGTTTTCCTTCTTATAAAAATGGCATCCGAAAGCAGGACAGGTACAATGCAAAATCTTCTTCCATTCAATATTTGCATACTGATCATGAAAGCTCGTTAGATGTAACAAACAAGAGTGGTCGGGTGCCATTTGTGACGAAGGAATTGAACAAGACACATTCTTATTTTGTTTTAAATGTCATATTTCCCCACATTTTTCTCGAACAAAGATTGAGGGTCATCAAAAAAGGGTAGGTACCGGTATAAAGGAAACAGCAGATATTGTTTTATTTAAATTTTTTTTGCATTTAATACATCTGTGAACATTACGTCAGACCTAAATTACGGCCATGATTGGTCAGACAACAATGGGGAATGTTTATGGCCTGGTCTAAGGCCAATCTAGAACTACTAACAGACTGTACTATAATATTCCATGCAACACTAGTCCAAGGGCAGCAGTATTTTCGGTCAAAACCCATCATTCTAAAATCATGTAAAGCAAGCGTAGTCCTTCACAAAATTGGACTTAACAAATGCTGACCCCTGGATCAGTGAGACACTTCTTCCCACATTACTGCTGCATTTTTTAACCATCAGACTTTTTATTTCAGCTAAATAAGTTAAATCCCTGTCTGTTTAAACGTCATCCGGTTGCAATATGAGCCACAATACGGATGTCAACCAGCACTACAAGCAGAAATAGCAAGAATTTGTTTAAACTTTTTTGTTACAACACAGGACAGTCCTGTATTGTCTGTTTACATGTCAATCAGTGTAAAATGGATAAAAGGAGATTTTCAACACCCACGCATGGTGGCAATGCCTTAACAACAGCTCTGGAGACTTGGAACATCCCAGGCTGAGTACACGCCGATTATGCTGGTACCCCGGATATGTTTTGTGTTTTGGTGACCTGGTGGTTGAATAGTCACACTTTTATTTTCATCTCACCTCAAACACAGAGTTTTCACTTTTGATGTCCACAATGGCGTTCTGCCAGTAGTTGCCCTGGTCACCCGTTTTACTCCAAACTAATGTCCAGTAGGCAGGGTTCAAGACTGTGGTCTCCAACCACACCTGCAAAGTCCCGATGTCCACACCATACATGTGGTACCAGAACGTCAGGCACATGTCCGTGTTGGCCGGGAGCGTCTCCGAGAAGAGGTAGGCAAAGTCGTCGACAACGCGGGGCGCGGAGGTCTCAATAAAAACGTAGTAGCCGTAGATGTTGCCGAGGGTATGGTCGGTGGGCGGGCCCGTCTGGCTGCTGGCGGTGGCGCCGTTGTTGCGTGTCCAGTCGAACGTGTCCTGGTGGATGTTGGCAAACGTGCAGAAGTCGCTCTCAAAGTTGCAGGTGGCTGGGAGGGAGCAGGCTTGGTTGGAGAAGTCGATGTCGTCAAGGGCGATGTCGCCTTGGATACCGTTACCAATGATGCCTTCAAACACAACCTACAAGCAAAAAAACATGCCTAAAGTGCTGAAGCAAAACATTAAAATGACTGAAATGCTTAAGTCTTTAGAAAAACTTTACATAAAAAAGTCTGCACAAAATAAGTAACTTTTATTATCTTTTCACTTGCAACATAACATTCCAAACCCCTATAAATTGAAAGAGTGACACAAAATTATGGATAATCAACGTTTCTTCAAAAATCAGAGATGATCTCCAAATTTTATTTTTCACGTAGTATCGTCATTCCCCTGGAACAAAAAAACAGCCTATAACGGGTTCAGTCCAAACAAATTAACCCACGAGTGAACAATGTGTCTGTCACACCAAAACTGACACGTACCACGGTGTATGCAAAGATAATGAAAAATCTGCCACATAGTGGGTCAACCAAAAGCATCGTCTTCGCGACTTTGTAGTGCTACTCGTATAAATCAAATATATCATCATCTCATACAATGATATGTGAAGAACAAATGATGGAATCTTTAATACCCGGTAAGGATAACTCGTCTGTACGGTGACCTCAGCGATTCTCCACAAGTTATATCCGCTGGTGCTCCGCGACCACACGCTTGATCCCCGGTTCCCGTTAACCTCTATGTAGACATTGAACTGGCCCAGATCGCTACCGACCATGTAGTACCAGAATCTCATGCAGGTTCCCATGGTAGCTGGGTATTCTTGGGAGATGATACGAGCGACATCACCCAACTGACGGGGTGCAGAGGCCTCAATGTAAATGTAATGTCCTGAACACAATTTTTAAAAAAGGAATGGGTGTTGGTACAGTTGTACTTTTTACAGCAGATTCCAATGAGAGAATGTGAAATATTTTAACCTTGATCATATCTGCATAAGCATAGTTGTTTTAATACCAGATCTCACAAAAAACAAAACAAAACAAGTCTCTGAATTGAATGGCTCCAGTTGAGTTAGTTGCTTGTGCTGACTCAAGTCAAATCAAAAACTGGTCATTACATGTAATACAGTTTAAAACCGGTAAGACCAAAGTTAACATCAGTTATTTAATACTGACTAGTTAACACCAGTTAGTTAATACCACTTTGTTCATACTAGTTTAATTGTCAATACTGGCTAGTTAAAATTGGTTGGATTAATACCAGTCAGGATTCATCGTTGTCCAAATTGTAGCTGAAGTCAGACTCAAGTTGAGTAATCGTCAAGTCAGAGACGTGGGGCATTATAACTCCGGCTACCAGTTAACTGAAACCATTCGAAACCCCTCTGCTCATTGAGAGCTGTATAGGATCTGCCCTACCTTGAGGTGACTGGTAGGTGTGGTCATTGGGTGGGCCCGTCCCCGACGTCCCAGTCGCGCCCGATGCCAGCAGCCAATCAAAATCATCCGTTGTGTCTTGGGCGTAGCCGCACATCCCGTGCTCAAAGTCACAGAGGACTAAATACAAAAAGAAGGGACCGACGGACAGAATGACACAAACACATGAAAACATGAAAGACAAAATGGCAATTTGGAAACAGTGCCTTCTGTGTTTCATTACAAAAATATTACTTTAATGTATGCAGATAGATACTTGGAAATCTCCTTAAGTTCTCAGCAAATAAAACTAATGCTTGGACCACAGGTTTTTTCTTCAATTGTTTAAAAACAAAGGTTTTAATTGTTTTTGAACACGTTTCTCATGACGTAAACAATATTTTTGCATGTGTGTCATATGCCCTGTGTGTAATGACTTGACAAAACTTTATCATTACGCATGATTTTCTTAAAATCCACACCCAGAATATGTGAGCAGCTGACAAACTCACCATTCATATAAATATGAATAACAACAATTTGTGTGTCCGAATTTCTCTTTCTCCTTACCGAGGCTTGGACATTGCCCGTTGTAAACCACAATGTCATCCAATGAGGTATCTCCTTCATAAGATTGGCCAACAACTCCTTCAAATACAACCTGAAATACAACAAATTAGAAAAGAAATCAATCAATTAATGTATCAGATCAAAACATGCGTAAAAATGGCCTACAACATTACAAAAAAAGAATAAAACTGGCAAAACAAACACTTTATTGTCACTAATTCAACTTGAAACTGATCAGGTGTACGGCATGCATGTCATACGGACTTCCTGAATTGAGTTCAGTCTAAAACTAGAAATATTTCTCCTTGTACCCACTCCGTTCCTCCAACGTGACTGCTAATTTTTTTTTTTCCTGGGCCAAGCATGGACCTTATTCAAGTGGAAGCCATTTGCAATCTAATTCCTGGAACCTGTCTTATAAACTGTGAACTGTCAATTAGGATGTTGCCAGACTCTTTTATGATTGCCCATGCATTTCCTGCCTCCTTCCCATTTTTATTTCTTTCTCCAATCTTGCTTAAAACACTAAGTCTTTGTATGTTTATTCACAAGTTTGAAATTAGTCATCTGAATGGAGAGGTGCAATTTTGCCATGAAATTTGATGAGAATAATTTAATTTAAACTGTTAACTTATTAACCCCACTTTCAGTTTCAAATTGATGACTAACACATAGTCTGGTGCAGAGGCTTTATGTGGCAGCCATCTTACAGGGCAGCTCTATTGTTCCACAGGGGAACCTGCTTTGTGCATATGGATAAAAGTGGTGCTCTGAAAGATGGCAGTCATGCAATCCCTCTATTGTGGACTTACGGTGAATGACCCATCCATGAAGACTTGTCCATAGTTCCACACAGGACCCTGGTCACCGAGTCTTGTCCACTCCAGGACATCCTGTCCATTCTCTCGCCGGTAGATGTTCAGAGCATTGATGCTGGGCCCGTACATATGATACCAGAAACTCACGCACTTACCAACACTTCCGGATACCATGGAGGTGGAAACTAGCTGGGCCCGGTCACCATTTACCTGAGAGGAGGCCTCAATGTAAATATACCAACCTGTGAGTGAGGTAAAGAAGGTTTCACAATTGTCACATTTTGTTACAAGATCCAAATTGGACACATCCCATAAACTGAGGTTTCAGGCCATTTTTTCCATCATATTTACTTAAATTGGCATTGTAAGAGGAAACTGGAGGTGTGTGTTGTGATAAAACAATCAGTTTGGCAACTTGGTGTAAGCAAAAATCATGAGGGCAAAAGGTTGATAATTGCTCAATTTGACTAAAGCATGCAAAAAAGTCATCTGTTCTGTCGTCAGACGGACAGATGACCTCTAGTTTTTTTTTTTGCTTCTTCCCCCTCTTCTGCCCAAAAGTCCTTAAGGATTGGGTAAGATTCTTTCAAGGGCCGTCAACTCATTAGTGGTTCTGGCAACTTGTGACTCCATTTTATTACTAAGGAGACCATAGTAGGCTACATAAAGAAATTTTAATATGTTCCCCCTCCCCCCAAAAAAATGGTCTGAATGAAAATAAGTAGTAAACGTGACAGTTATCATAGAAATATCATACAAATGACCCTCAAGAGTCAAGATTTGCGCCATCTGGCAAGATTTTAAAGATTTACCACAGATTTTTGAAACAAATAATTAACCTTTCATAAGCGGACACTATGAGCTTATTGTAAACCTACCGTAGACACTTAGTGTGGTGTGATCAAACTGTGGTCCGGTGTTGACCGAGGCCGTGCTGCCTTGAAGTCTCGTCCAGTCAAAGTCGTCGCTTGTCTCCTGGGTCCAACTGCAGAGGCTGACCTCAAAGTCGCAGTCATAAGCACTAGGGGCTGCCGGAGACAGAAAATGTTTGAATACTAATTATCTTGTGGAGAGAATTTAGAAATCTGTGGTGCTGTTTGAATCTTAGATCTTTTCTGGAGCCATTTTTTGCAAGTTTGAATAAGAAGGGTTTAAAATCAAGCACTCTATTTTGAAGTTTCGCTCAGTGTGTCATCCTGGAGATAACGAATGTTACGTGAGTGCAAAATACCGAGAGTTCATTGATTTCCACAATGGAATATTCTTCCATAACCTTGAACTAAAAAGTGGCTCTAACAACTTGTTTCGACAGCAATGACGAGACGAAGGTTTGTGGTAAACCATGAAGTAGGCCTACTGTTAGACCTAACCCTTAGGACAATATGCTTTGTTGGTCGGCAATATCCTTACAACAGACAGAGCACACCATTCAAATCGTCGAGTTCACTTGTTATCTTGAGAATCCCTCTATTTCTTTAAAGAGACTTCAAATGTGCTATGGCAAACCTCCCTCCTATATTAACCATTCATAAATACCTAAGTCTCCCTATTCAACAACGTACAACTTGAACGTGTATTAACATTTGATAATGCTGCTACGTGATAAGGCCCGCTGAGTAAATCACACGCTGACACCTGGATACAAGACAATTTAATTGATTCTGATTGGTCAAGAGTCTACGTGCACGAGGCTTGTCATGTGTGTGCCAGGACCACATAAGGATAATATGTTGAACAACTTGCACTAGGAATATACCATAAAATGGACAGGGGTGTTTGGGAAAATGAAATTGAAATTCTAGAACAAAATTGGCAGAAATCCATCATATATTGACTCATTTCGACTCTCTGACTAAAAAGGTATTTATGAATGGGAATAAATATGTGCTTGGCCAGTCTTAAACTAATGCCTGAGCCTTAAACGCATGTTTAACCGGCCAAGTGCATATTTGTTCCCTTATGGAAACCGTTCTTTAAGTCATGAAACTTCGTTGATCATACATGTACTTACAATACAAAGCTACAAAAGGTTTAACAAATTTCAACATCAGTAACTTTTGATGCTGACGTGGTGTAATGATTAGCATTCGATCAGTACTTCTATGTGCTGCCCAACAAACAAGCAGACAAACAGACAGGCCTACCATGTGTTGGTAATGGTGTTGTTGGAGGGGCTGGTGTAGCGATGCCTACACAAGCTGTAGATTCAATGTCAACGTCGTCCAAGGCAATGTCTCCTTTGTAGCCAGACGTGTAAATGGCCTCAAAAAGCACCTGAGAAATTCACATCCAATACACCTCACTCACAGGGAAGCCACGTTTGATCGTGTTTCCTAAATTTAATGTATTCAATGTAATCAGTCAAATAGGTTGGTGCCAGACTAAAAAAAAATTGCTGAATCTTTTAAGGAACTAGTGAAATGATTGAAGGTGAAACCAGACTGTGAGCCCAGTTCACCGACCTGATATTCCACGGCGCTTGTCAGGACAGCCTGTCCATGCAGCCACACGTTTCCTTGGTTTCCCGACTTCGACCATATCTGCGTCTGCACCAAGTTGTTGTCCTTCGTGTAAACATTGAGATCGCCAATAGCTACACGAGAATGAAAAGAGTGTGTGGTTGAGACCGGGAAAACATTTTCTAAAATCTTTGACCACAAATTATTACTTTAAAATGTTCTATCCGGAGTAAACTCCAGGGTCACTAAGCCTATTAAAGTGATATTAATTTGACTGTACAGGCTCGAATCAAATGAAATTACCAAAATCCAAGAGTCAAGTTAATAATAACTCCAACCCTAATGAATCCATACTTACACAGGGATGAACACTGACAAAGGAATGCGTCTGTCGCAGTTTACTGATTTAACTTTGATGACCTGTAATGGTCTTGTCAATCAATCAAATCTTTTTTGAGCCACTACGGTTCATTAGGCCAAGGCTTATGTCCAGTTTCCTTTGCATGAAATTTGATAGAGAATGTTTCTCTTCCCTGCAGATGAGATATCAGTCCATCACAGGTTGCTCCAAAACTAACTGTCTCTACCCAGTTAAGTTTCTGGGTGGGCAGAGGCAAGTTGGGGTAAAGTGGCTTGCCCAAAGACACAACCTAATGTAGGAACAGCTGCTGGGTTTTTACGTGATACCCTCTGCTTATGAGCCACAAATTTGACCACAGAGCCATAATTCTCCAACAGGCTTGGAGAACACAAGAATGCAACACTGGTCAACTTGGACAGCTTGATGGTAGCTTGCAACGACTGTTATCTGCTCATCATGACCCTCCCCTCTGAGCTGCAAAAAAGCGAGACAATTACTTACTGCTGCCATACATGTGGTACCAGAAGGATAGACAGGATTGGTTACTGGCAGGCATGTGCTGGCTGACAAGAATGGCGTTGTCGCCCTGAGCCAAAGACGACACTGAGGCCTCGAAATAAATGTAGAAGCCTGAAGGATGCAGAAATTTCTCAGTTTAGACATTTTGCTTTAATTTCCTCTGAAGACTATGCTGTGAAATTTGTCGAAGAGGAGATCTTGCTGTCAACATGCTGTGACTTTAAACCGATTTATTCATAAACAAAAGGAGTCATCAAAGAATTGAAGCCACTTTGCCTAACTGTTATTATTGTCAGAGTTTGTTTTGTAATCTAGCGTAGGATCCTTGTCAGTAAATAGGAGTAGCACCCAATGTCTTTCCATTGTCAGATTTTGTAGTGCTGTCAAAACTGGTACCTGAGCGAGGAGCGGCACCCCTTATCTTACCATTGTCAGAGTTTGTAAGGCGGCACCCTAATTATACATTATCAGAGTTTGTAATGAGGTCCACACTAGGATCCAGGTCAGTGCTAGGAGTGGCACCCCTTATCTTACCATTCTCAGAGTTTGTAAGGTGGCACCCTAATCATACATTGTCAAAGTTTATAATGAGGTCCATGTTAGGAGTGGTACCCCTTATCTTACCATTGTCAGAGTTGGTAGTGTGGTCCACGCCGGGGCCCGTGTCAACACTAGGAGTGGCACCGTTCCTCCTCAGCCAATCCCAGTCGTCATTGACAGTGTCTTGTGACCAGCCACAGGTGTCCAGCTCAAAGTCACAGAAACCTGGGAAGGAGAAACGGAGACAAGTTTTATTTTTTCGTTGGCTTTTAAGTAAAGCTCCAGATGGACAAGTCCACATGGACAGGACGTATACCTAAGTCCCGTGCCTCTTCAACCACCAGGTAACCAATACACAAAACATATCCGGGGTACCAGTATAATCGGTCAGTACTCAGCCTGGGATGTTCCGATGTAGAAAAATACTCCACGTTCGAGAACAAGTCCATGCGAGGTATCAAACGCGGTAATGACGCCTCCTGGGATTTGTCTGCGGTTAATGCGCAGACTGTACATACCAGGCCTGTTGCATGCTCCGGTTGTCAGCATCAGGTCATCCACGGCGATATCTCCATTGTAGTTTCTTCCCTTTGTTCCTTCCAGGATGATCTGGTATCGGTGGGCAGCGCGGAACGTGATCTGGGTGAAACGCCACTCGTTGTACTGCCCTCCTAATATGGTTTAAGAAAAACCTTGAAAATACGGGCAATTCACAACAGTGCGCCTCCAAGAGTTTGCAACGCGTTGGCCAATCACAATGCGCCAAAATTTGTCGACCCTTTCCAAACATTCATTGGGTCGACAAATTTCGTGCATTGTGATTGGCCAACGGGTTGCAAACTCTTGGAGGCACACTATTGTGAAATGCCCGTATTGACTCCAAGTTTACCCATTTATCATGTTTGACGCTTTGATAATTTGATGTTTATGAAGCAGAATACAGACTTACAACAAAACAGAGTGGAACTCTCCATCCCAGCAGCCGATTTCACAGTTGAAGTTGAAATTTGAGAAAAAAAAACAAAAAAAAAGTGTTTTGACAGACCTGATATTTCAAAGAGTGGACCGGTCTCAACCTGGGTGACCGTGTCAAAGCCAAACACCTTCAGCGATCCGATACCATCGCCATACATGTGATACCACATGTGGAGACACTCCCCATTGGTGTCATCAAAAACAGGGCTGAGCAGACGAGCGATCTGGCCGGTAACGATTGGGCTGGAAGTCTCAATATAAGCAAAAAAACCTAAAAGCAAGAAAACCATGAAAATCAAGTCGAGGTTTTCCCTCAAAACGTTTAACTACGTACATAATCTTAAGGGTTTCGGCAGATAAAAGAACGCATTATGAGAAGCAATTCATATTTAACTCACTAATGTGAGTGATGATTTGCGAGCAAGACTAAGTCTAACCCATGGTTTCATTTGGACCAAAAAATACCTAGCTTTGTTTAAAACGACATGATACCATGGTCACTTTTCCTACTGTTGCAACATTTGCCTGTCAGTGACCTTGTCTCACAGTTTCAAAAGGGCAATTATGTGTCAAGAAATGACACACAAATCTTGAACAAACGACCACCAAAGGTCAGCATGTGTAGCGTTCGTCAAGGTAAGAGTAGTTGTGGTGGCTTGTTGTTTTAAAAGTTTGTAGTGTTACCGGGAATTGGTGATGCACCCGGGACAAGTTCATGGAGGAATAATGCCGTCTAAGAATGGTTAATAACAGCAGTGTTTCTGGGACCAACCTTGAGTCGTTCCTGTGGTGTGGTCAGTAGTCGGTCCAGTCCCGCTGCTGGGGGTGCCACCATAGCTCCGCGTCCAATCAAAGTTGTCCGTCTGATCTTGGGTCCAGCCACAGAAGTCAAACTCAAAATCGCAAAGAGCTGCAGGGAATGTAACAGGTTAGACATCAATTGTTAGATTCACTGAAATAACTATGCATTCAAAAACCTCTCCCTTTCAGTAACCTTTCTACATGAAAGCAAATGCCAATAATTGCATGGTATTCCATTAATTGCTTTTAATTGTTGTTCCTTGTGAAGCAGGAGACTTTGGCATGATGCCCTGTATAAAAACTGTGTAATAATTATTACTTCATAGTGCTTATCAAAAGTTAAAACAAAACAGTTATCGAAACCTCAAGTCTAGATCAAGATAAAACTCAACAGCAACTGAAGAACTCTGTAAAAATCTTACAGAGTTATTCATTTGCTGAATCGTACCCAGAGAATCAGCTCGAAACCTGAAAAACAGAAAATATTCTACACAACAGCAACATGCGTTTTTATTAAAATTGTGTAAAAGTTACAAAGTGAAAGTAAAAATCTGTTCAAATAATATTCAAAAGTATTTTTAGTGCAAACTGAGTCAAATCTGTTCAAAGAATCGAATGAGAAAATCTGTGATCTAGATTGTAAACATCTTTCCCACATTTCCAACTCACTTGATGCTGGACAAGGTCCTGCTTCCAGGAAGATGTCGTCCAGAGCAATGTCGGCTTGATTTTCAGGACCGCGGAATGCTTCAAAGATGACCTGAGGGGAAAAGAAACATAGTCCTTCTGTGAGCTTTTGGTGGCAAAAGTGTTGTGACATTTTTAAAGAACAGCTAGTAATCGTCTGATGACCTCAGTTTACACATTCCGATACATGACTTTTGGGGGAGGGTGACTTTTTGGGGGGGATGATGAAAGAGTTTTTTATAAGATTACATATTGTGCACTATCCACTCCGAGCGGAACAAAAGGGAGCGTGGTTTTTTTAGTACTCACAGCACAGATGCGTTTATAATGGAGATCACTGTTGCATTTGATGCATAGCACGCTGAGTACGCAGACCGAATTTATTCCTTAATGTATGGTCTCTGCTTACACGCAGAACACATGCAGGAACCAACTTGGAAAACATGCTACCATCTGTCTTTCTTTTGCCACGTGGGGGTGCACTTCAACTCAGGGCAGACAAACACGAGGAAATATCATTCTTCTTTATATCATCATTCTTAATAATTTAAATCTCTGATCTTGCGTCCATTTGTTATTCGTGCCATTTTTGTCTTGTGTGAGAACATTTCATTTACTGAAGTTCTCGGACTCGGAACAGGCTCAGATTCACGTGCGGTAGTCTTTAACTCTGCAACACTTCAGAGTATGATGTATGGTACAGTGTGTTGTTTAAAGGTTGATGGATCTGGGGTGGCCTATTTCATGATGGGACTTCTGAGTCGTATTATAGCATTTTTGAAGCAACTTGACCCTCGAGAAGCGCTGGCATCGGACAATAGAGAAAATATGCTCAATAAAGAAGAGATGTGGCTAAATCGAAGCAAAAAAGGTCCGGCGGGTGTTGCATGCTTTTCATTCTAGTCTAAGACAATTAACGTTTAGGGAATACATGTACACATCTAAGATGCAAAGTTTAGCTCTGCGTACTCAAAGATAATCATCTCACAAAATTTAAAAAGGTTTGTGTCAAGGAATAAGTCTCTTACCGACCAGGCATCGTCAGAGGCGATGCTCTTCTGACCTTTGAACCATTGGTTCCCCTGGGTACCGTACTTTGTGAAGATCAAAGTGTCCAAGTTGTTACTGCGGAGGTAGACATTCAGACGGTCCACGTGGCGGCCGTACATGTTGTACCAGAAGGTCAAGCAGCGAGACTGGCTGGGATTCTGCCTCGGGGACATGATACGTGCCTTGTCTCCTTGGACACTATTGGAGGCCTCAATGTAGATATACCAGCCTGAGATCAAATCACGCAAAGCAATGTAACCAGATCAAATCTCATCAAATCAGATCTGATCCGATTAAATAAAATCAAATTGAATTAGATCAGAAGAGATCAGATCAAGATCAAAATCAAGACCAAAATCAACACCAGAAAGAAACATTTAAACAAAATCACAATCAAAATCACATTCTTTCATTCTGTAAAATTAATTAAGAATTCTGATCATATTCCACTCAAAATTAAGTCTATTTTCATAGAAATGCAAACTTACACTACAAAACAAACACCTCAGTTTCCTCTAACGTAAACTAAAACAAAATTACAGGAAAAAATGGGACTAGCAACCTCATTTTGTGCAGTTTATAATAAGTTATTGTGCTCATAAACATTAATTTTGTGAGTATTTTCCAACCTGATCCTGTAGTGTGGTCCTGGTCGGGCCCAGTATGCGTACTACCTGTGCTGCCTCTCAGCCTCGTCCAATCAAAATTGTCGTCTTGGAGCTGGGTGTAGTTACACAAGTCCATCTCAAATGTGCAGTCCATGGCTGGAAGTACATGTAACATCGTGGATTTGTAATTGAAATTTAGAAATTTATTAGATTAACATAAATGTCGATGTATGTAACGTAAGACTTGAGGATGGATGATATTCAAATATTGGAGCTCCTAACTTATGGATTAATTATTTCAAGACTGCTTGCATTTCAAACCACAATGAATTCTGCTCAATAAGGCACTGAGATTTTCTCAGCTGCTGATATCCTTTCCTAAAACGTACAAAGTGTATTGGACAGAGAGAGATGTGCTGATGAACACCCAATCTGAGTTGCACCAGAAACTTTGGAGAATTTGTGTCCATCTCAGCCAAATTCATAATGGAGCAGTACTGCATTAAATCCAACCGATTCACGCTTTTCAAACAGAATTGTTGCTCAAAATATGAGGGATCTTGACAACTGCCACAAAAGATGATTGTGTTCTTTTTTCCCAGAAAAACAAAAACTCCTGACCCTATGTTTCTGAGATATAAACCTTAACGTCTTTCATCTGCTCTAACATATAATAGTTACAGAACTTATAGTTAACTGATGGCAAGATTTTCAAGCCATTTCCCCCTGTAAAATATCTCTAAAATCAAGAGACAAGCAGACAGGGCGGACGCACTTACATGGAGCAGCTGGTGTGCTCCCAGGGACGCCAGCATAGCAGGAGACCGGTTCAATGTCCAAGTCATCCAGCGCGATGTCACCAACGACGTCACTGGCGTAGGTTGCCTCAAAAACAATCTGCCGGGAAAGAAGCGACATGAAAATACACCGGTTCAATTTTTGAGTACAACCAATGAGGCTTTTAGACAATATCCCACAGAAAAACTATGGTACAATTCGAATTGAATGTACTCTAAAACCATGAACTGATAGTTACTGAAGCCTTGTAATTCAAGGAATCGGGAATGATAGAATTATTTGAAAAAAATTGTCAAAAATGTTGATATATGTACACAAGCCTTCTAGTTGGAGTTATCTACCTTGAGTAGGAGCAACTCCTCATCGGTTGAAAGAGCCACGTTGGTGGGGAGGGTTCATTTTGTTGGTAGCATCCAACATTAACACATACATTTCTGAGTCGTTTGTGAACCAGCAAAGAGAAGTGCCCACCAAAGGGTCTATTGCTAGGAATATTGCGCCCTCTCTTGGTCAAGCTCAGGGCTCATATTGAGACGTGGTAAATTCCTTCCCGAAAAGCAGACTGATATGTGGTAATGCTGGCATGCTTTTGTTATGAAAAAGGCATTTCAACATTACCATATAAAAACACAATTCGTGAAAATTATTTTCGGCAAGTTTTCCGCTTTTTGAAGGTGATTCATTACAATGTTTGCTATAAGCAAACACATCAACTTTTCAATGTATTCCCTCACCTGGAAATCAGTGGTGCTCATGAGATCCACCTGGCCCTGTTGCCACACGTCACCCTGGTCTCCAGTCAGACTCCACTTTCGGGTCGTCTGACCAGCATTGTCGAGGAAGTGGACATTCAGGTTACCCACGCCTTCAACAGGAAACAAACCATGGAATACACATAGTTTTTCCAAGGTCTTTTGGGGGAGTAGGGTCCAATGAGAAGTTTTGTCACCATTTTAGTAAACTTTACTGACATTAGAAAACAGTCTGATGTGGGATTGTATATTCTCTGCACAGTTTATTGTAAGATATTAAGATAGCGAGATGTGGATAACACTGCATTATACCGATGCTTCACAGAAAATCCTTACCATAGAAATTTGCAATTTTGGCCAATGGGTTAAAGACAAAACATTTGCAAAATACTCCCTGAGTGCCTCTACAGTACATGCTCATCTGTGCCAAAAGCTTCCTTTGGTTCCCAACGATGATTCTGCTCAACCCAACACAGTGGGGCGAGTCATTTTGCTGAAAATGACTCAGTGGCTAAATCCTTGTGACCATCCCAAGACCCAACAAGACCATCTCAAGGCCCCCTACGACCACCACAAGACCCCACACAAGACAAGACCCAGCTAGACCCAACAAGACCATCTCAAGACCAACCAACTCAAGACCCAACAAAACCATTACAAGATCCAGCAAGACCAACAGAAGACCTTCCTCTGAATTCAAGTCACAAGGTATCCAAATGAACTCCTTGATCCCTTTTCATACTGTTACTTTTGTCTGATCTGGTGACTGGTCTTGTGCCTGGTCTTGCGATGGTCAGAACTGCAACACTACTTCATCAATTATGATTAAGCTGTAGCTGTTTTTTTTTCACTGCTGATCTTTACCAAAGTTTCACATGAATTTAACAGAATCTGACAGAGAACAGATTTAAACCTTTTTACCATGGAACCTACCAGAGTCCAGGAACTAAGCAAAACCATTGGATCCTGCTGGACCCAGCAGGCTTAAGGCTAAGGATACTTTTTAAAACACCATAGTCATCAAAGGTCGTCAACTTTACCTGCTGGTCCCTGACTGTTTTTTGCAACCTTCCCTCTGAACTCCAAAGACTGAAAATTTACTCCACTGGATTGCAGAGTCAACCCCTCCGACCGAAACTAGGTACCAGATGAATTTTGAGGTAATTTCTTCACTCCAGTTGCCTAAATTTTACTAGCGTTTCAACTTTCCGAACTATTTTAACCTACATTTCTCGTGAGTTTCACTCAAAAACGTCTAGTCCTTTGTTTCACTGTTTTGGATCAAGACAGTTGCTCTCAATTGACAACTCAATTGGATAATAATAATGGAACTTGGCAAGCACAGAATTCACTGTAGAAAAACTTCAAACACTGACTTCTTCCAAAGGAAACCAAATAACATTTTTGACCCACCATCCCCAAACCAGTCTGAAGTTGGTATTTGTGATGTTGGACAATTCCACTCCTTCGGCTTTTTTTACACTTTAAAGTGATCCATGTTAAATTGAAATTCTGTCTGCAGTAAGCTTCTTATGGGTAGTGATAACTGTAAAACTGAAAATCTGAAGAGTGGACGTTCCACTATTTTAGGGTTATGAAGTTACCTACTTCACCCTGGTTTTGGGATGGTGGGTCACATCTGAGTTCCATCTTAAAAAAACTTCTTACATGCCTAAATATCTAAGGAATAAGAAGAAACTGATCATCACCTCTGCCGTACATGTGATACCAAAAGTATAAACAGCCCTCGTTGGTCACAGGTAAGTGCTCGCTCACCAGCCAGGCATTATCACCAAAGAACAGACCCGAAGTCGACATTTCAGTGAATACGTAGTAACCTGAATGAATGAATTGTGAGAAGAGCTTGAAAGGCAAAATTATCATCCCTTTGGTAGTCAGCAGAGGCTGACACGGAGTTTGCAGAAAGTTCTCCCGTGGTTGGCACAGCTTTGAATGGAAAATGCATACATGACACATTGGTATTCCAAGTTGGAACAAGTAAACAGATCTCAAACCTTTGTCGCAACCGAAATAATTTCATTCGCCTAAAAGTAAACTAGTGAACTTCACGTACAAGCCTGGATAAACATGGGCAGTGATGAACCTTGCAATCCATGTAATTAGTTAGTCAAATCTCACATTTCCAGTTTATTTTTTTAAGACAACTTATGCCACCAAAAATAAAAAGTACGACATGCAATCAATCATACAAACAGTGTTGTACTTTCATGGAAAGTGCCTAAAACGCATTGCACAACTTATACAGTACCATTGGCATTTATTGAAGAACCTTTGTTGATAACTATATCATTGATACAAATGAAAAATCCTGGACAATTTACTACCTATTCCAGAGTTGGTGGTGTGGTCAACGCTAGGTCCAGTGTTCAGGCTGGGGGTGACACCCGCACTCCGCAGCCAATCAAAGACATCGTAAGAATCGTCGTTGGTCCAACCGCACATGTCCCGCTCAAAATCACAAAAACCTCGGGGAAAAAAATCAAAGTATTCTTAAATAGACGTAGTTTGGAAAATCGAAATATTAGGGTTTTTAGAAATTGAAAATACCAAAAAATTATAATCTTAGAGTTTCTTTGGATTGACATACAATTAAGTCTTACATATCTATTTGTATGAAATTTGTCTCTCATTCAAAATTTATCAATACAGTTATTGTCGCATTGGTAAGTTTGTAAAATATCTCCCATTAACTTTAATAAACAGATCATTTAACAATGTTTTTGTCAAAAAATTTTCCATCTTAGATGGTGTCATCAGGGTAAATGAACTTATAGGGTAACAAATCCACTATGTTATGAGTGTCTTGGAACCCTTGAGACACGTGAGCCTTGCCCACAAGTAGTGATATCATAGCAGGTAGTCTAATCAACTCAAAGAATTTGAAGCCTCTTGAATTGGGTTCATGGAAATGAACTGATGTAGAATGCAAACCGTTACCTTTAGAATGCTAGTCCAGAGTCCTACCCACACTTAAGGGATTCTATAGAGTATCGATGCTGTAATGTAATGATTTAGCTTCGAGCCATCTTTGTGGTAAATGATGACCAAGTAAGAGGGTCTTTATAAAAATTGGACCTACGACATTCAGATCTCGAGTTTTAGATCATCTCACCTTGCCTAGAGCACTTGCCATCCACCACATCAACATCGTCGATAGCGATGTCACCGTTGGGGTTGGAACCTACTTCTGCTTCAAAGACCACCTTGAATGGGTGTCCGGCAGAAACCGTTGCCTGCCCAAACCTCCACACGTTGTCCTGGTGACCTAGATAATGGATTATGAATATTTTTAAAGTGAACTTTATTTTCCTGATTACTTCAGAAAAAACATACATTGAAAATAAATGAATACAAAAATACTTTTCACAAAACTGGCGTTTCACAATAGTGCACCTCCAGGAATTTGCAAAGCACTGGCCAATCATAACGGGTGAAACCTGTGGAACCAATGCACCTTTGGAAAGGGTCAACAGATTTCGTGCATTGTGATTGGCCACCACGTTGCAAACTCTTGCAAGCGAACTATTGTGAATCGCTCGTATTTTTAGCGGACTTCAAATGAATAATGCGTTGTTTGAAATAAGTTGGGTATTATCCATGGAAAGGAGTGTCTTTAAAATTTCTGAATGACAGCTAAGCTTACCTGTTTGTTGCCAGGTGGGGACGCTGTCCAAGTTTGTTACGAGGTCATGTGACTTGACCCATAGGGTGCCGACATTGTTACCGAACATGTGATACCAGAATCGCACGCATTCTCCATATGTGTCAGTTTGTCGGGCACTGAGGAGACGAGCTTTGTCACCTTGGCGACGGGGCGCACTTGTGATCACCAGTGCATACTTGCCTAAAAATGCAAAAGAGAAGAAGTTCTTAAGGCATTGGAGAAGGAAAAACCAATGAAGTAGTCTTTTAGGATGTCCTGTAAAACCTTCAGCTGGCTACCAAGAGTCAAAAAAACAAGTCACAAACTGTTACTTCCTGAGCTGGTTCTCTCCACATGATGAAAGCTGGGCTATTAATAAGTCATCAACTGGCTCCTGTGAACTCCTGCTATCAAATCAGGCACATTCATGAAGTCAGGGTACAAAACCTTAGATGGTTCCAAACACACAATCAACACTGGTCTTTCAAGGGTGCACCGTGGTAAATAGGCCACAAATATGTACGCCGAGCTCATTAATAAAAGTTCGCAGTAATTTGCCATTATTCTTCCTTTAATTTTACATGTCAAGTCATCCTGAAAGACTCTTCCACAAAAATTTGCAGCCTGAAAAGTCTGAATTTAACATACCTTTATGTATTTTGTGTCTTGACTCCTTACTTTCAATCGTCTGATCGTATTAAGAATTGAAGCTGACACATACAGCCTCGTTTTCAAACGCAGAAGTGCAGAGATCGATGCTAAAAGTGTCGTTTTGGGATCCGTCTATTTAGCCAATTTGCAAAGGGATGCATTTTCAAAATGGCTACTTTTCTGGGCAGTGAAATTTCCTTCATTTTAGGGGTGATCTGCTTGGGCGAGAATTTCTCAAAAATTCATTGGTCAACCCACTAAGAATTAAAGGAAAATGAAAGAGGATATGTCAAACATCATTTTTCTGTGCAGTGTGAACACCTGTGAGAGTTGTATTTTTTAAATATTTGTGAAGTATGGGGATTTAACACTGCTGTCTATGGGAATTTACTTGCTGAGGTGCACCCCTAAGTTTCCACCTGCTACCAACCAAGCTCATACCAAGGAATAAGGAAAATGGTAGGTTTCCAATGATGTGATTGATGGGGGCCTGGATATCGATCAACTGGCTCCCATGAGCTACTACCAAATCAAACTCATAAATGCAGTGAGGGAACTTAACGCACTGACCTGTGCTGGTTCCCAGTGTGTGGTCAACAGGTGGCTGGGTCCCAATCAATTGGCTCCCACTGGCTAACACCCAATCAAACTCATCGTTGAAGTCTTGAGTCCATGAACACAGACCGGTCTCAAATTCGCAATCCCCTGTAAGCAAAAACAAAAGAGGAAATGTTCTATCTTAACCAAAAAATGAAAATGCAATAAAACTTACAAGGAAGCCAAGAAAAAAGATCTATTTTAAAATTAGCCGAAAAGATTTAAGAAAAAGCCATTCTTTCAAAACTTGAACTCAAAGGCTACTCTAAGTACTTTTATCACAGAATTGCTTGATAGGATCTGGGTTGAGAACATTTCTGGGTACTATGTAAAGACAGGTCACTATTGAACAGTTCGATGCAGCGCATTTGATTGCTTCCTTCACACTTACCGAAGGTGTCGTCATGTGTTCAGACGAGTATGCACAATTCTCAGTAATAAACTAATGGTTTTAGGTTGCTAAAGGAGCCTAAACTGGGTCAAGATATTATGAAGAGATTAAATTTGCAAAATGAATTTAAAGAAACAAACAGCCTAAAGACACATTTCTTGCTTCTTTTTCACAGAACGTAGTTGACGTGAGCTTACTGCTACTATATTAATCTGTTCTTAAAAATGGTATTTAAAACGGCATTTAAATTCCAGCCTAAGTAACCGGCTCAGCGGATCAGTTTGACACCTAGGCCAGTCCCCAGAAAGCACGAGTAGACACATTCACATACAAAGTGTGGCCATTCCTTTGTTCTCCTGTGGATAAGAAAACTCAGGGGAAATCCTCTTTTTTTCCAATTACAACAACTCCTTTGTGCGGGACTTTTCTGGAATTGTTCTTGTTTATTTTGCCACGGATAACCCTGACCCCAAAGTGCCTCTGAACCTGAGGGGAAAACATTGTGTGGAGATGTGTAAGTCCAAACAATGCCATCACACCAATTATGTGTCTACATTGTGTGAGCCATGCCTGCACAATTAGTTTACCAGCTGCAGTGAATTACGATTTATACATGTAAGGTTGCGGCTGGCTCCCCGCTATTTTCTGTTATGTTAATCACATATTTGCTACTTGGAATATTGTCTGCATATATTAGTACATTTATGAAATTGGGGACACATACAGGTAGGAAATGATCCTCTTGTTACTGGACAGAAAGCTACTTACTTGTGGGTGGGCAGGCTCCATAGTAGATCAAGATATCATCTAACGCAATGTCACCTGTCCAAGTGTTTCCTGTTACACCTTCAAATATGACCTATGGTACAAAAAAACCAGAGGGGGGAATTGTAGTCAAGTCAGAAAAACAGAGTTGGAGTGTTATAGTCACCTCTTTCTGACTTGACTGATAACACTACACAGTTCAGACATTGGACACTAAACGCAAAACCCAAACTGTGGATATTGTGTAAGTGTTGTGCGCATGGCTTGAGGGTGGAGAGTTGATTTTGGCTCCGCGAGGAATTGAAAGGTGATGATTCCTAACCCCAACAAAACCATGTTATATATGTGTGTTTAAAACAATACCATACCTCAGAAATACTCAGATGGAGCAAACAAGCATTGCGACCACTGATTGAGAACCATATCCATGTGAAAAAACCAGGCCATCGGTATATACACACTGGGATGTTTGACTTGTGAGCATGCGTGCTTGGTCAAAAACAAATACAGTAACTGCATACTATATAAAGTAAAATATGACAAATGGACCACTGAGAGCTCAGCTCCCTATCATGAATATGTATGAGGTATGGTAATGGCAAATATATTACCTGCCACGTGTCGTCGCTCTGTACAGTGTACTGTGCCTTCAACCACATGTTGCCCTGCGTCTGGTGTCTGGTCCAGACTAAAGTCTCTGTCTGCCCTGCATTGAGGTAGACGTTGAGGGAGTTGACGGCCAGACCGTACATGTGATACCAGAATGTCAGGCACATGGGCTCATCATAGGTGGGCTCGTTGAACATGGAGGCCAGGCGGGCTTTGTCTCCGAGGACGCGTGGTGACGATGTCTCGATGAAAACATAATGACCTTTGTAAGTATGAGAACAAGAAAAAACTCATTTTTCGATGCCCCATCAGGCTTTCATGATACAGTTGGTGGGTTAGACTGGCAGCAGCAAAATTGGACTTTAAAGTTGGTCTTTTGAAATAGATCCCTAACATCAACAGCATCTAAGGTCGACTTGAACTTGAAAAGGTCGGTAACTGTCCTGATTTCTTCTGACAAGAGATTCCATCCAGGAATTCTTCTTGGGTGGAGGGAGTACTTGGAACAAACTTTGTTGAAAGTGGGTCCTATGAATACTGGCCATGCGATCTACACGATTGGTGAGACTTGTTGTGCCTACACGGTTGCTCGGTATTAATCCATGTGATTCCTTGTAAATCATGATGAGTCTGACTTTGGTGTGTCTTTCCTCAAGTGTATCCTATTCCTGGTTTGAAACTAATGAAGGTACACCTTTACATAAACTGGGCTACGAAAGCTTACAAAAATTTGAACAGCAGTGTCAACTGACTAAGGATCAACTTTTGATCGACAATAAACTAAAGATGACTCAGAGTAGCGATTTCAAATTTGAACTTATTTGTGACAGAGCCATATAGATAATCGAACCTGGGTCAGTGTGTGCACATGGAGTATCCCACCTCTTATCACAGGGCCTATGTTTTACTGAATTTCTCACCTGTTGCGTTGCCATACGTGTGATCGAACCCAGGACCGGTGGTAGTGCTCGGCGTACCACCGCTGGTCCAAGTCCAGTCAAAGTCGTCGTCCGGCACTTGGATGTAGCCACAGAGATCAGTCTCAAAGGTGCAATTCAGGCTAGATCCTGCAATGGCAAATATACCGATGTTTGTAACATTTCCCGGAATTCCAGCATTCAATATCATCGTCATTAAGCATTTCTGGTACTAAAACAGTTCTTCAAAGGTGTCCCTGTATGAGCCTGAAGAAGGCTGTCGAGGTGGGACGAAAACCCCAGAAGAACATTCTGGGTAAACCCATAGAGTCAAGTAGGGACTCATCACAATAAAATCCACATGTGGACCGAGCAAAATCCAACCCGGACAACAGAGGTGCAAAGCGAGGAACTCAAGAACTGTATGTTAACCTAACTGAAAATCGTAATAGTTCATACAAGATTTTTATTGTATAAAGTCTTTTATTTCTCTGTTGAATGTCTGCATACGTTATTTTAACTAAACCAGACCATCTTCAAATCTCAAAGCAAATTTCATAATTGGAAAGAACTCGACTACAAATTTAAATGTGATGAAGGTTTGGGGTGCCTTCTGCCTAAAACATTGAGTCCACCAGTTCGCTTCTGAACATAGCACAGTCACGAGATCTTTCACCTGATGTCAGAAACCTTCATTCTATTCACAGCTCCATTGTGCGAAATGCCCCAAAACGTACAAGTCTGAAACAGGGAGAAAGTTGAAGGGACAAAAGGGGTTCAGCTTACGGACACACTTGCTGCCTCGTTTGAGAACAACATCGTCAATGGCAACATCGCTGGTGTAGTTGGCTCCAATCACCCCCTCCAAGAGAACTTGAAAGGTCTGGATGTTGGTGATATCAACCTGTTCAAAGTGCCACTCGTCGCCTTGGTTACCGCTGATGGTTAACACATTGCTGAGGAGGAAGTTGTCCAGGTCATTGGTGTAGACATTTAAGTCGCCGATGCCAGCACCCAGCATGTGGTACCAGAACTCAAAGCAGCCTCGGGACAAGGGATCAAAGTGTTCGGACACCAGCCAAGCCTTGGAGCCAGTGGAATAGGAAGATGCCTCAATGTAAATGTAGAAACCTTTGCCAAATAAGAAGCATGAGAAAACAAAAGCAAAATGAAGATTTAATCATGTTGGTCATGTCGGTTCAACAAGGTTCTTTGTACAAAATACCCTGAAAGTCCTTAAACGAAAGATACTGTTCTAAACATGAAATCAGGCAAGATGTGGTGAAATTTAAGAATATCTATCCCAAAACTGGTTGCACAAATAAAAGAGGGTGAAACTTTTTCTGTTTCAATTAGATAGGCCCATTATCTTCAAGCCACTTTGGAGTTGAAAGTCTTTCAAAGAATTTTACATGAGTCAACAGGAACCCTCAACATTCTTCACCCACACGGTGTATATAAAACTGAGAGATACATCAAAACAAAACTCCCCTTTATGTAAACTTGAGAATGACCGGCATTAAGGCTCAGTTTGGGGATTTGTCCTGAATTCTGTACCTGATGAAGAGTTTGTGGTGTGGTCGACGGCCGGCCCGGTTGCTACACTCGGTGTGCCACCGGTACTCCGCGTCCAATCAAAGTCATCCAGCAGAGGCTCATTGGTCCAAGAACAAAGGTTCTCCTCAAAGTCACAAGATCCTGTGAGACAAAACAACAGAAGAATTGAGATGCAGCTGGTCTGTCACTAATTGGATGTGACTGCACGTGATCTTCATATCATGTTCAGCAGGTAAAATACATGTAATCTCTCCCTACATTATTAGAAAGACAGCTTGGTCAGAAAGTATGGTTAATCATATTTTGAGCAATTCTCAATGTTTTTATAGTTAACAATGGCTACACTAGTCTGGTCAATTATTCATGGCCAGCCTACTCAGCATTAGCTTGAGTGAGTAGTTAGTAGACAATACTCCCCAAACGATTGGATAGTTGAACTATCTAATTGACCATTTTGAACCCAGACCCTTGTGCATGGTTGCATTATTACTGGTTAAGAGTTAGCATTTTTCCTTTCTTTTCATTACACATAAAAATACTTAGACAATTATAAACGTAGTTTGAGATGGCAGGGACCTAGAAAGAGATAGACACAAAAATCGTAAAAGGTGACAATGGGATTTTTGTAAAGAGTTCGACTACTGCTGTTCAAGATATTAGCACGTACGCCCTCTTAGGAAACAATTGGCTAGAGGACATGCTCCAGTTAGAGTTTGAACCTGCCTCAAATTGGTTGTTTTAAACTGGTTTCCGATACCCACAAACATTGCAATGTACAGAAGTGAACCAAGACAACAAGGCTTGAGCAAACCTTTGATCAGACCTCAACTTCCCCCAATTTTCTACACATGGGACAATGCACAAACCACCTAATGTAACAACAAGACGTTGTTTTGAAAGTTTCAGTCCGTACATTACACTGTGAAACTTTGAAATGTGTTGTCTTACCGGGAGGCGGGCATGGTTCTGTGGCAATTTCAATGTCATCAATGGCAAGGATACCGGTATTGCTGGCACCCAGCACCCCTTGAAATCCAACCTTGAAAAAAAAGGGAACTTTCAGTTAAGTTTGTGGACCTTTTGGCATGGGGAAGAGGGGGTGGATCTGGGTAATAGTTTGGAGAGAGGAACTTGTATTCAGGACAATTTTATTCCTCTTCTTCTTTGAGCCTCTCAAACCCTGGATCACCTGCCTGAGCTTGGGCTTTGGTCAGGCCGTACCAGGACTGTGAGCATGTCTAATAAACCACTGAAATCTCCCTGAGGGTCGTTCCTTTCCGATTAATTGTCAACTCCAGCAGGGAGTGATTCCTCGCAATGCACTGAACGGCATATAGGGTGCATGCATACAGTTTTTCTCAACATACGCCAGTTTTCATAAAGTTAACAACCAATGTGGTGTTTAGTTTTATGAAGCCGTGGAAGCACATTTTCCAGTTTTCATTGCTGAAAATGATGCAAAAGGCCTGATCTGGTGCGTATCCTAGACATGTGGAGTTGTCTGTTACCCCTCATCATAATAATAAACAGATTTGGACAATGTGCTTCAGCAAAGAAGGCTCATGAACCATGCAATAGTTGTCATGATGACCATGTAGTATAAACCAATAGGATTTTAGCTTTGTCTCAAACTCTAGACTGAAGGGGTAGTCATCTTTGTGGGCCATCAGACAGATAAGTACAAGGAAGGTGGACTGGCCACCTACAGTGTTGATAGATGGTGACGTTATTAGCAGATGAATAGATAAAGATTAAAGCTTTGCACAGTGGAGAACACGTTGATCAATCTCTTTTGAGAGATATAGAGGTACAGTTCTGATAAGAACCGTGAGTGTGAGCTCAATGTTTCCCCCAATGTGATCTGGTCGTCCTCAGGAGTGGAGTACTGGACATTGTTGCAATTGTATATGTGTGAGATTAGATAATGCCACCTTCCCTGCTGCAAGGATAAACAATGAAACCCTGGTTTCAGAGGGAGCCAGGTTTTCAAAACCAACCTGTATTTGAGCGCTGGAGCTGAAAGTGGCATACCCGTACCGCCAGAAATTTCCCTGGTCCCCTGTCTTGCTCCATACATGACTGCTGTTGACTAACCCAAGATTGAGAGCCACATCGTTGGGACCACTGAGGTAGTACCAGAACTTGACGCAGTCGCCGGCAAGGGTCGCATTAAAGGCAGGACTGAAGAAAATGGCATCATCAGAGGCGGCATGGGACTGCCCAGGGTCAACGTACATGAAAAACCCTTACAACAATTAAACCAAAAGGTTGAAATGAATTAGTTTGTGGATAATATCGGCTAAGGCAATTGATGATATGAAAACTTCAAATTGCGCAAAACTTCCCTAGAATTATTTCTATAAAAAAGAGGGCAATCAAGGTTATTGTGAGCTAGTTAAAAAAATTGAAAACAATGAAACAGCAAATGAAAACCTATGAGGTGCTGAACTTTCAAATTGTTTAAAAAAAAAATAGCGGAAATCAATTATGTTCAAGATGGTTGTTGTGGATATACTGGCTTATATATTAAGAAAAGTCTAGAGAACTTATAACAGCATTTGAAGGCTATCTGCACAATGGGAAATTTACATTCCAGGATGGACACATCATTGATAATCCATGGTGGATGGCAGATGGAAGACGACAGATGACAAGGGGAAGTAAATTCCAGGATGGACAAATCATTGATGATCCATGGTGGATGGGAGATGGCAGATGACAGGGGGAAATACATTCCAGGATGGACACATCATTGATGATTCATAGAGGATGACAGATAGCAGATGACATTTGACTGCTGACATATGATACGTGGCAGATGACGGGTGACAGCTGGCGAGAGACAGTGGATGGCAGTTGACTCTGACCGAGGGCGGCTCATAGATGACAAATACAAGATGATGGACAGTGATAGAGCATTTTTCCTTTGTTTCACCTGCTGGAGCTCCTGTGGAGTGGTCTGAACCCGGGGCATTACCAGGTGTTATGCTACTGCCAGTGCCCCGGGACCAGTCTAGTACATCACTGCGTGTATCTTGGGTCCAACCGCATAAATTGTACTCGAAGGTGCAATATCCTGCAGGTAAACCACAAATTAAAAGATTCATAATGAACACACGACAGCAAGTATTTGAAGAGGTGTGACAATAGGATTTTGTATGAGGTAGTAACTTTAATGAGTAACAATTTAAGAGTTAAGACAATTTTCCAGCAGCATTGTACATGTTTAATAATGCAAACTCAAGATTTCCTACGGTACATGTACAGGGTTCCCAGCATTTCATGGGGACAAAATTCCTGATTTTTCCCTGATTTGAGGGACTTGTTTCAAGTGCCCTGACTTTTCCCTGACCGGAAAAAAGGGAAGTCATTTTCCAGGTTTTCCCCGATTTGGCTGTACATCCTGATGTAAGGATGGATTTTACAAGTTTAAGGCCAAATTCATACATGTACTTAATTTGGATTGGAGCCGAGCAGAATTCTTGGGTTTCAGAGGAATGTGACAGAGATCACTACAAACAATGCAAAATTTAATTTTCATTTCACACTAAAGATAAACCAACTACACAGGGCAAATAAACAAGGTTAATTCTATAAGTCTGGGCTCTGACATGACATTTTTTCTTTCCCTGGTACATCTGACCTCAGAAATTTGGGAAGGGATATATCATTGAAATTGACTTGCAACAATTCGTATTTGTATCAACAGGGACACAAAAGTGCACCCAAATTCATAGGAAGGCCCACAAGGCAGCTCGTGATGGTGGCAATTAGCCAAGAACTACAGCAAATAATATTTTTGATGTTGATATTTTGAGTAAGCAAGCTGATATTAATATGGAAATTTTGTTTCATATATTTTACTGTGTACTTTCACAGATATGACATGAATATATCAAAAGCAAGACAGTAATCAATATGTGCACTTCTGTATTAAAAACAATTTTACATCTTCATTGTTACGACTGTCAAAAGCAATCAATTTGTGACACACCTTTGCAAGAAAGGAAGTAAATGTGTGTTGGATTGACAGAATACCGTAAGTTTGTAAAATATTTCAGTAGTGTTTTTGGACTTTATCTTGGGATAGAGTTAAATCATAAAAGAAAAGATGACAGGTGATGAGTTTGCACTTACTTGGTGGCGGGCAAGAGCCAGTGGTGACATTCACATCGTCAATGGCAATGTCACTCTCAAAGCTAGATCCAATGATACCCTCAAATACCACCTATGAAATGATACAGTGTGAAGAAACAAGAAATAAAACATTGCCTGTCGCATTCCCTCTGCAGAGTGTCTGATATGCAATTACCCCGATCTCAAAGAGCATGGGCGCTGTCCACAGCTCTGTGTTTTCAGCAGATTCTGAAAGACCAAATTGAAAGAGTCTCTGGAAAAAAGAGGTGCGATAGAACAACAGTATCTGTGATCTTAATATTTTCTAGGCTTCGAAAGGGCACATAAAAACAACATGTATTTGACCAAGTTTAATAACAATGCTGAACACATCGTATTTTTCACTGAGCAAAGTCAAGGGGAAAAAGAATGCTCTATAGAAGGCCGGTGTCATATAAACAATTAAACACAGAAATGTTCACTTGGGTGTCTCTTCCTTTCATGTTTCAAATTTTACGTTTTGACCCAGTTGGGACACAAAAACCTGAGAAATTCTTATATTCCCACAAAAACATTCTATGAATCTAAGTCTTGAGTTAAAGTTGCATCTTCAGTTTTAAATCCGAGGGCATCCGCGAAGAAATGAATGAAATTTCTTGAAAAATTATTTACCTGTCTACTTTGATGAAGAAAGAGAAATTTGTGTTAAATGCACTTGTGTTTTATGCAAAGTTAAAAAGAGAGAGAAAGACACTGAACCACAGCTGGTGATACAAGAGTATTGTGGGTCAAAATATTTCTATATGAAAATTCCCATTCCTGAAACCCACAAAAACCCTGAAAGAGTCTGATACTATCCCATTTAACAGTTGAAATAACAATGTACAACGCAGATACAAGGAACAAGATCAAAATGGCTTGCTCAGCAATAAGGTCCATTGACCGTGTCCATTTATGCCTGAGAAAAAGCAAGGGAAGGTATGGGTGAAGTGGCCTATTAATGAAACGTGATGCAGGAAAACTGTTTACCTGGTAGTCTTGAGTTGACTGGATTGTGTGTGCTTGATCATACCACTTATTTCCCAAGCCTCCAGACTTAGACCATACAAGGATGTCGCTTGATCCTCCAACTCTGTCAAGTAGAAATCACAGAATAATGATTTCATGGTCAAAGACAAAGTAGAGTGGGAAAAATGCTTTACTTTTTGACAACTACACCAAGGTTGTAGTCGAGACCACTTAAATATCTTCACAAGACCAGCACAAGACCTCAAGTCTGAATTCAAGTCACAGGCTTTTCAAATGAACTGCAACAAAAGCATTTCTTTGTCATTGTTAAACATGTTCCTTGTGCATGGTCTTTTGTCCCGTCTTGTGATGGTCTCGACTTCAACACTGGATAGTGAACTCCTTGAGAGGTTATTCTTTCTGGCTTGCTGTCAAGTAAATGATACAAGGTCATTTCTGCAGATGCGACTGGTGACACACTTCTTGAAATTCCGGTACATTTTGGCATGTTGTCAAAACTCGTTTGATCAAACGCATTCAGTGATGGGATGATATTTTCAATTCATGTACTATTGCCACGGAAGCATAAAAACTAGCTTATAAGGTATGTGATTTGAGCCACATAAAATAGATGAAGCAAGATGTGGTTTCTTCCTCAACTGCTAGAACACGTACATGTAAATACAAAAGTTCAGTATGGTTTATTCCATGGACATTTATAAAGAGCACACGTCCATCATTGCTGGTGCTCAAGGCACATCATCATTATTAACCCTGCTCTTCAAGCCCATGGGACATTCTATAAATTAGGGGTCCGATTTTTTTACAGTGACCCTGTCACATTTGACTTTGTAACTTCATAACACATTCTCTAACTTCCAAGAGTGATGAATTAATGCAAATTACATGCCCAACAACTACAAAAAGTTTGAAATCACTTTCAGTGACATCTCTACACCAAACTACACACATTTAGGTGTAACAGGAACAGAAAAATGTCACACTTTTGGACCCTGAATTTATAGAATGACCCCCGTGTGTATTCCTGAAACCATCTCCGCTCTCTGAGAAGTATACAGCTCTATGCTGCCATTTCAGGCACAAACGGCTGACTAACACAACCTTCCCCCAGACCCATTTATACCCCTGGCTGGAGCGAGATAAATGGGTGCACAAAATAACAGGCTAAGATTGCAGGGAAGATCTGTGTTATGTTCCTCCCTTGGGGTATCATATGAAAATAACATTGTAACTTCTTCTTAAAACAATCACTGACCTCAAGTAGACATTTAATGTTCCCATGGTGCCGCCAAACATGTGATACCAGAAGGAGAAGCACATATCAGAGGCGGAGCCTGTCTGTGTGGGGGAGACGAGCAATGCCCTTTCTCCCTGTAGCTGGGAGGATGCTTCCGTGTACATGTAGAACCCTGGGAAGAAGGGTGTGACAGAGAGCGTAGGATCAGGGTGAATGTTGATCTGAATGCTACATGTAAGTTTATTGCCAGATGGTGTGATAATTGGACCAATCAGTGCCAAAGTGCATGAACTCTGAAAAAGTTTCACTGATGTTGTCGTGATATAATTTCTATTGGTGCCAAGCTTCGTGGGTTTTCAAGTAATGTCTTAAAATCATTTTGACTCCAGTCTTTGATGAACGGACAAACATAATACCACTCTCATACAAGACACATATTATCCAAGACAGGTCAGCCAAGAAAGACAACTCTTCCCACTGACGTACAGAATGCAATCAGGCTGACATAAGTGAGGCCAATAACTATAAATGATCATAGAACAAGACCATGCCAGAATTTTTCGTAACCTCCTGCAAGTACTTACAACGGATGTTTTTTAAGTGTGTTTAAAATTTCAAGGTGTTGTATACACTCATTAGCGCCAAGACCAAACATTTAAGAAAAATCCTCAAATACTTTTCAGTGCTTTTTTGGTACTTCTGTTGTGCTACCTCTCTGCTTCTTTGCAATTAACTGCCAAAAGTTCATGATGTCAATGATTACCAGGCTGACCACATACTGCAGTTAAGGCTTAAAATGCCACGATCAAACCATGGCAGTAATATATTATAGGCACATGAATTACATCTTACAGCTTCAGCAGAGATCACAGACACAATAAAAAAAACGGGAATCTGTCGATTTACAATGTACCTTCCATAGTGTAATTGGTAAGGAAAAGCATAAGCACTAACAATGTCCTTGGATCGCGACATAGAGGGTACTTTTTTAAAGTGTTTTTTCATTCTTTTTCCTATTGGAAAAGAGCAATTCTGAAAGGGTTCTTAATTTAACTGCCCAATTTTGTTCCCTTTAATTTGTACTTATCGAGGCAAAATGCTCACTTCAATGCATCATCTACGAAAGCCTCACTTATTAGATTGGCATCAATACCACATTATGTCATAATATATTACTGCCATGCTTCAAAGATGGCATTTTGCTCTAAAAATCTTGCTTAAGCCTTGAAAGCGGGGAGTAGTCGGGCAGGGTGCAGTGATGTAGCTGCAAGGAGTGGCCTATGGACAGGAGTTATGCCTTAATAGTTACCCTCTTTGGAAGCTAAGCGTTGGACCATCATTATACCATACCTTGTCTGGTGGTGTGATCATACGGAGGCCCCGTGTCTAAGGAAGGGGTGGGGCCAACTGACCTCGCCCAGTCAAAGTCATCCGCTGTAGACTGCATCCAACCGCACTTGCCCCTGTCAAAGTCACACTCGAATGCGGTGCTTGGCGCAGCATAGGACGGTTGAGCTTTAAAGATTCAATAAATTTTCTGCTTCTATTTTTTTCTACATAATTCAAAACCCAGTTAAATCTAGCAAGTCCGTTTCCAATATGAATCATGAGAAGTAACTGGGTAATTTTACCAGCTTTCACTTCTGCATAGAACGGCAATAAGTACATCACTGGAGAAAAATTTACAAGAATAATATCATTATGGCATCAAACGGATTAAAATCTGCTATGACAATATAAAGTTGGCTATTCAAAAACACCAATAAACTGGACTGAACCAGAACGGATGGGAAAAGAAATGATCCTTACACATCTGACACCACTCTGAAATTATAATATTAACCAGAATACTGTACTGAAGTCTTAGCCTAGAAATGCTTAAAAGTTGTAAAATGGATTAATCTAGCTGGTGCCAATGTAAATTAACTATTAAAACTGGATTGAAAAGAATTGTGTTGGTCCGTATTCCAAGTACCCCTAGTAACATTAAAAAATCATCATATGCAAAATTTTCTATGAAACATAGGCTTGAACTGATTCTACCTGGTATGAATTTGACAAATCTGGCCAAAACCAGTTTAAGCTCAAAAAGCCTGGACTGGTTTAAACTAAACCATTGCTCTGGGGCAATCTGGCTGGAACCAGTAGAAACTGGATTAAAGCCAATGTGCACCTGTTTCTTTTTACTCCCTTGTCCTTGTGTCCTCAGCAATGATATGCTCAACTTTAACGCCCTCTGAGCAGTTTGAGTCGAGAGTATAACTCAACTTTATCTCTGTGAAAATAGTTTACACTAGACCAGATTGGTTGAAACAGGACCCATCTGGTTTGAACTAGTTTGGTAATACTTACTTGTGCAGGTACCATTAGTTATCAGGATGTCATCAACTGCAATGTCTCCGGTATAGTCGGCACCAATGATTCCTTCAATCAAAATCTGTCAAGAAAATAACAAAAGTAAAAAAAAAGTTGAATCCTTGAAATCTTACATTTTTGATCCATGGATCGCTTTACATAAGCTAAAAAATAGAACAAAATACAAACTGATCTTTGTTTATCAGACTGCAAATCAAGGGGCAGCAATTACCTGGTAGTCTTCATCACTGGTAACTGGGAACTGCCCATACCTCCAATCTAGTTCGCTGGTGCTCTGTTGACCAATTAGTGTCCAAAGTACTGTTGCAGTGCGGGACCCTCCAAGATCTTTAACCTGACATTTAAGTTTAAGAGAATAGGTGTGATTAGTCCTCATTCTCATGATTTCTGCACACTTTTGACCGGAGAAGAAACCCAAATTGTTGGCCAGTATTGCTGCACCAAGCTCTACAATACCTTTAGTGATGAGATAAAAATGTTACGTTCTGAAGGAAAATACTCAGTGACATTGCTTCTGTGGGTTTTGACTAAGTTACACTTCTAATAAACAAAGGTGGTCTCATATTCAGTGGCAAATCAACACTGCAAAATTGTAATGTCTTCACTGTTGGATTTAATTTTAATTTTTAATCTGCAATTTTAGTTTTTAATTCTGCAAGCATTATATCTATAATCTTACAGAATTTTATAATAATTGTAAGCGTACATGTAAGTCTTTACTCGTTTTTGATTTTAAATATATATGTGGTCTCTAGTTGTTTATTAATGTTTTAACCTTTTAATATTGTAAATTCACATACACTTTGGCCCTTAGGCCATGAGTTGTGAAATCAAATAAATCAAACCAATTAAATAAAAACAATGCCCCATATAACACTGACAGGTATGAAAGAAACAATGCCGACCCTTCCTAGAGGGAGCTAAATTGGAATGAGAGTTGGTACGTAAACAATTAGGTCATTTGCTGCCAAACTATAGTAAGCTGTGTTGTCCAAACACATGTATTCCCACTTAGTCTTCATACCTGATACATGACGAGGTCACCAATGTTCAAGCCATACATGTTATACCAGAATGTGAAGCATGTCCCGGAGCTAGGATCTGTTGGGCTATAAACCTGACTTTCTAAGATGGCGTTATCACCCACAACACGCGGAGAACTTGCTTCCGTGTAGATGTAATATCCTAAGTCAAATTAAACAAAGAGTTCTGAATTAGTTCGAGATTGAGGAAAACATCTGTTGAGTCTGGCAATGTCTAGTGTTATCGGAAATATGGAAAAGCTGAATGACAGTGTCACCTGATTCAAGTTCATTGATATGAATGGAAATTTTGTGTCTTCAGGCAAGAAACTTTACAACAATAACCCCCTCCTTTGTACGAGTACAAATTGATATCTGAAAAGGTGAAAAATGCACTGCATGAAAAGGCGCTGTGGTAAGAACTGAGCCTTACATCCCCCAGTAGCTTTCACGCTTCTTATCGGACTTGGAAATCTGGTCTGATTTTGAATCTTGTAATCAATTGATCGAGAAATTGTAGTTTGACATAAATTTGCTCTTTAAGTCTTATATCTTACCAAGTCCAGATGAGGTGGTGTGGTCGACTGACGGTCCTGTCAAAGTACTGGGTGTGATGCCTCGTGATCTCAGCCATTGGAAAACCCCGTCAAGTGAATGCCGCCAGGTACAGATATCATCCTCAAAGTTGCAGCTACCTATGAGGAGTTGAGGTCAACCGAGGAAAATTAGGGGTAGAGTGCTTGTTTTGCATCAATAGGGGTTGGTCAGAATACAACAAGAGAAAATACCCATGCCTGGGCAGTGAGCATATATTCTCACAGGTATATCTGAAAAAAAACATTGTCATGAAGGAAACCGTGAGTGTTTCTTCCAGTTTAATGACAAATTTTGATTTTGGCACCATTTCACTACCACATACAAAGCAAAGAGCACAACACACTTTTGATCTGGAGCCTTCTTGAAGGGTTTCCAAGAAACTTGTAGATGGACACCTTTTTTTGTAGGACGTCTGCACATACCTCCAACCTGGCAGGCAGAAGGAACATAATTCACATCGTCGATGGCAACATCCGAGAGCTCTCCATTTCCCCTGGTGGCCTGGAAGACCACTCGATAGGGCGACGACCTTTGAATATTGACCTGGGCCGTAACCCACTGGTTGCCATTGTCGCCCGAGACCGACCAGCTTGGGTTTGAGTCACCGTTGGGCTGTGACAGACATCAAAATCCACAATTTGAAGCAATGGCACGCTAAGGTATGCATGGAATAGATTGTAATGAGTGTAATGGTAACATGCTGTTAATCCTCCGTTATTGGAAGTCCTGAGCATACAGCTTATCTTCTGCCCATGCTCTTGCAGGGATTTGAGCTGTCTTATTTTTTAACGATTCAATTTCCCTATGAATGCCCATGCCCTGCCCCAGTGTGGAACACTTAAATGTAAGAGCTGAACAACTTGTTGGCCGTGCCTTAATTTCTCTTCAGCGACCTCAGCACATATTGATTTTTCAGGGTATAAATATCGAATGCATTTTTTTTCTTGTCCAGAACTGAAAGCATGCATTCTTGTCTCCATCCTTTATACTGTTCCTAAGCAATGAAGATCCTCACGTGCTTTGAATCCCCTTTAACAGAAAACTTAAGTCCTCCGTTTGTGGAGTCTTTCTGAAAAGAAGAGAAAGGCCTACACACGACAAGGGTGAAGTTATGCTGCCTTAGGCTGGGTAAAATGGCCATATGCACAAGTCGGCCATGTTAAATTGAAAGTGAGGTTAAAAGTTTATTTTTCATTTTGATAACTTAATAATAAAACAACCAAAATAATAAATGAGAGTTAAGCACAAATTAATGACCCTTAAAGCCCAAAAATGATTTCCAGGTAAATTTGCGATTAATCACGTCTAACGTTTTAAGTCACATTTTTAAAAAAATGTCAGTGACGCAATGAGCCCAAATGAGACATGGAAGCCAAAATAGTCAGGCACCATCCCATTTTAACAGTGAATAAGATTCTAAGAACACGATTAAAAACTGGTATCCCTGCGACTAAAGGTCTGTTTGGTTCACATGTGGAATTCAGCTAGGGCTTGGAAAAAATTATCTGGCTTACCCAGAATGCCAGCGTTCCCATGTCCGGGCCAAACATGTGATAGGAGAACTTCCAGCAGACGTCAGTCACGCCAGCACCAGGGGTGAAGACGGGACTGAGGAGACGAGAAACGTCTCCGGCCGACTGACCAGTGGCCTCGGCATACATGTATCGACCTGTGGATTTTCAGAATGGTTGTTTACAGTGTAATGGTGTGCGTCTTTTGCTTAAATGGAGAACAAAGACATAAAAAGGGAACAGTCCTTTGTTCGTTTCGGTGTTTACACTTAGCACAGAAGTGAATATAAACAATGAATGTGCTCCAAATCAACGAAAGTTGAACACATTTCAGATGGAGCAAACGTCACTGCAAACATTTTGTGACGTCAAACACGTTTTTTGTTTGTGTCTGCCTGAAGTGTGAGCTAGCCGTCAGGGAATTGTGCTCAGTATGGAAACTGTTCCTGGCAAAATTGGAAATAGTGCTTGTCTTCCGAGGTGAGGCAAACCACGGCATCATAGGTTGTTGCGCAACTGATAGGGTGCATGTAATTTGTTGCCTAGCACTGACGTCCATTGAGGATAATAAAGTTTGTCCACACTTCTTTGCATGCCGGTAGCATGCAGAACACAATAGCTATTTTTATATGAACATGTGAGGTGCTAAGTAAAAACTTGAGCTCGGAGCTGAAACACAAAATGTAGACATTATTTTTCCTGTAAGACAGACAGAGGACTAACAATGTGGTGTGTTACAAGGTTTCAATGGAGAGGCAACTTTAACAGTGCATCATTGGAAAAATGGCCGACTAAATTCCATTGTAGTCTGTTTAATTCATGTATGTTCAATACCCTCTGCACATACTGGCTATGATGGGCTGATAATATTTGAAGATTATGAAAATTAAAAGATGAAGATTGAGGTCTTCCAATGGAGGTATTTACCGTAAGCCGTGCCGTAGGTGGCGTCAGAGGTTGGTCCCGTGTTTTGGCTTGGAGTGGGCCCGCTGAGCTGCGTCCAATCAAAGTCATCGGTTGTGTCTTGCTGGTAGCCGCATACGCTGTCCTCCTGGAAGGTGCAGACAGCCGCCCCTGATTGGTTAAAACGAAAACAGAATATACACGTATCTTGAACAGTCCAGTAGACACACTTTTTCTGCAACATCATACTTGTCCTAAGGTATGCATGTAAATTGCCATCCTTTTCATTCAGCCAGTTGCCCATAGACTGGATTCTTGCCACAAAGCAACAACGAATTGCTGAAGGCAAGGAAACTTAAAACTGTAAAAAAAATATTACAGTCAATTTTTTGAGCACAAATCAATGCAATATTAAAATATTCTCCTTGGAATGACATCAAAGTTTCTCGTGAAAATGGAAACTCTTTTTTGTTTTTATGCATAAAAGCACACAATCCCCCAAAAGCTCCACAAATACCATTTCAAGCAGCAAAAAAGGAGGTTGCCTGTCAAAACAGAAAAAGTCTTTTTAGGACAGCTCTTAAAAACATTTTTTTCCACAGAACCTGTAAAATCGTTTCACACAAAAGGCATCTACTATTAAATAGGGTGAAATTCCAGGACCTACTCAAACAAGTTTAATGTTTCATCTCACGACAAGAATTACAAATGTTCTAACTTTATTCATTGCAATCCTCAAAATATTTACCTTTGCATTCACCATCATACAGAGCCAGGTCATCAATAGCTATGTCAGCCTGGTAACTCCCTCCAACTATACCCTCATATATAATCTAGGGAATATTGCCACATAAACTTTATGAGTGGAACAAGAAATATTGCACAGCATTCCATAACTTGGATTTGGACAGATCACTATGACCATATTACATAAAGGCTGTGGTCTATTACCGAAAAGTTTGGAGCAGCAAATTCAATTTCTTAGCAAAACTTTAATTAACCGTCTACTAATTGTTGTTCAACAAGTCAATCAGAGGAGCAAAATTACTAATTTGAAGAACCAAACTTCAAAGGGAACCACGAAATTTGCTAAAAGAAATCATGTTCCGACTGTTGGACGATTTAAGTAAGTTTTGAAGGCTTTACCTAGAAATATTGTGAGTTGGGTTCTCATTTACTTCTTGCCAAAATGACAATGAACGACCATAGTGGAAAAAGATCTGACAGCGGAATCTCTTTATTTTTAGTTTGTTCCTCTTTGCGCTGTGAAAAGGGCAAACTCAGGTTTGTGTCTTGAAGTATGCATCCTGAAAAAAAAAGGACATTGCACAGGTGAAAACGTCAAGGAGATCCTACTGATTTTCACTGTGCAAGGTTCACTTAAAGACTTTAATGCGGGTCTGGCAACTAGTGACTTGGCTGGGTCACATTTTTTTTTAGCCACTCCAGTAATTAAAAAAAATAGCCTGAGAATCCATGTACCTGATAAGGTCCGGAGTTTGACACGGGAAACTGGCCTAAGTACCACTGGTCATCCAATGTCCCAGATTTTGACCAAAGGGGTTGGCCTAGGCTGGTCCCATTTGGACGCACAAACACGTTTAGTGTGTCTATGTCGGCACCGTACATGTGATACCAGAACTCCACGCAGACTGGGCGGTTCCTGGCAATGAGGTTGCTCTCCAGGCGCGCCCGGTCGTTCTGAACCCGGGGAGAGGAGGTCTCGATGTATAGGTACCAGCCCTGGGCAGTGTCTGTGGTGTGATCGGAAGACGGCCCCGTGTCCACGGAGGAGGTGGAGCCCTGAGATCTCGTCCAATCAAAATCGTCGTCTTGGGATTGGGTGTAAGAGCACAGGCCTTGCTCAAAGTTGCAGTCGTAGGGAGAGGGAACTAAAATTGAAAATAACAGAGGCAAATAGAAACTTTTGACATTATCAACAAATCTTTCTATTCTTATGCAAATTCCCGAATCACACTTTTGGTCCATTTCAGGCAAATACAGTGAATGTATCATGCAGAAATTCCAACAATCGTTATGTGCCGAATTTGGAATACGGCCTTCTTCTGCTAGAAAAACACATGAAAACATTGAATGGATGCCTTCAAGTAAACTATTACCATTCTCATGCAGATGTTAAAAATTTGAATATCAAAGGCCCATTCCAGGTGGAAATAACCTGTTAAAAAATTGTATGGAAGCATTATTAAAACTTAAAATATTCCAGCTCTACTGAGAATCAAAAATTACAGTAGGGCCAATTACAAATAGGTCTTTGCTAATTTTCAGTAACGTTTCACAAAAGCAAATGTACGTGTGACTTTGATTCTTACCTCCACAGAAGCCGGGCTGAACAGAGATGTCATCTACGGCGATATCACTGGTGTAGTTGAAGCCAACAACCCCAACAATTACCATCTGATAGGGCTGCAGGGGGCTTGTCACGTTGATGGCTAGTTCGTACCAAGCATCTCCCTGGTTACCAATCACGGACTGCAGCAAGATCTTGTTCTGCGTGTCTGGGTCCTGCTGGTACACGTCGAGCTGCTTGACACCTGTAAATGACCATTTTCAAATTTTAAAACTTTGCTTTGGATTCTCACATCTTTTTGAACATCTGAAGCTGTCACCTAATTAGCAACTTCTTAACATGCGTTAATAGCTACGTATGTAATACAGATATACATGGAAAGTCAAAGTTTGTTGAAAATCAATTAAAAAGGAAGTGTTAGAAAGTTATACAGGAGAAGGCAGGGAAAAGGAAACAGGAAGAGACTAGAAACATTTAAAACGTTTTGCTTCTCAAAACAGTCTCAAGTGGCAGAACCAAAATGTGCGTACCCTGTCCATACATGTGATACCACAGCATGAAACAATCTCCCTGTGTGGCATCAAGGTGCTCGCTGACTAGCCATGCCTCCTGACCGACGAGGAAACCGCTGGTCTCCAGGAAGACGTAGTGACCTGTCAAGGGAAGAGAACAAACAAAGCAACAGTGGTATAAACGAATGGAACCCAGGGATCTCTGGGAGAAACCCTTTATTGTTGGGTCAGGCTGGTAATGTGATTCTTTCCTCTCCTTTCGCCTGTGTGGTCAGGGTTCGAATCCTGCTCAGGTCAACAGTGAATTTGGTTTTAAATTCTGAATGCTTTATCAAGAAAATTCTGCAGTTTTCCTCCCACCCGTAACACTGTAACTGCTTCTCATTGTCTCATCGAGAGACTTATTCTCTATGGTGCCAGGGAAACTTTTGAGAAATCCTTGGTTTCTTTACTTAAAAATAAATAATAACTATTAAAATCGACGAAAGTAGTCACAAAGAAAAGGCCTGCCTGAGGAATGCAGTCAAAAGGTCAATTCTGCCTAAACTTAAAACATTCATGAACAGCATTTTCCACACTGAAGCCTGGTGTTTATTCAAAAATGTCCCCATAAAAAAACTTCCTTTTCCATTTGTTGGAAAAACTGCTATAAAGCTGGTTAAGAATACCCAGTGTCTAATACTTTTGATGTAACCAGTCTTTGTACGGGATCTTTACTTAATTTTTTTCTAAGCACTAATAAAATTAGCAATCATTCAGCAAAAGCGTCTGTCTTATAGAATAAACAAAAATGGATATGTTAGTAATATTAAAGAGCACCTCTAAGGAAAACACGCTTACTCTGATTTTATCTTTCAACATAAACAGGGAAACACTCAAATCCAATTCAGAGTCATTTGTCTTCAGAGCTCAACTATAACGAGCTAAAAAGGACTTTCTTTCTGTTCATGCCAAGATGTGAATTCTGAATGCATCTTTCAGAGAAAACAGAGAAAACGAGGGGAACCCTCGCCCCGTGTTCGTAGTGGATAAACCCTTGTGCATGCCAATGGCTACAGGTACATGCATTGTTTGGCATGCCGAACAACAATACAGCTTTATTATTCAGTAAACATAAGTAGGTCTTTTGTACCTTCTGTTGTTCCTTTGGTGTGGTCAAAGGATGGTCCTGTCTCCAAGGAGTCTGTCGTGCCGCTGCCTCTCACAAAGTCCAGGTCGTCCAGCGTCCCTTCGTTGGTCCAGGAGCAGAAGCCGTCTTCAAAGTCACAGTAGCCGGCCAGAGGGCACGGACCGATGGTCACTTCTACATCGTCGATGGCCACATCGCCTTGACCGGTGCTGCCAACAGTGCCCACAAACGCAGCCTGGTTGGATCCGAATGAGGATTAAAATAATACATCAACCGAGGGATCATAAAACAATTCTTATGAAATCGTGAAGAATAAAAGCTTGCACATTCCTAAAGTAGTAAAATAGACTTTCTGTCTTAGTTTGGTAAATGTGACAAAACTAGACAAAAAAAAACTTTTATTAAAGAATACAGTCAGTTCGGGAATACTTTCGTAAAACTGCATTAAATGCTTCAAAGATGCACTCCGGTTGATCTATCGTGCACTTCATGCCTCAGTCTGGCATTCGTACATACTAACCCAGCCTAACATCACTAAATACCCCCTGAGCAAGCTTTCACAGTTTTGCCAACAAGCTCCCAGCCAGCCCCTAGCACGTGAAGCATTACCCCAAGAGTAATGAAAAATGCACTGAGGGATACGTCTGGAAATCCATGCTTTAGAAAGGTCAAGCAAAATATCAACTTTCCTGTCTCCCAATATGTGTTTTAAGTAGAGAATTAACAAGAGACTAGTCTTGCAATGCACTTCAAGAATACGTGATCAAATTGTCTCTTGGTGTTGGTCATTAGGCCAAATTTCTCTCGTGCCACAGGGTAAAACTGATGGGCTAGAATGGAACCACTTGTTTTCTCACCAAAAACGGCAAATTTGCCTGGAGGGTGACCCTTCCCAGTCTCCACTGGTCTCCCTGGTCACCGCTCTTCCCCCACATTCTGGCTCCCAGACTCGTTGTGTTGGGGAAGTACTGGAAGACTTTGAGAGACCCCACGCCAATCCCATGCACGTAGTACCAGAAACGTAGGCACTCGCCGTCGGGAATCGCAGGAAAGTTGGGGTTGACAAGAGTGGCGGTGTCACCAGCTTGCCGTGCGGTCTCGTCAATGTAGGCAAAATGACCTGAACAGTGGTGAGGTCAAAGGGCTTTCCAATCTCTCACCATTTCTCACAACATAACCGATGTCACTAGTTAAGCACATTTCAACATTGGCCACATTTTGCCGCAAGTGCTTCTTATTGAGAAATTGCTATCAACATCAAGGACAGACCAGTAAGATCAGGGCACCTAGCACACGCAACGTAGTTTCACTCTAATGACCCAACCAAACCACATAGCCAAATCTCAAGGTCGCATTTTATTGTCAGATACTGTGCATCTCTTGTTACGTTCAGGGTCTCCAGAATCTTTCGCAATAATTTTCATACCGAGAATTTCTTCTTTGCCTCAGTAAGAGGCTATCTGCTTTGAGCAGAAGCACCCCCTCGTTGGTTGAAGACAGTCATTTTGGTTGAGAGTGTTCATTTTGTTGGTAGCTATGCAACCATAATGAGTGCATTTCATAGTCGTTCCTGAACCAGCGCAGTTCAGCTCCGACCAAAGGAGCCTCCATTGCTATTTGCGCCCTCTCTTGGTCCAGCTCGAGGCTCATTGATAACAAGGTATGCCCTTAGGCTTGAATGTCAAATGACAGGCCAGGTTAGTCTGATGTTACAACTTTATCAGATATGAACGGTCTTTTAAATCTTCCTTCTCTGGTGTCCAGACCCACCTGTGGAAGATCCAGTTGTTTTGTCAGGCAGCCTGGTGCCTTGGCCCGGGTGAATATCAACACCCCTCGGTCTTGTCCAATCAAAGTCATCGATGGAAGACACCTGCTCCCATTCGCAGAAATCAAGCTCGAAGTCGCACTCACCTGTAATTATGGCAACAAGTACAAGAATTTTAATCGAGCCATCTCAAGTGACAACTCGTCATAACTAATCAAGATCTCATCAAGTCAGAATTTAGCCAGATCAATAGTTCAAGAATATCAGTTTAAACGGTTTACTCTTAAACAAACTCAAATCCTTGACCCACACAAGGTGGTTGAAAGAAATAAATCACAGATAATCACAGACCCACACAGTGTGGTGGTAAGCACTTACGTGGTGGTGGGCAGGGACCCTGAGTGTATATGATGTCGTCAAGAGCAATGTCGCTGTAGAAATTGGAACCGATTATTCCCTCAAAGGTAATCTGAAATCACACATATGTAGCATTATTATTACCCCTGCTTACCCTGCCCATCAACATTCCTAAAACCATCTTCCTAAAACCATCTCAGCTCTACAGAGGTTACACACCCTATGCTGTCACTTCAGATGTAAAGGGGTACTGCGTCAAATAGGAACAATATCTCTACCTTCACAGGTACTCATTCATGTTCCTGGGTGGAGAAAGACGAGTAGGGGTAAAGTGGCTTGCCTAAGGACACAATATAACTAGAAACTCGATTTGGATCCCCAGCTTTGTGTTAAAAGGTTTCACACCTGTTTATGATGTGCCCTTGGCCCTTGCTTGCACAGGTTGAAAACCTCACACTACCAGCAATCCATGGGAACGTTCAAGTGAAGATTGAAGTTTTATATGACAATGGACGGTCGGATGATCTAGTCAACCATTTGAAAAAAATTCCTAACCTTCAGCACTATTTCATGGTGGTGTCTGGCACACTTAATATGCTTATGGTTGTGTGCGCATTGAGATTTGGGCCTAATATGACACTACTTTCCTCCAAGGTTAGCATGCCTTTTGCTGTGCTTACTGTTTATGGTTTCCATGAAATGCAGAGAGCTTTGTAAGCGTAAAACCATGTGCTTAGCAGCACTGCGAAATTGGGCCACTCACAGTTAAATCACTGTTTATAAATGACATTTTTTAAAGTTAAGTGATTCCAGCGATTTGTGACTATGGCGGAGGTTACACCACCCTATTGGGAATTTGTATTTCCCAATTTTATTCTTGTTTATTGCAAGGCCAATTTTCCTCTCAACTCACAGTGAAAGCTTGGTCACTTCGAATTGTTCTCTGGCCAAGCAGCCAATCGCCGTCCTGCTCTCTTGTCTTGGACCACAGTGTCGTGTCCGTGCCGTTGGCCAATGACGTCATGAACAGATTGAGCGTTCCCATGGAACTGCCCGTCATGTGGTACCAGAAGGAGAGGCAGTTGCCAAGGAGACTGGTCGGGTTGAGGGTGCGGGTGGTGATGCGGGCCCTCTCTAGGGCCAACCGGGGAGACGAAGCCTCCGTGTAGATGTAGTAACCTTGGAAACGAATAAGCAAAGGGCAAATAGCGGGGGTGACCTCTGGCCGGACATTTGTGACCCCATCAGTCCAAAATTATAGAATTACAGGTTATCATCTGGAATACAATGCTAATATGCACATGACCGATGCAAATTCTACAAATCTTGCTGCCCATATTTCCAGTGCTCTCTGCAGACCAAACTTCCAATTTTTACAAGACTTTGTACAGTGTTTTCTCAATTTTTAATGGCTCGAGTACGCATGTCTGCTAGCTGTTGGTTACTGATGAACGAAGCCTGCATTCATTGTTGAGAAAATTCCAATTGAAAAGACAAGGATTGTGTAGGTTTAACGGGTTCTAAATTATAGAAACAAAATTATAGAATCCAGAAAAAAAGGGGCAGTGTAGTCAGCAGCATTTACCTGAACCAGTTGTGTGGTCCCCGCTTGGTCCTGTGTCAACAGAGGGCGTGCTTCCCTGGTAGCGCGTCCAATCAAATTGGTCGTCTCTGGCTTGTTGCCAGGAGCAGAGGGAAGCCTCAAAGTCACACGTCGCATTGAAGCCGTATTGGGTCGGGTCGGCAATGGTTGGGAAAGCTGCCCAAGAATTCACAAAGAAATACATGAAATGCAAAAGTTTCCCCAACAAAAGAAATCGTCTCCTTAAACACATACAAGGCCAACCTCTATTTCCATTCTTTCAGTCCCCTACATTTCACAAAAACTAGTACAGACACACAGAAAGTACAACGCGATGAGTACAATAGCACTCTATCATAATGGAGGCCTATATACATGCTAAGTTTAATTATAATAATAACAAGGAACATTTATATTGCGCAGGTACTATTCAAATATACTCAACTGTGCACAACAATACCCATCACTATCTGAGGTGAGATATTAGGCGTTGGAAAAAGCTTCTTCAACGAAATGAGTTTTTGTAGCAATCTTGAATGCGTCAACAGATTTGGCATTTCTTATATGAAGGGACAGGTTGTTCCAAAGCCTAGGAGCTACACAAACAAATGCACAGTCTCCAAGAGTAGCCTTAGTTCTACAACAGGGATGGCTGAAGATCAACCTATCACGTGAACTGCGAAGACTGTACATATTTCAGAGTAACCTGGTGTTTCAAACAGATTGAAAGGGCGGCTGAAATCTTGTGGGCAGAGTGTAAGTCCCTCTGCAGCTGTAGGAAGATAATAAAACTAAGCATTCTCCTGAAGCCTGCTAATGGTCAAAGAGGAATTCAGCAATGACAGTATCTCATTCTAGCTGCGAAATTATTTGAGGCAAACTGAAGAAAGCGACCTACCATTACAGAGTCCAGGAAGAAATAGTACATCATCAATCGCGATATCGCCTGCAAAGGACTTGCCCACGACACCTTCAAACATCACCTGATGAGATGAGTCACATGATCACCGCAAGGTATGTCACATGGTCATTTAAGTGAAGATTGATTCAGTGTAACTACTCAAACGGAAAAACAATTTGGTGGTTGCTTAATACAACATGCCAACAATATTATTTCACACATGGCCTGGGTGCAGTATCTTAATAAGCGATCACAACCACAGTGCTCTATGATGGTTTTAATTTAACTCTAACGCTACGTCACAGAGAGATATTTGTTACAATACTCAGCTTTAGCCAATGGCTGCTTGAGACCAACACAGATGTTCAACAGACTATTTCAAGCCTCCGCATGCACAAACTCAACAGTAAGATCACAGGCGTGGGATGAGTATAGAGGTTATCCTTTGACTTACCTATCCTGGTGCTTGTACTGGGTTTGTGACTAGGCTTGTGACTGGACTTATAGACAGACTTGCGAATAAATGGGTTTGTGAGTTGTGATTGGGCTTGTGGCAGGGCTTGTAACTGGACTTATGGACAGACTTGGGACTGAATTGGCTTGTCAGTTGTGACTGGATTTGTGACTGGGCTAGAGACTTGACTTATGGACAGATTGGAGACTGAATTGGCTTGGCAGTTGAGATTGGGTTTGTGACTGGGCGTGTGACTGGGCTAGGGACTGGACTTATGGCTTGTCAGTTGAGACTGGGTTTGTGACTGGGTTTGTGACTGCACTTGTGAACAGACTTGTGACTGAATTGAGTTGTGACCGGGTATGTGACTGGGCTTGTGACTGGACTTGTGTCAGGACCTGTGACCACAACTGTGACTTACCTAACCTAGCCTGTGATCATACACAGAACATTAATAAGCCATGAAGGAAAACCTCAGCTACAGTACCTGAAAAGGGTTTGAGTCTGTCACTCCGACCTGACCGTACTTCCAATCTGTTGAGTTGGTGCTCTGCTGACCGGACAGAAACCAGATGACTGCCTCGCTAGACAAGGTGGATTTGAGTACAAGAAGCTCGCCAATGTCCACGCCGTACATATGATACCAGAACGTCATGCAGAAATCTTGGCCCGGAGTCAGGAAGCTGCTGGCGAGACGGGCGTAGTCACCGGGCACACGTGGTGATGAAGTCTCGATGTACAGGAAAAAACCTGCAAAGAGTTACAGTGTTGCACACTGGTGTAGGAAATGACTATATCAGCCCATGCACGAGCTGAGGTTTTACCCATAGTTTAACCGAATCTTTGATTCAGGGATAAGAGTGGCGGTTGAAGAGAAATCCCAGAAACATCCAGTGGCATGCATATGGTTGTTAAAAGATAGCCATGAATTTTCACTACTGTATGTGACTTTTCTGGGGTTATAAAGGCAAGACAATAGTTCTCTTACACAGCAAAGATTATAGAAGTCTTGCGCTCACTTTCTGTAAAGCATCACGTGTGACTGCTTTTTAACCTCTTTGACAATTCATGAAACTGGAAAGAACATGACAGCTGGACTCTGTCCACTTCGGCTAGCATCTAGGATTTGCTCTGTGTGGTATCATCACAGATGTGTGCATCAATCAATCCCAAATATGGAAAGACCTTTTGAAGAGATCATCTAAATCCTAAAACATTTTGGCAAAACTTTACCAGGAGCGCAAAATCCGGAGACTCCACAGGTGTGGTCGGCGCTGGGTCCTGTATACTGACTGGCTGTGCCACTGTTCAACCGCACCCAGTCAAACAAGTCATCCTGCCGGTTGCTCCAAGTGCACGTATCACGCTCAAAGTCGCAACTTCCTGGAAACCCAACAGGAGAAGAAGCCTCGAAATCCAGACAAAAACAGTATTAATGTAATAAGCGCTTCATGAAAAAAGACACTCACGACCCACTACATCAAAATGAGTAATAACTTGTTTACCCACCGTCTCATTTAAGTTTTGCATCTCTTTCAAACTTTTGGGTTCAATTAGTATCCCATCAAGACGTGATATGCCTCCTAACTGACAAAATATGGGGAAGAAGGAACCATGTCAATTGCATGCAAGCAAAACAGAGTAGGGTGGAACAAACTTTGGTCACTTGCGCTATGCAGGCCCGCGACAAATGCACAAGAACCCATGCCAAAGTAGATGGGAGAGAGTGCCCACCTTGGGCGGGACAGGGTCCAGCAATTTTGGAGATGTGATCAATGGCCATGTCGCTACGATCCCCGATGCCGATCTCCCCTTCAAAGACCATCTGGTAGGCAGTCTGACTGGTGTGCTCAACCTCTCCCAGGAACCACTGATCGCCAAAGTTGCTGCTCATAGACCAAAGTATGTTTGGATCACCAAATACCTGTTGGGATGGAGGTTGACAAATAATGAAGTTGATGCAACTCTTTTCTCATGCAAATTTACTATGAATTATTCAAACAGTAATTCATGCATTAATCAAACCTTCCTCCCAAGGTTACACATTGTGATGCAACTTTAATACAAATGCTTAGCAGAAAATTTTCCTGACAAATTAATGTGCTGGGCAAATATTTGCAGAGTATCAGTCACAACAAACATAAATGTACGTATCATCACCTTCTGGCTGGTAACCCTGTTTGTTATAGCCTGTGATCACAAAGCATTTGATAGTAGAATATTTAGAAGAGTGTTCTGGTCAGGGACCAACCATGAATTATTCATGACCTAAATCATGCATTATTCATACCTTCACCCGTAGGGTTCCCATCTCGTCTCCAAACATGTGATAGTAGAACCTCCAGCAAACTGTCTGAGTGCTCTGGTCAGGGACGAACGGTGGTGAGATCAATCTTGCTACATCACCTTGACGTTGATTGGTTGCCTCCGTGTACATGTATTGCCCTTCAAGAAGTGTGTGCATATGTATGTTGATTTAAGTCAATCGGATTTGAAACTATGCTTAACAACTCGTTGGAGTCGGATCCAACGGCACAGACATTTCAGAACTAGAGTCTAGTCCTCAAACCCCCTGTGAGTCAACCCAAAGTCGTTATAAGCCAGGCACAAGTAAGTCCATCAGAAGTCCTGACAAACCTCTGAAAGTCCCCAGCTAACAAGTCCTTGTAAGCCCTGGAAAGTTCATTGTAAGTCCTCGAAATTTAAAGTGAATCCATACCAAGTCCCAGACAGCCCTAGTGCATGTAAGTCCACAAGTCCTCACAACCCTTATTGTAAGTCAATCATAAGTTCTAACAACTTCTGTAAGTCGTAACAAGTCATTATAGCCACTTTAAGGCCACAAGCCCTTATAAGACCTTGGAAAGTCTACTAAAAGTCTTCATTAACACCTGAGAGGCTGTCACAATTCCTCAAAAGTCTGTGTAGGTCTTTCACAAAACCTTAAAGTCCGAAACAGTCTATTAAGAGTTCTCAAAGTCCCCTTTAAATCCACACGCCCTGAAAAGCCATCTAAAGTCTTAAGCCAAGCCACAAGTTACCCAAATGCATTATGACAAAAGCATTCGCCTGACTTTTCACAATGGTTTTAAGAAAGGACTTGTGACTGGATTAAGTGGATGAACTTTTGAGAGAACTGGCCTCAACTTCGACAGTACATGAGGACTCAACAAAACCTCTGAGATTATCGCATACCATTGGCGGAGCCATAGGACACGTCCACACTGGGACCGGTGAGTAGCGTCAGCGTCCTGCCTGCATTCCGTGTCCAATTGAAATTGGCTGTTGGGTCGGAGGTGTACCCGCACAAGTCTGGCTCCTCAAACTCACACAGGTTGGGGGCTGCAAAGTAGGGAAAAATACCTTATCAATCTGGACCGCATGTTTGAAATCAGACGCATCAAAAATTGACAAAAATGTGGGGATAAATACTCCACTGATTTCAAGTCTCTAGCATACAGAGTTGCAGTTTGTATTTTATGGTGTAATTCAATAAAACAGGGGGGTGTGTGTTAACTTACACAACCAAATTATATCTAAAATTCCTGTTACTTTTAAATTTTGTTCAATATCAACACTTATTTATTAATGGCTATTATCGCACCAAGCCTTTGAGTGTTTTTCCACAAATGTCTTGAGGTCATTTTGACAATAATATCATGAAAACTGGACAGGTCAGGTCAGTTAGAGATTTTTACTTTTCACAGATGTACTTAAAACAGGCATCTCCGTATGCTTATCAAGATTAATGAAGAAAGATTGGTTTACTGGATAGTTGAGCTCTTGAACGGGGAATCCCATACCTCTCCTAACTCAAGAAGGTCCAAAACCCAACTTTTTAGTAATAACCAATCCCCTTTACCTTCACAAGGTCCGGCATAAACCCTGATATCGTCCAGAGCGATATCACTCAGGAAGCTTGCTCCAACCACAGCCTCAAATACGTACTGCACATAAAACGCAATAAAATATGTCTGAGAAATTTTCCAATACTATGAACTTCAAACCATGACCAAGGTTCAAAAGGTGCGTCTGACCACAGAAAGTCTACCAGACCTCACCAAATAAAATTGTACCGGTGTTGAACTAGTTCACAACCCTATTTTACTAGTCTATTTCATTTGCATAATAAAAGAAGGACTTGGATGGCAAGATTTTTTCACAGACTATATCAATCATAATACACAATTTAAAAACTCAGATTTGATTCAATGTTATAGAACTGTTGGGAACAGACACGTGCTCAGTTTCTTTACCTTATACGGGGTTGCCATGGCAAGAGCAACCCGTCCCTGGTACCACTGGTCATCCCTGGTACCTGTTCGAATCCAGATAGGTGAGCCCAGCCCGGCTCCATCCGCCCTGGCATAAATTTTCAACGTATCCACATCATCTCCCCACATGTGGTACCAGAAGTCCAGACAGTTCTCCAGCGTGGGTGGGACCGTGGCACTCTCAAGACGGGCTTTCTCACCGACGACTCGGGGCGAGGAAGTCTCAATGAAGACGTAAAAGCCAGCCCCTTAGAAGATAACGACGAGGTTGTCAAAACATTACGTCCAATGATTGTTCGGTTTAGTTCCAGCAATGGTTTTAATAAACCTGACTTTGCCTAATGAAGAAGTTTACTGCAGACAGGGCAATGATCATCAACCTTGAATTCAAGCAATCAGTTATCTATGAACCATAAGATACCATTTCCAACTTCTGATGCGACAAACTCTGATTTAATGAGGGCAAATAATACGGTACCTTTAGGATATCTGCTAATGGCCGAACCTCATATTGTTCCATACTACACCAGGCCACATTCACAGAGGGCCATTTGCTACCCCAACAGGCAGTGAACAGTGACCAAATTGAAGTTCAACACAGGACCCATTTCCACATGCTGCTTAGACTTTGTGCACGTTTACATGGGAAATCAGTTAGACATGTCAGCACACCTATCACTTAAAGCTCTGGGAATGCTCAACGGTTTCAACTGTTGACCTAACGGCTTGAAATGAGCCATTTGCAAGTTAAATTTGAATACAATCTGGTACACTGAGTAATTTGATTGCAGAGAAACAAAACAATTTTAATTCCCCAGACTAAAGGCGCTGCTGCTATACCTCGAGGTTCGGGGAAAGCTTTTGCTCAGTGACCACCATCTCTGGAATAGACTGGCTCCTTTGTGCCCTTCTTATCCACTGATCAGTGTACGTGTATTGTTGCAAGGCATCTCTTAAGTAACTAAGCAAAAGCTTGCCCCGAATCACGAAGTATAGCAACAGTATTTTTAGTATGGAGAATTCAAATTGTTATGTTCACATGAATTCAAAGAACTCAGAGTACCAGATTTTATTCCAATTTAACTCGCAAAATGCTTATTATAGACTGCTTGAACTAGTGTTGTAGTGAAAACCACTTAAGACCTTCACAAGACCACACAAGAACACCAGTCTGAATTCAAGCCACAATCTATTCAAATGAACTGCTACAAAAGCATTCCTTTGTCACTGTTCACCCTGTTACTTGTGCCTGTTCTTGTGCCTGATCTTGTGTCTGGTCATGTGTCTGGTCTTGTGTCAGGTCTTGTGCATGGTCTTGTGTCTGGTCTTGTGCCTGGTCGTGTGCCTGTTACTTGTGTCTGTTACTTGTGTCTGATCTGAGGATAAGTTGCATGCCCAAGTGTTCTTCAAACTTAACGGGAAAAATGTGAATTTTGAACAAATTTGAGGTCAAATTGTAGAGTGACTTTCTGTAACCGCTGGCCGACCATATATATTATAGGCAAACAAAGAGTGGCCTATTCCACATTGGTACCTAAAGAAGCATTGAATTATGGGTGATTCTTTAAAGAAACTGACCAGTTCCTGTGGTGTGGTCAAAAGAAGGTCCAGTGTCAAGGGAGGGCGTTGAGAAGCTGGATCTCGTCCAATCAAAATCATCGTCTGTGGCATCGGTGTAGCTGCAGCTGTCGATTTCAAAGTCACAGTCGTATTGGCCGGGAACTGGGAATAAAGAGATCGCAGATGGGAAAATTGACAGCAACAATTGAGTCCAGAAAACCACTGTCAAATTTGGAATATTTCAAGTTTTGCAAGGTTGAAAAAACAGGGCCTAATTTTATGGTGCTCATATGAAGGAAATGGTGCTTTATAAACTTGATGAGCTAAGCTACGCTAAAACCAGTTGGTAACCGGTCCCAAGTAATTTATACTGCATTCAGTTTTCTGGTCACCAGATATATGCAGTATATACCACAGTACATTTTGGCTGGTAACCAGTCTCACGCAGTACATACTGCATGAGGTTTTGCCTAGAAACCTGTCCAACACAACAAATACTAAANTGGTCTTGTGTCTGGTCTTGTGTCTGGTCTTGTGTCTGGTCTTGTGTCTGGTCTTGTGTCTGGTCTTGTGTCTGGTCTTGTGTCTGGTCTTGTGTCTGCTACTTGTGTCTGTTCTTGTGTCTAGTCTTGTGTCAGGTCGTGTGCCTGTTACTTTTGTCTGATCTGAGGAAAAGTTGCATGCCCAAGTGTTCTTCAAACTTAACGGGATAAATGTGAATTTTGAACAAATTTGAGGTCAAATTGTAGAGTGACTTTCTGCAACCGCTGGCCGACCATATATATTACAGGCAAACGAAGAGTGGCCTATTCCACATTGGTAACTAAAGAAGCATTGAATTATGGGTGACTCTTTAAAGAAACTGACCAGTTCCTGTGGTGTGGTCGAAAGAAGGTCCAGTGTCAAGGGAGGGCGTTGAGAAGCTGGATCTCGTCCAATCAAAATCATCGTCTGTGGCATCGGTGTAGCTGCAGCTGTCGATTTCAAAGTCACAGTCGTATTGGCCGGGAACTGGGAATAAAGAGATTGCAGATGGGAAAATTGACAGCAACAATTGAGTCCAGAAAACCACTGTCAAATTCGGAAGTTTTGCAATGTTAAAAAACAGGGCCTGATTTTATGGTGCTCATATGAAGGAAATGGTACTTTAGAAACTTGATGAGCTAAGCTACACTAAAACCAGTTGGTAACCGGTCCCAAGTAATTTATAATGCTTTCAGTTTTGGCTGGTAACCAGACATATGCAGTATATACCACGGTACATTTTGGCTGGTAACCAGTCTCACGCAGTACATACTGCATGAGGTTTTGCCTAGAAACCTGTCCAACGCAACAAATACTGAATAAAGTTTTGGCTGGTAATCTGTTTTGCCGAGCAAATATTTTCATACTCATTACCTTCCATTATATTGCTGTGAGGTCCGACACCAGAGAAACACTTTACGGAAATCATTATTATTTCTGTCACTATGTTGAATTTGATACAAGAATACATCCCTTCTGGAGACACAACTGCTCCTCTGCTCCTATCTATGGTTCGACCTATCGACTTACTCATGCAACCACCGTCAACTAGCCGCGTGTCATCCACCGCCATGATTGCTGTGCTTGCATTCAGTCCCTCCACGCCTTCTAGATACACCTGGAACTCGGCATTGTTGATAATGGTGACCGAGATCTCGTGCCAGAGGCTACCGCGATTTCCGGACTCGGTGTGAAGAGGCATCATCGACCCGGATGCTGTGTCCTTGACGTAGACAGTCATGTTGCCAACTCCTAAAAAAGCAGCGACGGGGAGAAATCAAGATTTTTCATAAGTAATGACGGGAAAGTCTATATTGTAACATGCTGGCTGGTTTGACCATGCGGCAAGTAAAACAAAGCAGCGACTCCTAACCCCAACTCCCTAGGGTGTGAATAAAGCCAGTTCCAAGTTCCAAGCACTAATCTGTCAAATCAGGTGGGGCCAGACTATTTTGGGTTCCTTGACTCACTTATTTTTTAATGTTGATTAAAGCACTTAGATATAATAAATCACAATAACAAATTTTTGAATTGTTCATCACTCTAAATGAAGTTAATCAGTGATGAACTTTCCTTTCCCTTTCGTTGATTTTATTTCTATTCTTAGGTTCCCAGAACAAAAAAAACCAGTTAACGTCGTTATCAATTCAATATGGCCGACTTGTGAATAACATCTATAGTGGTGGACCTGACAGCAACTCTAGGCTATTAGAGGGAGTCTCATAATTTGACAACATTCGCGTTCCTTTGGACTGTCCACGGTGGAAAACTAACATTCCATCAGGAAATCTAAGCATCAGTAGAAACGGTCCACTGTGTGAACAGATTGTTCTCAAGCCACGTTCTGATTGGAATGTTCAGTTCCAAGCGGAACAGCCCCCCCTCCCCCTCTATTTGCAATGAGAACAAGATGTTCTAACTGGGAGACTTCTTCTGCGTGAACAGACTTACCGCTGCCGTAGATGTAGAGCCAGAAGGTGAAACAGTTAGCACCGGCAGAGGCAGGGCTGAAATGTTCGCTGAATAGCCACGCCTTACGGCCAGTAGGGATAGCAGCAGTCTCTATTAACATGTAATACCCTGGAAAAAAAAGTGCGAAGGTTCCGTGCAATGAATCATAACTGAGGCTCACTTGTGTGTGCTCCTTTAAAATCTTCTACGCTGTTGTAAAACTACTTGAAATCCTTCTTGGGTTAAGAAAAAAGCACTTTTTTGGGCACTGAGAATTTGTGGAGGCTTTTCTGGAGAGGGGTTCTCTTGCTGCGATGTAAATCAGGGGAGACAATGTTCAGTTTGCACGTTTCAATGTTCAAATTTTGAGTCGCAGATTTCCATTAAAAACAATTCTAGGACAGGTTGCTCGCTGGTTTATTGTGAAACACAGCAAATTGCCAAAGCAAATATAATTCAGGACGGCAAAATACAAAATGTTCCAGCGTATATCGATGCAACAGGTTGGCATAACAGCTTTGCTCACAAATATGGACGTTTATTTAAGCAACAAGCAATGAGATTCTGAAATACTTTGTAAATTGCAAAAAAAAAGTTGAACAAATCTACCAAAACACAATGATTCAGTGTATTCCATGGTCCCTTAGAAATGTTGGTGACTTTATCCTTCACAGAGCAACCGTTCCCAAGAACTCATAGTCGATTTTCACTTGACTTACCGAGATCACTAGCAAGGGTGTGGTCATTGGGCGGGGCTAAAGAGGAGGCGTCAGCTCCCCGTGTCCAAACAAAATCAAAATCGTCCAGGGTTGCTTCATTCACCCAACCGCATGTGCCAGACTCAAAATCACAGAATCCTAGTCATTTAGAAAAAATAGTGATTTTTTTTCCTTACCAAAAATGAAATTCATCGGGAAAATTGTCCTCTGAATAGGGCAAAGGTCTGAGAAACCCCTTCAACCCAAGTATAAAATAGTTTCTTGTCTGAGTTTTTCAATGAAAAATAGAGGCAGCCTTGTTTTCTGATCACTGCATATTTCCAGGATGGAGGATGGATGCAATAGATTTCAATCGTGCATTGATAGTTGCGAAAGTTATGAGAAGCAAAAAGTTAAAAATTGGAAATTGAAAATCTTGGAAATTCAACCCCCCCCAAAAAAGAAGTCAAAAATTAAGAAGATGGGAAGAGGGAATCTGGCAGAAACAAGAAACTTGTTTATTTTATTATTTTACCCGAAAGGTTGACATCAATGCAGGATGCTACACAAAAACACAACCCAGAAATTCTGGACCAGAAAACTTAAACGTTTCCCCAAAATGTACTCCTCATGGACAGCCTGGCCCATGTCATATATTAATTTATAATTTATAACTTATAAATTTATAACTTTCAAATCATTTCCTTTCAAATTTCAAATTGAATTTTCACTTTCAGAACCAACCAGTCATCCAAAAAGCTCTCAATGTCTTTTTCTTGGTTGGGGTTTGCATTTTTTGCGATCCTTTGTGACTCACTGCTTCTCAACTTCCCTGATTTGCCTACAGGAAAACAACAAATCAGCAACAAGATGTTTTAATACCTGGAGGGTCACATGGCCCAACGCTGATATCAACATCGTCTAGGACCAGGTCGGCGGTTTGGCTCGTTCCAAGCGTGCCTTCAATGGCAGCCTGTGACACAGGACACATAATGAACTAGCAAAGTTTGTAAAATTTCAAAATCAAAATTTCAAACATGATGAATCTTTGAAATTATGAGAATTTACAAAATGAACAATACACTTTGAAGTTTTTGAAGGAAGATTTATGCTACAGCAATTTTAACCAGTTCAAATATGAGAATTGTTATGTAACCATGTTCTGTGTGATATCTGCACAACAGGATGACAGTGTCTATAGAACTCAAATCTTAGAAATATGCACATTGGCTTTCTGTTCAAGAAAAGCTTGTTACATGCATGTTGCACGATGTTGACATTTTCCCACAATGCAGTGCCCCCTTCTCTCGATTTGGGCTTCAATGACAGTTAGAAAGGAAAATCGCTTTTGTAGTTAAGTCTACATAACTTGACCTCCAAGATCGTGAACAGTTAACTTACCCTGAATTCATAGGTTGAATTCATCAATGTCACCGTCGCGTACCGCCACACGTCGTCCTGGTCCCCTGACTTTTCAAAAAGCACTGGACCCAAGACTCCATTAACATAGGTGTAAACCCGCAGGGTGCCAACAGCCGAGCCGTGCATGTGATACCAGAACTTGAGACATTCACCGATCAGTGACGGTTGGTAGTAGCCAGAATACATAATGGCACGGTCCAGGTTTTGCCCAAGGGATGGATTGAGGTACATAACATAACCTAAAGTGTGATGAATTCATCGATCCAGTGACTTTAAAACTACTCGACAAATTTGTGATCAATGATTATTAATTATTTTTCACCCCTGTGGAGGTCTCAAACTAATTCTCCAGGTTTTAAGCCAAGTCTCTCAGCAAGTCAAGTCGTGTTGCAATAATTTTTCCAAAAAGTCCTCTTTCAAGTTAGCATTATTAAAGTCAATTTTTCCGTAATCATATTTCACCAAGTCAGTGTTATGAGCCTTTTTTAACATCACAATTGATAAAGTATAAACACTTTTTTATGACATCCTTAATTGGTGATTTGACATAATCTATTTTGTGTTCAAGTCTCACTTGTCTGTCAAATTTTTCCATTTTTAAACGCCGATATATCTAATGATAAATCATATGTATGACAACAGACATGCTTGGTTTTGCAAGTAGAAATTCACCGAATTCTTTTTTAACTTACATGTACATGTATTTAAAAAAATTGCTGAGGTCAGCCAATCGAATTCAAGTCATGTCTCAGGTAATTTTCATCAAGATTGCAAGTCAATTGTTTTTTCAAGTCAAGTCTCAGGTCAAAAAGTGGGACTTGACTCTGACTTTAATCCACGTCAGCATGTGAAGTAAACACTGTGCTTCACCATCACTACCCCTGCTCACTGGGCCATGAGGTTACTTTCTTCAGCAGCAGATTGGACGCAGCACTTTAAGGAGTTCAAACCGACTCACCGTTTGACGTTCCAGTCGTCTTGTCCACGAGCTGGCCGGAGGAATGGGAGGCAGCCCCGGCCTGAACTCGGGTCCAGTCAAAATCATCTGCGCTGGATTCCTGCATCCAGTCACAGTTGTCAGTTTCAAAGGTACACGTTCCTGATTGGTTGAAAAGAAGAGAACCCGTGATTGGAATTAAGAGAAATGAAGAGCCTGAAGATGCAAGAGGCACCACGAGGCATCTGTCGTGCAGAACATCCACCAAGTGATGGGATCAATGGAACTTGAAAACTGAAGGAATTTTTCAATGGCCATGACAACCCAGCAAAGAAAAAGAAAGGGAGATTTGCAAGATTGGTCGTGAAAGCACGGATGAGGTACAGTAATTTAGAGCAACACCTGATAGCTATGCAACTCAATCATGCTACATCATGCAGTGCGTGTTTGGATTTGAGTTCTCTAAAAACAGCTTTCATTGCTGTGTTGAATAAGTATAAATTAAAATTGCTTCTCTTCAAACAATCGTTTTATCATTTCTAGGGTCCCGCTCTGGGCTTTCTAGGATCTCTAGATTGGTCAACACCGCTACTCACTGATTGGTGGGCAGGCTCCAAGTGTGTAGAGTATATCATCGATGGCGACATCGCTTTGATAATTAGAACCCACAACTCCTTCAATAACAATCTGCCGAAAAGAAATGTTAAACAACAAGGTTGCATATCGTTTACCAAAAAAGAGACTATACCTCTTTAGGAGAAATCGCAAACAAACCTCTGTTTCATTCTGAGAGAAAAATTGGAAGTGAGGTTCTGTTCTTGTTGTTTGGTAGGTGACCACTGATTCCTGACATGAATGGGAAAGGCAGAGTTCATCTGCCTCCCTTGGTTGGTTCATAGTCAGAGCCCTTGTTAGTGCAGGCCGCAACCTTATTCATTGGCAAGCCTGAGGCCATTTCTAATGTGGACATTGTTTTCTGCGGCTGTGGCTATCCACCACAGAATACCTGTGCCAAAACGTGTAGCTGTAGCCATAAATGTTCCTGACTTGGACAAGTTGGACATGGCTTCAAATTCAATATTGGAAAAGGGGGGTGTCAAATATACATCAATATGTTTCTTATGACAATATACTGATGTGACTGGATCCCCACACGGTGAGTCTTGAGTCTGTTTTTCATGTTAGTAATTTTCTTTTAGTTTGCATCAAAGACAGCAATCTGAGCTCTGTGGTTTGAAACATCACTTACACCTCTGTAAGGGGTCTAGCACTACTGTACTTCTCCAGTTGTGTAAGCCAAGTCAAATTTTAAGACAACTTTTCCAAAATTGGATTTTGCCAAATCATTTTTAAACGTCACGTGAAAACTTTTTTCTGACATTCCTTTAATTTGTGCGGTGACCTAGGATGTCTTGTACGAGTTTGGCATTCTAGGGTCAGTGCAAATTGTTGTGGATGAAAAATGTTTGGGTTCTTGTTAAATCTGAGTTGCTTAAGATTCTTTAAAAGGCCTTTTTGTCAAAAATGTCTCTGCCGACTTGCAAAACATGTTTGTAACCATGGGTAACATAACTTGATTTGTGGCTGAGTTCAACTTACGTTGTACTGGACCGGTGATGACACGGTTATCCTAGCAACTTTCCAGGCATTGGCTTGAGAGCCTGAGAGACTCCAGAACGGCACCCGTCCGCTCCCGGTGGAGGTGTAGAACGTCAGCGTACCCATCCCCCCTCCAAACATGTGGTACCAAAACTCCAAGCAGGCCGATCGGGGGGCCGTCGCAAAGAGATCACTGGAGATGAGGCGGGAGACTTGGCCCTGGACACGAGGTGATGAGGTCTCAATGAAGGCGTAGTGACCACCTGGCAGCAGGTAGGAGACGAAACTTCAATACTTTGCAGCAATGTTGTAAAAACCCAACCAAAAACCGAAACCAACTTCAAGTTGGGTTAGCACGCTACCACATCAGTCGGGTGAAGTCGCTTCCAGTTTTGTGTTTAGCATTTTTCTGGTTTGCTTGGTTCAGTTAAGCCATCTTGGTAAAACCCGAAAAAAGTCTCAAAAAGAGATGAGACATTCGCATGGTGTTTTATCACTGCAGAGTCATGGTGCCCGCTATGACCAAGATACCTGACTTTTTTTTGAAACGGTATAAATTTCATGATTCAAGCCATTTGGGTTTCATGTTATGCAAATGAAATCGGGCGCACACTGCTTTCAAGCCTCATTAAAAGCAGCTAGGGGTAGTCGGACTGGGAGTGCATGCATTCTTTCTCGCCCTACAGTCAAACCTTTCGAAGGTAAGTCTTACCTCCGGTGTGATCTCCAGTCGGCCCGGTCCCTTGCGATGGGGTGGATGATGTTGTAAGCGTCCAATCAAAGACGTCGTTTGCATCCTGGGTCCAGGAACAGAAGAGAGCCTCAAAGTCACAGGTGCAGTTGTTGACGTAGAGGAACGGATCGGCCGTTCGCGGAATAGCTGCAAAAAAAGAAATTTGTAAACAGAAAGGGTTGAAATGTTTTGGAGAGTTTTGACTGGTTTTGGAAAAGGCATTCCCAACATTCAGATTTTCTTTGTGGGTCAAAGGTTAGTTCTAGATTTAAAATTTCAGAGTGAAATTTAAGGTATGGAGGAAAGTCTCAAATCTAGAACTGAGTGTGAATAATTTTGATAAAGAAATGAAGATTTGGTGTTACACCCAGCTTCCCGTCAAAAGCAACATCTTTTTCCGAGCTGCACTTACTACCACAATTTCCATCGACAAGTTCGATGTCATCAATAGCGATGTCACCTTGGTAACTGGCCCCGACAACTCCTTCAAAGACAATCTGAAACAAAGGACAAACGTCACTGAACCTTGCAAGAGTTTAATTCAACTCCTTATCCTTTGCCGCGGGCTCAAACAACAGTCTTGAATGAAACGTAGTAACATATGACTGTAACGCTCATATAACACTTTTAAAACCTTCCTATGCTAAGATACATTCTTGACACAGTTGTCATATCAGCCAAAATAAGTCAAATTTCCCACATGTGTCTGTGTACTGGGGGAAATCAAGTGGAAGGCATTTTTGACTGTTTTTGACGGTCAAAACAGCAGGTGGGAAAGTTTTAATGTATCAATGATGGACAGCAAAATTATTACCCCTGTTCATCACACCATGAGACCAATTTCGGCAGGTGATACCACAGCACATTTGGCCTCTACCCCCCCAAAGAGATGACAACTGATACTCTTGGTGGAGTGAGGCAAGTTGGGGTAAAGTATCATGCCCAAGGACACAACATGGGACCAACAGCCGGATTCGAACCCCTTACCCTGTGGTTGGAGAATCCACAAAACCCTAACCAACAGCCCAAGAGCACCACGAACGTTAACTCAACATTGCAGGCATTACTGCAGAAGAGTTCATACCCAGTCTTGTTCCCAATCTTCCCACCTCTATTACTGTACTGTGCAAGAGGAGTAAAATGGTCTGTTTTCTATCAATCACCATATCTGCTTGAACAATTGCAGCTGCAATGGCACGAGGGTTGTGTATCATACGTTTGTTTCAATCCTTCAATAAGGTTTTTTTTCCCCAGTGTTGTAGCAGTTATTAAGAGTGGACCACGTGTAGGTGATGAAATTAACTGAAGTTAACTGCATTTACAAAACTCCTGCACACCTGAAAAGGTACGGTCTCAGACACATCGAATTGGCCGTTCAGCCAGTTGTACTCATCGGTACTCTGCTGTCCATCCATCAGCCAATTTGTGACAGTGGCCTCGTTTGCAGTGCCGGGCTCCGTCACCACGGAAACTGTCATTTGGCCGATGTCCAAGCCGTACATGTGATACCAGAAGGTGAAGCAGATCGGTGGGTCGTTGGCGCTGGGGATGATCTCGGGGCTCTTGAAGATGGCACGGTCGCCTCGAACCCGCGGAGAACTGGTCTCTGTGTACATGTAGTAGCCTGTGGAGGGGACCAGTTATAACAACTACCTCAAGTCAGAGTGAAAGAGGGAGTCAGTATCGTGCTGTAGTTACTTGCCCCACCTTTCACTTCTGTGACCCGGGTTCGAATCCAGCCAGGCCATAACAAGTGAATTGGTTTTTCAGTCCCTACCTAATTCTGCAGGTTTCCGCCAGAAAATTTACCTCGCTTTTGCCTGCCACCTCTAGAACTGAACATTTCTTCATGATCTCTACCTGGGCCAGTTCATTGGTAACATACACATGCATTGTCTTCTCTTCTATGAATCAGTATTGTTACCGTGGTACCGGTGAGTTTACATGTACTGTCTGCACTTGGATACGCGTTGGCATAGCCAATTGGCATGTTGTGATGCGTTCAGCCCAAGTGACGTAATTACTGCTAATAATAACAGCAAAACAATATGATGTGTAACAGTAGTGTGTATTATCCTTGTTCACTGGGCCAATAGTCCTTTGCAACTCCCTGGCGAGGTAATAACCAAAGATCGTATAGCGCCGCGAAGCGGTTCAAGATGGTAAACTTCACTAGAAATAAACGTAAAACGTTATAATAGCATGGGCGCCATTTGAGCAAGCGATACGCGTGCGCAATGCACATTAATGCACAAGCGCTGGTGCCGCAGCAGGCACGTGCACCTGGTGAGCCTGCGCTCAAGCATTACATTTTTGGGGCAGAGTTATCCATATTGCACCTTTGGCGCTATTCAATCTTTGGTTATAACAGAGGTTATCTCATAGAGCTACTTAAGCATAGAATTTGTTTAAGTGTCAAAAACCTTCCTTGATAAGTCAGAATACTAGCTAAACCTCTATGGCCTTTTGGTTAGCATGATAATCACATACAGTTTGAGTTGGTAACCTTTGTTCTTTGAGCAAATTTTTTGCACTTAAGCAACTTTTGCGCTGAAGCAAATTTAGGGTTAAGCAGCTTTATGAAATTGGCCCTACGTGCTACCACGGTAAGCACCCTCTCGACCCTCAGAGGTACTCATTCATACTCCTACTGTAGGTGGTAAGTTTGGGTAAAGTGACTTGGCTCAAGGCCACGATGTTTGGGTATTTAAAAGTGACTTGCTCAAGTCCCCTGGCAAGATTCAAACCTCAGCCCTACGATTGGGAGTTACAAACTTTTAACTAGGCCACATGCGACCAGTTAACAAGGCGTTCTGTAGTTTGTGCATTACTCACCGTTCTGGCCCAGCGTGGTGTGGTCGACAGCTGGGCCAGTATAGCTACTGGTGGTTGAGCCACTGAGCCGCAGCCAATCAAAATCGTCCCCTGTCACCTGATTCGTCCACAGACACATGCCACTCTCAAAATCGCAATTTTCTGGGGAAAACGAAACGGAAACTTGTGAGAATTTTTTTTTTTTCATCCAAACAGAAGCAAACAGAGAGCATGAAACTAACACCAAAAAACTTTCACTACGATTTCAAGTTTATGCCTGTATCTTCAAAATTTATTTGTATACTTAACAAGTCCATCTGTCTTCATATGAATTTCTGCCATAGAAACAGATCCTTTTTTCCCTAAAGTGAGCTCTGTTCCACATATTGACCCATTTCTCTGTATTCATTCAAGTTATTTGGATGACTTTTGGAAAGATTAAATAATAGCCATTATCTCTACATATCGACCAAAGCATATCCTGAGAAGCCTATCTAGTCTCCTAACTTACGGTGATGAGCTACATGTACCTGGTTTGGATGTCTCATCAACCATTAAAAGAAATCCACAGCTCGGTTATGACCCTATGATTAGCTTGCGTTTACCTTATGATGCAGCTTGTGATTACATTATGCTTACCTTGTGATTTCCCTGGGATTACCTTATGATTACCTACTGACTGGCTTGTGATTTGACTTTCCGTTGAAAGACTCTACGACCAAACCATAATACTAACCCTGATACGGACAGCTCCCCAAGTTGAACCCGACGTCGTCAATGGCTATATCGCTCCTGTCCCCCGATCCCACAATTCCTTCAAACACGAGACGGTAGGGAAGAGTGGAGGTCACCTTTGCATATCCTAGCGACCAGAAGTTGCCGAGGTTTCCGCTACGGGTCCACATGGTTTGTTGGTTGGTGGTTGTGTTCAGCTGGTATGCGAATCAATGTAAAGACTTAGATAATAAATGTCTTTTCAACAACAATGAATCTACCTACTGCGGTAAACTGTCCTGCTCAAGGGCATCTGAACTGGGTAATGGGTTTGAACCAGTCACAAGTGATTTGCATGAAAGTTTGATTGGTAAACGTTTTGCGAGGCGAGACTTGTATGACCTGAGCAAATTTCTGAGCTTGGTAGCTACAAGAAATCTGCACCGGAACATCTACGCCTCCTTGTATATATTGCAATGTTCAGTAATTCAGTGGAGCAGTCCAGAGGTTTGTACAGACCAGACTGTCAATGTTTTTAAACATAAATACCAGCTGGGGCCAATTTCATAGAACTGCTTAAGCACAAAACTTGCTTAGCAAGAAAAATCCTGGCTTGACAAATCAGGTTACGGCGAAAACTCCATGTGATGTATATTGTTTTGGGATTATACATGTATTTAGCTGTCTTTTGGTTAGAATGGCAATCACATAGAGTTTGAACTGGTAACCTTTGATTTTTAAGCAAAGGTTTTTCCTGCTTAAGCAAATTCTGTGCTTAAGCAGCTCTATGAAATTGGCCCCTGGCGGCTGCAACAGGGTATAGAAACCAGAACAATGAAGTGTGTTTATTGCAGTTCACACAGACTTGTGTAAAATGCGAATTCATACTGGAAGTCCTATGCTTGTCTTGTGATGAACAACCCTAGCAGTAAAGCAGTAGCAGTAAAGCCTTTGCAGGAAAAGGATAAATTCTTCTTGTATGACAAGTCAAACCTCAAAATTCAGACTTACATAATGTGAGGCAATCATGCAAAATGAGTCACATGTCAACTTTTATTTGACGAAGCATTTCAGAATGAACATGTCTGAAAATCAAATCTTTTCATGTTTCAACTTCAACTACTGTTGATCCATTTGAAGGAGCATTTCAGAATGAACAAGTCTACTTGTTTCAAGATGGGGGTTACTCATAAATACGAAGTCGACGTGGTATACGTTTTGGAGGAGTGAAACTCGATAAACTGGCCTGGGTTGATAAATAACTCATCGTGTTCGATCGCATCTTGTATCTTCCTTCTGTACATTATCATTCCTAACATGAAGCACTCGTGGCCCAAGTCTAGGCCATCAAACTCTCAAATGAAGTTCACTTACAATAACGTTCAGGGTACCCATCTGGTTGCCATACATGTGATAGGAGAAGAACCAACAGTAGCGACTGATGCCCGGGCTAGGGGTCACCAAAGGGGTCATTAGTCTAGCCACTGACCCTGCTGACTGACCTGTAGCCTCCATGTACATGTATTTGCCTGCAGGAGACAGACTAGTGTGACTGGTTTTGTCCGTAAATTCTGTTGTACTGTATAACAGGCATTTCATAAATACAATGCATGAAAGATGTTATTGCAATGCGGACCTGTAGTCAAGTACAGATCAATGAGTGTGAGTGCGAGTACTTAACCGCGAGTGAGAACATTCTGTCGTAACAGTACAGGTACTTTGCCATGAGTATCAGCAAAAGTACAAGGCAAAGTACTGGTGCTCTTCCACTAGTGAGATTGGAAGCATTTTACCAAAGAGTATTTCATCTTGCAAACAAGTACTTTACCAGAAGTAAAAGTCCTTTATGAGTTACAGAGCTTTATCATGAGTTTGAGTGATTGTATATGAGTGAAGCATACTTGCTATGAGCATGAGTAGTTTCCAATTAGTATAAGTACTTTGTCTCAGGTAAAATGCCAAGGAATGCTTTCCTGGAGCGAGTACAAATAGTTTGATTTGAAACAAAGAATGAGTAGGAAAACAAGGCATCTAGTAAGTGCATATCATGTCAGTCGTGATATTAGAAAGCTTACCGTAGGCTGTTCCATATGAGACGTCCAACGCTGGCCCAGTGTTGGCCGTCGGGGTCCCTCCGTTGTTTTGGACCCAATCAAAGTCATCCATGGTGTCTTGAAGAAACCCGCAGAGATGGGAGTCCTGGAACTCGCAAAAGTCTCTCACTGTTCAGAGAAGACGATCGAGAAAAATGAATCCTTCACACACAAAAAGTCCAGGCATACTCCAAACTGTAGCATTAGTTTAAACCAGGCAATATAGTACAAATGAATGGGGTAGGCACGCATGTTGGTTCACACGCTGGTTCTCGTCCTAATGTCTTCTACACACATAACTGTGTGCAGGCCCTATTCACTCAAATAATCCGTAACACTTGATCCCACACCATCGTCACCAGATCTGTCACAAGGCAGGGAGTGTCTTGTAAATTCCGAACAGTGGCAGTGTTCCATTTGGAAAACAACAATGTAGTTGTTCTCAGAGCAGAGAAGATGACCGTTCCATTGGAAATACGGCACTCCTATTGAACGCTGCCTCAGAAGAGACACTCCACACGGAGAACCACTTCCATCTGTGCCCTTTCCAAAGAAACCACCAAGTGCTGAGTTGGGAATAGACCAAAGGAATGTGAAAGTGGCAGATCATTTTAAAAGCTAATGACTTGAATTCAGACTGGAGGTCTTGTGATGGTCTGAAGGGGTCTGGGAAAGTCTTAATGAGTCTGTAATACAAGGTCAATGTCTCTTACATGGGCATTCACCGGTAGTCACCACGATGTCATCTATGGCGATGTCGGCTTGGAAACTTGAGCCAACAATTCCTTCAAAGACAACCTACCGATGTAAGAAATGGATAGGTCAGATAATTCCTCGTGACTGCTAAGCAGTAAACTAAATAGGGGATATGTCATCATTTCCTGTAAACTACAAGAGCTGATCCTTCTTACAGGGTCTCAGTGGCTGAGGATGCGTTCAAGTATTGAAAAAACTAACCTGAAAGTCGGCAGTGGGTGTGGTACTAAAGTCCCCACGATACCACTGGTCGATTCGAGTTCCCGACCTCGACCAGACGGCAGTGCCCAGGCCGGAGCCAGTCTTCAGGTAGACCTTCAGATCTTGGACGTAATCGCCATACATGTGGTACCAGAAGGTGACGCACATTCGGCTGCTGGTGACAGCAGGGATGATGTCACTCTGAAAGCGGGCTTTCTCGCCTTGGACGCGGGGGCTGGACGTCTCGATGTACATGTAGAAGCCACTGGCTAAAGATAAAAATGGGCGAAAGACAGCATTTAGAAGAACCTAACAAAGCATGTCGATTCTCAAAACAACCAAGGAAATCAAGGCTTTTCAACTTCATTATCAGATCCGAGCATTTCTGCAAGAGGGCGCCCTCAATGTCTGATTCATTGACTTACCTTTGGGCCAGATGACAGCACTGTACTTGGAAGTAGCATATTTATGACTAAGTCCAGCAGAAAGAGTGTTATGGCCCTATGTCTGACACTCCTGGTTTCATCTTGAAGTATCACCCATTTTGGCATCAAGTTTGAAATGGGTAAAAAGGTGGGTAAAGAAATGGATAAAAAGGTTGCTGGTTTGCATCAATTCATTGAGCAAGATTCTGTCGAAGACTGTTTGTTCTAAATCGTTTCTCTGGCAACCTGTGACTCATTTTGTCAGGTTGGATTTCACATGGATGTGAGCACCTCCTATAGGTGCATCACTGCCAGATGCAACAAGCTGATTCACTGTTGTGTTTCTTTACAACCACCTGCAGACCTCAATGGTTCATGCACAGGCCCGATAGAATGTCAGAGAAGTACCAGTATTTGCATACCGTCTCCCTTGGTGTGGTCAAAGCTGGGTCCGGTACTCTGGGAAGGTGTGCCGCCATAATCCCTCGTCCAATCAAAATCATCGTCTGTTGCTTGGCTGTAGGTGCAGATGCCCTGCTCAAAATTGCAGTTCCAATTGGTTGGTTCTGTTTAAAATTGAAAGTGTTCACGTTTCAATGCAAGTAGACATGTAAAAATTATTAACGAGATGTTCTTCATGGCGATTTTGTAAGAAACCTTCCCAAATTTCAAGGAAAGTCTATAACATGTGGGAAACCATTACCGCATTCTTTGAAAATTTCAAAGCAAAGAAAAAGCTAACCCCTGCCTTTCTCAAATCTTGCAAAATACCGGGGGTGCCCCAAAACCCACCAGTTGATCCTGGAAGACCGGGACGGGACAGTCTGACAACAGAACACCCAAACTGCCAACTAACATGCATACCCATAAGCACACGTATACCCAGAAAGCACGTGTACAAGTACCTTAGAAAATATGGCCATTTCTATTAGTGTCACATCCATTGGGTGCTTTTTACCAGATGATAAATAGGTGCAGCACCAACTCGTTTGTTTGTTGGTCCATTAACAACAAAGCCTGATTAACGGACAGAGCATTGGGATCACAGGACAGGATCAAGATCTGAGTATGAAAGTCCCACAGACTCTCACATCAATGCAAATTCTGCACTTTATAAATTCAGAATTTGTCTCTTCACTGGCGACCTGTGCTCTGAATCACATCACACAAGACATGCTTCACATTTATTCTAAATAGAAATGACTTTTTCTACTGCATGCACGAGGTGCACACAGGCACCACTGATCAGGCTGGGGTTGTTTCACAAAACATGAGGTACAGCTGACGAACGAAATTATGTTTCAAACTAGCTACACCTAGGGACCTCGGGATAATGATAAACCCCAGTGCATGTTCATAAACGTTGAATCATGCAAGCTTGCAAAAATTACAAGAACTTGGGAGGTCTTCTGCAGATTCGTTATCGGCCCTGAGTTGAAGTGCACCCCCAAGTGACAAAAGAAAGACAGATGGTGGTAAGTTTTCCAAGCGAGTTCTTGCACACATTCTTCGTGTACGCAAAGACCATAAATTAAGGAATAAATTTATAACGCGTACTCAGCGTACTCCGCGTCAAACACACCATTGATTCCACTATAAATGCTGCCTATGTGGTGAGTACTACAAAAAACATGTACATGTATGCTCTGCTTTGTTCCGCTCTGAGCAGATAGGGGGATTGTACATGTACCGGTATATTTGGGGTCCCTGTTCCTTTAATGGAAGGGAGACCAACATTTTAATTTAACTACATTAATTTAAAATTTTTATTCATCTACATGTACCTTGGTAGATGACTATGACATCATGCTCAAGAACTCTAGGGTTGATGTTTTGAAAGGAAAAGAGTTTTGAGGGAAATTATGAGGGGAACTATGAATGTTTTAACACATGACACATCATGGTTTCAAATTTGCACGGCTGGTTTATCAGTCAGAAAGTCACATTTTCTCACAATTTACAATTCGAAATTTTCCTCGAAATAGGGTCCGTGCGATAAAGAGAGTGTTACTTTTGGTTTTCGGGGGACGGACCAGTTTTACAAGATTAAAATGACAAAAAACTTGGAGGGGCCAAATATACAATCCTGTTATACCTGTAAGCCTACATGTATGTCGTCTGAATTTTCACCATCCAGAAATGCAACACTTTATTTCGGCTGGCATGGCAGGTCTGCCGTAATTTCAAATCTACGATGTTGAGGCATAACTTACGTGGTGTGGTAACCGATGCAGGTGCCGCAGTCACATCGGCCAGCCCTTCTTGAACTGCAAGGAAAAAATAGTGAAGGAGTATGAAGGAGTACGGTAAATGCACCGAGCAATACAAAGAAATCCACATTTTGAAACCTACCTCGGAAGATTCTCTCAGATCTGAAGAAAAATTAAGCATCGGCAAGTAAGGATATCATAGATAATTAAATAGTGACTTTAGACACCTGAAATTAATGATTGTAAATTAAAATCAGAAATCTATGATAATATCTATCACCATGTTCAAATTCAACAAGCACTGTGCAGGCATTGTGCATGCATTACAAGTGCGTTGGGTTAACATACAATTACTACATACATGTACATGATGCAGGCCGAGCCTACAATACATCAAGACTGAAACATCTGTCAATCTCGTGTAAACTCTCCTTGAATTAATTAAGTACACTGCCATTTTCAGAACAATCCTCCACAACTTCAGACTAAACAGAAATGGCAATTGGGTGCCTTGAAATCTGTCGCACAACGTGTCTTCTTCCACATTAACAATAACAGGCATATACTTTCAAAATGGTGTCACCCACGGGTCAGCATAACAATACCACAGGCCGGGTTTTTCAAGGCACCATACACGTAGGCCTAGGCCTACATGTACATCAGAAAATGTACGGTTTTGGAAAGCTCTAAGGAATACGCCAGTGTATGTAAATTGTTGAGTCATTTCACTTCGGGAGATATCAGGATTCAAGGTTTGTGACAATCCTGCAGTTTGGACTTCAGGCATTAAAGTTATGCCTTGAGTTGAAGTAGGGCTGTGATGGGAACAGAAAGAGACGAATGTCAGCCATCCACAACCCTTAGCTACAGCTAACAAGGCCTATGCATATAAAAACCTACCAAGAAAGACGTAAATATTTCGTCTATAATTAACAGCGTTTTCAAAGTGACAAGCCCCTGATTATCATCATGGCTAGACATGGCTGTTTTCAACAGTGTGTACTCCAGTCCATAACCTGATCACAAGTCCCTGCAAGTCCGATGTTCATCAGAAGTCATTATTGTTAAGTCAATTCAAAAGCTATTCAAATGAGCTGTGACAAAAGCAGCTTTTGTCATTGATCACCTTAGTGTTACTTAATATCAGCCTTGTTAAAGGACTTGTGAAGTTGTGATGGACTCGAATTACAACACCGGTTTTCAGTTTCAAAACACGCCTACATGTACATACTTGTATGATGTGGCTAGGCCTCAGTGTCAGCGAGGCCAAGCCATACTTCTTTGTGTTTTACATTTAACTGCGACCTCTGTTCAGGACTTTTCCAGAAGCCTGTGGCCTCCAATCATTTTCCCTGACGAATGCTTGCACCTAAACTCAGGCTTCAGACCACAAGTACTAAACATATTAAAATTTTGCATTGACGAATGGAGGCCCTTATTCGAATTTCCCCGCTAAGCGGACATGGCGGAGTAAGCTTGCTGCACAATGCTCTTTAACGCCCTCAAGAGTTTACGGCTTTCCGAAAGACTACCGGACTTCAAAAAAGAGCTGTTATAATTATTTTGTGCCATCCCAACCCGACCCCTCCCCAAAAAACTCAGCAGCTTTTTTTCTCCTTTTTTCCCCTACTTGTCTGTAAAGACACTCCTTATCAGTACAAAATGAGTTTCAACTCAAACTGATATGGTTTGATGTTGCGAGTGTAGTTCAGAAGTTCAAGGCCACATGTACGCACGCTAGCCAGCCATTAAAGTTCAATTAGGTACTTCTTCGAAAATTAAGTGGGCGCTACGCAAGAACGATACATGTAGCTTCGATTTCACAGAAGTGGTACCAAATGACTGCAAAGGGTTACAATTAAGTCTCAAAATGCCATGCAG